TGGGGGTGGTGAGATGCTGGGGTGGTGGGGTGCTGGGTGCAGGGGTGGTGGGGTGCTGGGGTGCTGGGATCCTAGGATGCTGGGGGTGGTGGGAGTGGTGGGGTGCTGGAGTGGTGGGGTGCTGGGGTGCTGGGGTGCTGGGATCCTAGGATGCTGGGGGTGGTGGGATGCTGGGGTGGTGGGGTTCTGGGATCCTAAGATGCTGGTGGTGGTGGGGTGCTGGGGTGGTGGGATGCTGGGGTGCTGGGGTGCTGGGATCCTAGGATGCTGGGGTGGTGGGGTGCTGGGTGCAGGGGTGGTGGGGTGCTGGGGTGCTGGGATCCTAGGATGGTGGTGGTGGGGTGCTGGGGTGCTGGTGGTGGTGGGGTGCTGGGGGTGGTGGGATGCTGGGTGCAGGGCTGTTGGGGATGATGGCGGGTGTTCTCCTCCCTGTCTTTTTAGGGCATGTGCACACTGCCCTCAGGTATCACCCTGGAAACGGCGAGAACTCAGCTGCCAGGTTGCTGTACACTCCACATTCAGGGGCTCTCCCTTTGGGAAAGGTGCCTGTGGAGGTGGGGAACCCCTCTTCTAATCCTCCCTGGTGGGTGAAGCTGCTTTCCCTGAAAACGTCAGGCCCCCCTCCCAGCTGCTGGACCCCAAGGTGTGGTCTCGGCCCCCTGGGGAAGCGCTTTCTGCCTCTTTTGTGCTCTGCTGACCCCCGAGCCGGGCCCTGCACATGTGGTTGGTGATGTCCGTTGATTTGAGATCAGTTCCCCTGTGCCTCCCCAGGGGAGGGCCACACGTGCACACACATGCACACACACAGGGCCACACAGGACTACACACAGGCACTCTTGTGTATACCTGGCACATGTTCACACTGACACAGCCACACAATCAGTTCACACCCACCCCCTCCTGCTGACCCTCTCACACACGTGTACTCACCACGCCCTCCCCTAGGGGGTCTGGGGTTCCACCAACTGTGGCTGCATGGCCACTCTGTGGCCTTCACTGCTGTGTGGCCCAACACACTGAGGTGGCCTGGGGCCTCTCCCAACTTGGGGATCAGCTCTTCCCAGTTCCCAGGGCCCACATTCTCCTGCAGGCCCGGGCTCAGTGGGCCCTCACACGTGGGGGTTCCAGCCCAGTCCCCTTTCCCAGACTACATGTTTGGATTCTCAAGCCGTGAGGGAAGTAGCCATGCCAACACCGGCAGGCCTCAAAGTGAAGCCAAGGCCGGCAGCACCGCCGGGCCAGATGCCAGCCGGGCAGAGGGAAGACGCACAGGCCCCTGGGGCAGCAGTGCAGGTCCGCTGCCAGCTGGCTTTGTCATAATGGGGTAATTGCACAGGCAGCTTAAACTGCCCCAGGACTCCTCCTTTCTGGAGGGGTCCCCAAGCCAGTGCTGGGCTCCCCCTGGCCGTTTGTGAGGTGTGCAGCTTTGGGAGCTGGTGGTTTAAACCTTGTGGTTTAAACAGCTGTGGTGGGAGGATGTGCAAACACTCCTAACCAGGGACTTCCTTTCAGCTTTTCCCCGGAGAGCCTGCTGCCAGTGCCCCGTACCAGGGAGCCTCGGTGGCTCCCCACTCCACCTGCCCCCACTTCTCCAGCTCCTCTAGGGGAGGCAGCACCTCACTCTTCTGAGCAGAGCTGGGGAGATCGCGACCCCACACCTCCCGACGTCCCTCCTGCCCCCCTCCCTGCTTCTGCTTGCCTGTCCCCAGGAGCTGGGATTCCAGGTCAATTTCAAGTAAGTTCTCTTTCAATTGCATCCACCCCAGTGGGGTTTAATTACCAGCCCCACCTGCTGGAAGAAGCTGGGTCTTTAACTTCTGTTCTGCTCATTTAAATATATTCCGAGATGTTTTAAAGAACAATTCAATTATCTTCCAGGCTTTCACCTGGTGAAATTACAAATGTTCAGAATTCTCACCAACTTCTGGTTAAGCAAGTGGCATGGGTGGAATCGTGTCCCCCTGAAACGCTTATGTGAGTCCTCGTCCCACAACCTCAGAATGGGGCCTTATTTGGAGACAGGATCTTCACAGAGGTGACCGTTTAAAGTGAGGTTCCAGGGTGGGCCCTAAACCCCACAGCTGGTGTCCATATAAATCAGGCACATTTGGACATGAAGATACACACAAGATGAGCCATACCAGCCACGAGGGGCAGAGAAAGACGGCCACAGCAGCCACAAGGGGCAGGGGAAGACAGCCACAGCAGCCACGAGGGGCAGGGGGAGACGGCCACACCCAGCCACGAGGGGCGGCCTCAGAGGAACCAGCTCTGGCAGCACCTTGATCTCAGCCTTCACGCCTGCTTTCCCGCTGTTTAAGCTGCCCGTGCAAGTGCCCCGTTATGACAATGCAAGCAGGCCTCTGGGGTCCAGCCTGGGAACCCAGACACAGACACCATGTCTACCTGGCAAGATAGGGCGGCGAAATGAGAGGAATAGATCTGGTCTCTGCTCCCGAGACCGGGCGCAGGGCTCCAAAAACCCTCCGAATTTCCTGGGTGATGGCAGCAGCATCTTTTGTTCAAATGAGGTGAGGCTTAGTGGTTCCTGCAGGGGCCTGGTCACTGGATAGACCGGCCAGGATGAGCACCAGCAGCTCTCAGCCCTGCCCCCACCATCCTCCAGGATCACCCACCACCATCCGTCGTGCACATAAGAATGCCTGAAGGACGATCGGGAGCAGTTCTGGGGTGCCGAACACATCCACGTGCCAGGAGGGGGTGCCCCCACTCCACGGGGACAGAAACTCCTGCACTGGGGACCCTTTCGGACCCGTCCTGTGCCCCCGTCCGCCTGGCTGCCCATCTGTGGCCTTTCTGGTCTCCTTTTCCTGAGTTCTGTAATAATTTTGTGTTGCGCTCTTGGTGTTTAAGGCTAATGTATAACTAGAAAACTGCGTTTTAATATTTAGTGGCCTTGGATTTGGAAAATCTCTTTCTACATTATGTTTGGGAGATCTTTGCTCTGCGGGAATGAATATTTTATCAAGGCTGTACACACGTGTGGAGCCTCTTTACCAACAAAGGCCCGTTTGAGAACTGACTTTGGGAAGGAATGTGGCCGGTGGGGCTCCAGGAGCCTGAGAATCAGTTGACGCTCAGGTTTCGGAGCTGTGTCGAGGCAGCCTATCCCAGCCAAGGTAGGTGCGGGTGCCTGTCACGCGGTCACCCTATTTTACATGTCTGTCTGTGGATGTGCATTACAGCATGCTTTGGATTTAAAAAACGCATCTACGAAAACTTGGAATGCTCCTCAGCAACCCACCCCCTCCCACCTGGGCAGAAACAGGGCACCCCCAGAGCAGACTCCCCGCTGGGACTGCGCTCCCGCCCGCCCTGAGAGACAGTCGCGCAGCTCTAACGAGATACGTTTTTGTTCTTTCTCGCAGGAGGCGGATTGGGACCCAGCAGCTGCCCCAGGTGGGGGAACCCACCGCCTGGCACAGAATGGCTGCTTACGCCCCGTTTTTTGGCGGCCACGTTTCCACCATCAGAAAAAAGGAAGCGCCACAGAGGGGGGCCGCCCTCCCTGGGAAAGCACCCCCAGCACCGCCTCGCTCCCGCTGCGCCCGGTCACGCGGCCACACCTGGCTGCCAGCGAGGCGGGATCGGGTCGCCCCGCGCCCAAAACCGTCAGGAGGAAGAAAGGGGGAAGGCGCGGCGCCGGGAGCAGCCCCCACACCCCGAGGGCCGCACGAGACCCCACGGCCCTCCCTGGAAACGGCACCGAGGCCCCCCGGGCCGGCTCCCCCGCCACGCGGCCTCAGCTCGGCCACGTCCTTCCGCCCCCCCTGCGCCTCCGGGCCCGGCCCCAGGGGACGACCCCTCCCCTGCCCCCGTGCCCCACCCGGTCCTCTCCCCTCCCGACCCGACGCCCTGGGCCCGCAGTGGGAGGCCGCGCCGCCCCCTCCCGGCCTCTCCTCCCAGACCCACCGAGCCCGAGAAGCCGGGCCCGGACCCCCGCACTTCCAGGCCAAGGCCGGCCGCTCCTCCGCGCTTGGCTCGCGAATGGGGCCACGGGGACTGCTGCCCCCGCCCCCGGGACCCCCGCCTGGCTCCCCTTCCCCTGGCACGCTGTGCCCCTCAGCAGGTCCTGTGCCCTGGGCCCCCAGCGTGCCCTGACTCCCGGCATTCGCACACCTCCAGGCAGCTGAGCTCGCCCCGCATACCCCTCCCCTCCCCCTCCCTGGGCTTGGGTCTCAAACCCCTGTGGGCTCCGCACTCCTGACACAACCTGGTCTCCGCGGCCTCTCCCGGGTGTCCTCTCCCAGGGGTCCCCTCCAGGCGGTCCTCTCCCAGGGGTCCCCTCCAGGGTGTCCTCTCCCAGGGGTCCCCTCCAGGGCGTCCTCTCCCAGGGGTCCCCTCCAGGGCGTCCTCTCCCAGGGGTCCCCTCCAGGGCGTCCTCTCCCAGGGGTCCCCTCCAGGGCGTCCTCTCCAGGGGTCCCCTCCAGGCGGTCCTCTCCCAGATGGGCTTCTCCCTGGGGGTCCTCCTCCCCCAGATGGGCTTTCCCTAGAGCTCCTGAGCGTGCCCGTCCCGGGGTGAGTCCAGGGCCCTCCCCTCCCCGGATGACCCACGTCCTTCATCGGCCAAGTCTCCAATTCGGGTCATAGGCGCCGCCCGGACAACGCGCGGCTTCCCGCTCCCTGGGGGGCCGCTGCCCTGCTCTGCTCCCCCGCCTTGACCCCACCGCCGCCAGGTCTCAGCTCGCGCCCAACTCCGGCAGCCCCTCCCGTCCGCAGGCCCGCATTTCCCCTGCAGCTGGCGCATGGCAGGGGCAAATCACCACTGGTGAAGGGGATGACGGAATGACGGAATGAGTGAATGAATGAATGAACTGATGATAGATGAATGGATGGATGAATGAATGAATGGATGGATGGATGAATGAATGAACGCATGAATGAATGAATGAACGAACGAATGAATGGATGAGCGGCCAAGCGCAGGCGCGGAGGGTGCAGGAAGACGTTCCCGAGTAGGCGGAGGGTGAGCCCGCGGCCGGGACCAGAACCCGGCACACAGGGGCCCGGAGAGGGGCGAGGACGGCCCGCGCGGACCCCTTGGCGCCCCCGCCCCCCGCCCCGACCTCTGCGGGAGTCGCCGCCCACGTGTCCTCGCTCCCGGAACGCTGGCGGGGGCCGCAGGGCGGGCGCGCGGCGCTGTTCGCCTTCCCGCAAGTGTGGCCCCGCTGCCGACCCGTAGGCCGCCGTCCGCGTCCTTTTCGGTCTCCAGGCAACCGTGGCCGGTCCACGCGGGCGGAACCCAACCAGCCCTGGGCGGCAGGACGCTGCGCGGACCCAGAGACGGCTGGCGAGCCGGGCGCCGGCACCATGGACCTGGTCATCACGCAGGAGCTGGCCCGCGCCGAGAGCCAGCAAGGTGGGCAAGGCGGCCCGGCCCCGCCCCCGCCCCCGACCTCGCCCGCCCCCCGGCGCCCCAGCCCCCCGCCCCCCGGCGCCCCAGTCCCCCGCCCCCCGGCGCCCCAGTCCCCCGCCTCCCGGCGCCCCAGTCCCCCGCCTCCCGGCGCCCCAGCCCCCCGCTCCCCGGCGCCCCAGCCCCCCGCCCCCCGGCGCCCAGCCCCCCGCCCCCCGGCGCCCCAGCCCCCCGTCCCCCGGCGCCCCAGCCCCCCGTCCCCGCCCCCCTTCCCCCGCCCGCGAGGCCCCGCCCGCGAGGCCCTGCCCCCGCCCCGCCCCGCCCGCCCCGCCCCGCCCCCGCGAGGCCCCGCCCCCGCGAGGCCCCGCCCCGCCCCCGCCCCTCCCAGGAGGTGACCCCTGAGGGCCACGGCGGAGCCTCCCCCGTCCCGAGGGGCTGGCCGAGCGCGCGTGAAGGAAGGCGCCCTACCAGGAAGGCGTCCAGACCCCTGCGCCCCGGCAGCGCCGGTCCTGACGGTCACCCGCCGGGGTGGGGGCCGGTGACCGAACCCTCCTCCGCCCCCGTCCGTGACAGATGCTGCGTCCTTGGAGAGGGCCTACGAGCTGATCAAATCGGCCAACTTGGGGAAATCGGAGTTCGACCCCTCGGAGAGCTTCAGCCCGGACCTGTTCGTTCTGTGTGCAGAGCAGGCCCTCAAGGTGACGCGCTCCCGGGACGCTGCAGGCAGGGGGGTGGGGACCTCTGGGTGGCGGTGGGTGGCGTGGAGGCGGGGCTGGGAGCAGGCTGGACCTCTGCTTGTGGCCTGTTCTGAAAGCCGCCCCGGGGTGTTTCTGGGAAGGGAGGCCACCCGCGCTGAGGCCGCGGTCTGCCGTCTTCCACGGTGGTGTTCTCCTGCAGATGGGACAGCCGGAGGTGAGCAGGGACTGCATCCAGATGTACTTCAAGGTGAAGGCCCCCGTCACCCAGTTTCTGGGCCGAGCGCACCTGTGCAGGGCCCAGCTGTGTGCCCCAAAGTCAGCAGAAAACCTGGTGAGAGGCTCCTGTGCCCTCCTCCCGGACGGTTCCACTCTCACCCCCGCTCCGGATCAGCACGCTAGACCAGGCTGTTGAAATCACTCTCAGCATAGAAGTGTGAAGGAATTCATTTCCAGAGTGACGGGAAACTTGCACCGTTTCCTGTTCATGCTTTTCGCCCAAGTGGTGGCACCCGATACGGCCTGCAGGACCACTGGACCTTTGCCCCACAGCGTCATGGTCTCTGTGGCATCTGTGCCCGAAGCTGCCCCTAGTGGGCAGAGAAGAGCTGGGGTGGGGCAGGCGTGCCCGAGCGCAGGCACTGCGGTTTCAGATGCCCGCTCAGGCTGTGTCTGCCACGCCGCCACCTGCGGATACACGGGGGGCACCAGGCCAGCCATGAGCCAGCTGCGGCACCCGCAGAAGGGGCGAGGAGCAGGGGTCCGTGTTTCAGTCTAATTGTGCTTCCTTACGTGGCTTTAGGAGGAGTTTGAAAACTGCGTGACTCAGTACATGAAGGCTATAAACTTTGCCAAAGGAGAGCCGAGGTAGGCGAACAGATCGGCCTTTTCTGCTTGACTGAGCAAACCACTTCAGAGCCAGAACTGGCCCAGTGGGTGTCGTTACGTGGACTGTGGGTTTTCCCCTAGTTTGTGGTTCGATTTTCGTGCACGTGTGATCACTCACTTGTCTGTCAGCATGTGGACTAGGCCACGTTCCTGCAGAATTCCCTGAGTCTCAGCCTCGTCTGCACTGGGCGGTTTCATGATTTTAGGTGGCTGTGAAGAGTCTGTTTTCTGCTGGGCATGGGGGCGTGCAGCTGTGATCCCAGCTACTGGGGAGACTGAGGCAGAAGAATCACTTGAACTCGGGAGGCGGAGGTTGCAGTGAGCCCAGATCGCGCCACTGCACTCCAGCCTGCAGGACGAGAGCAGAACTCCATCTAAAAAAAAAAAGTCTGTTTTCTCCAGGCTCTGCCCCCATCCCCGCGCGTCCCCAGGGTGCCCGGCTCCTTCCGGTTCTTTCCCTGCGGCCTGGCGTGCCTCTGCTGCCCCCTGGCGGACGGCCTGGCCGAGCCGCTGTCCCTGTGCAGGTGACTCCAGCCTCCTGTTCAGAGCTGTCTGCACAAACCCAACCATCAGGCTTGAACCTGTCCAGCTGGCACAATACCCGTATTAATGCCACATGTTGGAATAGGACAGCATGTCTGGAGGAGACTTAAATAGAAGCTGTGGGTTCCTGGTCCGTTCTGCCCACGGGGGCCTGCTTGTCCGCTGGTGGCCCCTCTGGCCCCACCCAGTTGCAAGGGCTGGGGATGTAGGCCCAGGCCCACAGATCCTCCTGCATGGGGACAGGGGACGGGGAGGCCCCACCTCAAGCCAGAGGTTCTAAGGGCAAGGGTGTCTGCGGGGGAGCCACACGGGAGTGGTGAGTGCCGTGGGAGGGAGGCTGCCCACTCCAGGGCCGTCGGGGGCACCGTGGACGGGCCAGGGGGTGACAGAGCCTTGCGGAGGTCAGGACCACCTTTGGGAAGAGGCCAGGTTGTGTGGAGAGAGAGGGAAGCACTGGCTCGTCCAGGGCCGTGGCAGTGGGACAGGAGACCCCGAGCCAGACCGTGGGCATGTGGGGGCCCCACTGGGAATTTGGGGAGAGCCACTTAGAGGGAGGAGATGGGTTCCTTTCTGGAGAGACGTGGCACCCAGGGAGACGCAGCAGGCCGGTGGCGTCCCGGGATGAGCCCTCTGCCTCACACAGCGGTGGCCGTCTGGTCGGGACACCTCACACCTCCGCTGCTCTCCTGAAAACCTGGAGACGAGATGAGTCCCGTCCCAGGGTCACGTGGTGGCTCCAGTAACTCAGAGTGGTGGGCTTGCCATGGCCACCCTGGTGTCCTCCTCCCTCCTGGGCAGTGGGCAGTGAGCAGTGCTGGTCACCTGCTGGCCAGCCCAGGACCCTCAGACACGCAGGCCCTACGGGGCAGAGCTGGCCCCGCTGTGGAGTGGCCGTAGGCTGACAAGGGCAGATGGGCCCGGGCTTCTCACTCCAGTCCCTCCAAGGCCTCCCTGCTGCCCAGGGAGAAGCCTAGACCCCTGAGAGGGGCCTCTGCTCCCTCCTCCACCCCACCCTCCTCCACTTCACACTCCCTTCTGGGGGACAGAAACTTCGTTCCCCAAAGGTTCCTCCCTTTTCTTCCATTTGCCTGACCTCCTTTTCCTCCACTGCTGTCTTGGCTGCCTCCTGATATCTTTTATGTCACAACAGGCATGTAACCTCCTCCAGGAAGGCTTCCTTGATTTCCTCTGTCATTGCCTATTCTTGTCTGTTCTTTGAGAGCCACAGGAGGCCTTGCTCAGTTGTGTGTTTTCATGGGAGATGGGGCTGGGGGGCGTTCAGTTTGTGGAATGATTGACTGAAGGGGACCCTGGTCTGGACTCGGGAGCCTGTGGCCGGGTCGTCACAGCTGGGACTGCCCTGGAGCCATAGCACGCTGGGCCCAGGGCTGCCCCAGCCCGTCCCAAGGAAGGGCTCTGCGTCCCGGTGCTCCTGCAGGCCGGGCCAAAGCTCCTCACGGGGGGCTGCTGCCGTCGCTGGGACAGGACCCGAGGCCCCCTCTGGGAGGGGCTCTGGGGACCCAGCAGCCCCTCGGTTTTGCAGCTTGGGCCGGCTGGGCTTTGACCGCGTTCTCCGCTGCCTCCTGCGTCCCAGGTATCACTTCCTGGTGTTCAATGCATCAGTCCTGTACTGGCAGATGGTCAGGCCGTTCCTCAAGCCGGGATATCACCACTACCTGATCCCCAGCCTTTCCCAAATCGTGAACGTGCTCGGTCAGACTGACGAGGAGGACAAGGAGTGGCGTGCCGAGCTGATGCTGTGAGTGGAGCTCGCCGTGGCCTCCGTGGCCTCCCGGTGGGCCGCCCGGCCGGCTCTGAGGCCACTGCCCGTTCTCCCCGGGATTCCACATGGCCGGGCGCACGTGTGCGTTCTCTCCCACAGTCACGTGCGTTCTGTGTGTCTTGTCTGAAGGTCGTTTCCAAAATCTGTAGATGACACTTGCCATGCCCTGGTTATGAGGCTATGACAACGGAACAAGACTCATAGCAAAGTGGATGTGACCCTGCGCCGCCCGGCCTGGCTCACGGCTTTACAATCTTAGTTCTTAAAATGTTAATGCAGTAGACGTTTTAACAGCATAAAACTGAGCAGAGTGAGTGCACCTGGAGCCCAGGCGGCCTGGCCGGGTCTCCGCCTTGAGGGGCCACCACGCCGGGTGTCAGCAGATGCCCATCTCTGCACCGGGTGAGGGAAGGGGGTTGGGTCCGAGCTCTCTGTGCAGGCCGGGGGCGGGCGGATGTCCCCAGCGAGGTTCCCAGCTGTGCCGGCTTCAGAGCAGCCCCCTCGGCCCGAGCCCAGAGTTTGCAGGCCTTGGTTACCTGCGGGATGGCCGTTTGGGGAAACTCTGAGGAATGTTAACAGGGTCGTTCATTTCAAAACGGCCTGGTGCCAGCGGTACTGAGCTGTCCGGCGCCTGTGGCCCTTCCTGGTGAGCCTGGGGCCGGGTTCTGGCTGAAGACGCTGACCCCAGGGTCGCTTTTACAGTTTGTGAAACATACAGTTTGTCACGGTTTCATGACCTGGTTATTAGACGGGAGAAGACAGTTTCAGCCAGGCCGAACGGTGACGTGGCCATGTTCCCCAGGGAACTTCTGGAGTGCTACGTGGAAGCCGGAAGGAGGGAGGAGGCTGCCAGGTTCTGCTCCACCGCGGGGCCGTTCATCAAGTCTCACGTGCCGCAGAAATACCGGCGGTTTTTCTCCATGATGGTGAGTTGGCGTCTCGGAAATACAGACGGAAGAAGTAAGTTTCCCGAAAGTCATTGTTCAGAAAACTGTGCATGGAAATCACGTACAAGTCTGCTGAGAGCTATAAAAACTGTGTGCATACATACATGAGCAAAACCACGTCACCGTATTAAAAAGAAATAGCAGGTCGTCCAGTGGGAAGACGCGGTCATTCCAAAATGCGACACTGGAAACAGGGTCTCTTGCTGCCACCGTCACTCTCTGAACATTTCCTTTGTAAGAGCTTTGAATTTCTTCAAAGTTAATGGAAAAGTCGCAAAGAGACAGGTCATCACTAGCAGAATGCATTCATAAGCGTTCATCAGCGCTTCACTTTGACACGTGGGGAATCAGCTTAAGCTGTATCTGAAGAGCTAGATATAAAACCTAATCAATGAGAGAAGAAAATCTAGACAGAAAGCTGAAGCTCTACCTAACTGTTTGAATCCAGATTAATAATCTCTTCCATTTTATGACAGGTTCGTCATGAATTAATGGACGAGCTTCAGTTAAAGGAAGAAATGAAAAATTCCATTAGCCTGTCAGTCGCTTTCTATATTAATATGCTAAAGGCGTAAGTCATGCCGGGGGGAGGGAAATGCGGCCTTTCACAAGTGCTGGGCTCGGAGGGCTGCGTCCCCTCCACGTGGGGATGGCCTGTGTGCAGGGGTCCCTGAGTCTGGAGTTGCAGTGACTGCACCTGGACCGCTCCCCTGGAGCTGGGGAGGCCTCAGGGTGTGGGGATCTGAGGGCCACCCCGATGCGGGGCCCCGCCTCCCCCAGCACTGAGGAGATGCCAGTGAGGCCACAGAAGGGAGGGGGCGGCTGCAAAGCCCAGAGCAGAAGGAGCGTTTAGGAGGAGGAGGTGACCGCCGGGGTCAGACGCGTCTGACAGGTCACCCCAGATGAGGCTGGGACGTGACTGTGGCAGTGAACAGAGCAGTCCAGTCGGTCGGTAAAATCCTGACCGCGGCGGGGAAGCGAAAGGAGGGAGAAGATCACACCGAGGGAGGAGAGAGAGCTCCTGCGTGAGCTGGCTTCAAAGGGCGGCGGGATGTGCTACGCAGCTAGAGGGATTTGGGGTGGAGAGGTCACACTGTGTGCGGGTGCTGAGGGCAGTGAGGAGGTCACACTGTGTGCGGGTGCTGAGGGCAGTGAGGGGGTCACACTGTGTGCGGGTGCTGAGGTGAGTGAGGGGGTCACACTGTGTGCGGGTGCTGAGGGCAGTGAGGAGGTCACACTGTGTGCGGGTGCTGAGGGCAGTGAGTGGGTCACACTGTGTGCGGGTGCTGAGGGCAGTGAGGGGGTCACACTGTGAGCGGGTGCTGAGGGCAGTGAGGAGGTCACACTGTGTGCGGGTGGTGAGGGCTGTCAGGAGGTCACACTGTGTGCGGGTGGTGAGGGCTGTCAGGAGGTCACACTGTGTGCGGGTGGTGAGGGCTGTCAGGAGGTCATACTGTGTGCCGGTGCTGAGGGCTGTCAGGAGGTCACACTGTGTGCGGGTGGTGAGGGCTGTCAGGAGGTCACACTGTGTGCGGGTGGTGAGGGCTGTCAGGAGGTCACACTGTGTGCCGGTGCTGAGGGCTGTCAGGAGGTCGCACTGTGTGCCGGTGCTGAGGGCTGTCAGGAGGTCACACTGTGTGCGGGTGCTGAGGTGAGTGAGGGGGTCACACTGTGTGCGGGTGGTGAGGGCTGTCAGGAGGTCACACTGTGTGCCGGTGCTGAGGGCTGTCAGGAGGTCACACTGTGTGCTGGTGCTGAGGGCTGTCAGGAGGTCACACTGTGTGCGGGTGCTGAGGTGAGTGAGGGGGTCACACTGTGTGCGGGTGGTGAGGGCTGTCAGGAGGTCACACTGTGTGCCGGTGCTGAGGGCTGTCAGGAGGTCACACTGTGTGCGGGTGGTGAGGGCTGTCAGGAGGTCACACTGTGTGCGGGTGGTGAGGGCTGTCAGGAGGTCACACTGTGTGCGGGTGGTGAGGGCTGTCAGGAGGTCGCACTGTGTGCCGGTGCTGAGGGCTGTCAGGAGGTTGCACTGTGTGCCGGTGCTGAGGGCTGTCAGGAAATCCGAGGTGTTTTCTTCGTGGGCCGCGTCCCTGCCAGGGACCGAGCTGGCCCGACGCTGTCACTGTTGAGGAGGGCGCTCTGCGCTCCCCAAGCGGCTCCCATGTGGGCGCTTGCTCTGGCGAGGGGTCTGGGCCCGTCTCACCCGGGTGTGTTTATTTCCGGCCTCGGAGCGAGGCTGGGCGTCCATGGAAGGAAGGAGGAGCAGAGGGGTGACAAGTCATCTTGGAAAGCTGAGGGAGAGAGAGCGGAGGGTTCCTGGGGGCCTCCTGTTCAGCGGGCAACCGTTCTGCAGACGTGGACTTTCTCTTTGGAGAGTTCGAATCCATCTGACGAGAGCTTTGGCGGTCAGTGCGCATCTGAATCATTTCTAGGAAGCAGGAGCGAAACGATTTGCCGGAGGACGCCAGCGTGGTTCTGAGGAAGGCCTGCAGACGCTTGGGCCGCCTGTCCCACCAGCGCTCTCCTTCCGTCAGGGAAGAGAAGTGAGTGTCTTCATTTCCCCAGTATCACGTCTTCGCAATCGGTGTACACAGTTTAGCAAGTACGGAAACATGTGAACCCGTGTAAAAATGAGCCGCTCGAGCCGCCTTCGGAAAAGCCGGCCTTTGTGGAGGGTTCTAGTACAGTTCCCTTCTGGGTCTTTATGGCCTGAGATTTGTCCTGTCCTGCGAGCACCTTCGTAGCCTACTTTTTAACGTGGATTTGACGCGTCGGCATGTGGACAGGTAGGTTACCGTGGCGCCTCTCACGGTACTGGTGGCTGCGTGGTGCGTCGTGGGTGGGAGAACCCGGTTCCTCTGGAGCCCTTTCCAGGCTGCTTTGCTTGGGTTCTGAGCTTTCCCAAATCCTCCCGGCACTGGGCGAGTTCAGGGTAAGTCCTGGGCTGCGTCTTGGAAGCAGGAACCTGAGCCTGAGGCTCTCAGAAGCACTTGGAAAACACCGGCAGGTCGCCTTTGTGGGCTCGGGTCGGGTGGGGGTTTGTCCTTTGCCCCTGGAGCGCTTTTGTCACCTCCTCGGTAGCACTGTGTATATTTTTAAGAGAATGGGAGGCTGAGATTATCCATTTGGTTTTACGGTAGCCGTGGGAAACTAACAGAGATGTGTTAGTTATCTGTGGCTGCATAACAAATACCACAACTGTAGCAGCTTCAAACAACACAGGTCCGTGGCCTCGCCGTGTCTGCGGGACACAACCCGGGCACAGGTCCGTGGCCTCGCCGTGTCTGCGGGACACAACCCGGGCACAGGTCCGTGGCCTCGCCGTGTCTGCGGGACATAAACCCAGGTGCAGCGGCAGCCACAGTGTTGACTAGTCCGGGGTCTCTTCTCAAGGCTGGGCTAGGGAAGGGGCCCCCTAAGCTCACTGGGGAAGACTCTTCTTGTGGGTCCAGGCCCTGCCCCTGGCATGACCGCTCGCTTCCTCAGTGCCAGCAAGGGACAGCCAGCTGGTGTGCCAGACGCCAGAGCATTTGTGGTCTCATCAGGGAGGTGGCACTCACCCAACGCTGAGGTCTCCGCTGCCAGCTGCAGGCTCCTTGAGGGAGGGGCCCTAGGACCGCGGCTCAGCTGGAAGGGCACGGGGCCAGCCCTCCGGTGGGTCCGTTTTCGGGAGGGGTATGAGTGCACGTGTACACGGGGTTGCGTGTGATACGCTGTTCTGGAAGGAGTTTGCGTCTTCTGTCAGACCCTCCAAGTGTAACAGAAGTCCGGCTGAGCTTCCCCTTCCGTGGCCGGGTGCTCCCAGGAGAGGGCTCGGGACCAGCGGAAGTGGCCCTGTTCTGAGCTCTGTCCGCAGGTGGGATCCTCGGGCACCTTTATGGGTTCTCTCCTGAGCTGCCCAGCAGGCCTGTGCACCGGAGCTTGGGTAGGATGGAGAGGCCGGCCTGCCAGGGCCTGAGAGGGTCCAGCAGCTGAGCGGGGGGAGGTGAGCAAGGACAAGGGGTGCAGAAGGGTCTGCACCCCCCCAAAGCCACCCCAGGACTGCAGGGAGGATGCTCACAACTCACTGAGGGCACGGCTGGGTCCCTGCCAGCAGCCAGCCATGGTATTCCTGGCAAGACTGCTATTCCTCCAGGGAAAGGGCGGAAGACGTGGACGTGCTCCTGGTGACACAATGTCTGGAGACGCTGCAGGCGGCAGCCACAGGCACACTCTTCCTCTAGTGGGCCATGGTGGCAAGGCCGCCGCTGGGCAGGCTCCTCCTGGCAGAGAGGGGTCTAGGCGGGACACCCTGGCCTAATCACTCCAGGAGCACGCCCGTGATCCCTGAGCCCCACAGCAAGCCTTCAAGTGGGGCGCTGAGTGCACCCTGTGTGCTCTGTCCAAGGGGTCTGCGGCACTGGGGTCCTCTGCATGTTGATATAAATTCTGGCCTCAGCCTGTCCATTTCTACAAGACCCTGACTGGTGACTGCACCTGTGATTGGTGATGCTCCCACGGGCTTGTCACCTGGTGGGGACCCCCAGGCTCTGTGTGGGAAGGAGGGAGCCCCAGGCTCTGTGTGGGGAGGAGGGAGCCCCAGGATCTGTGTGGGGAGCCCCAGGCTGTGTGTGGGGACCCCCAGGCTCTGTGTGGGAAGGAGGGACCCCCAGGCTCTCTGTGGGGAGGAGGGAGCCCCAGGCTCTGTGTGGGGAAGAGGGAGCCCCAGGCTGTGTGTGGGGAGCAGGGTGGCCCAGGCTCTATGGGGGGTGGGTGTGGGGAGGCTCCTGTCTTGGGGTGGCCCCTGGTGGCCTCCACAGCTGTGCTGTCCCTGGGAGACTGCTGGGCTCAATGCTATAGCCTCAAGCCCGGCGGTACCTCATAGCAGGGTTTCTGTTCCAATTCACTACATTTATTTCTTATCCTGCCTTTGCTTCCTGCTTCTGCTTGAACGGGGACGTTTATTCTCCCGTGCAGCCGTATTTCCTGTGCGTGGTACTGAGGGGTGCCGGCCGGTTTGTTTGTTTGCAGAATGCTTCTGCTCTTTGAATTGGCTCGTTTTTCCTTGACCTTGAAGTGCACGGAGATCTCCTCTGACTGCCTCTCAGACCTGAAGAAAATGGAAAGCACAGTAAGTGGCTTCATGACGCCGTTGGCGGGGGCGCGGGGGCCGCTCACATGCACCTGGATGAAAAGCAAAGGGAAGGAAAAGCGGGCACAGCTGTGGGCCCGGAGCCTCCATCGGCACGGTCGGCCCACTGCCGTCTCTTACCTGCGTTTTGCACGGCCGCGGTCAGGTGACTTTTGCAATTTTGCACCTGCCCATTTCTCTTTACCTTTACTGTGGCCACTGTCCACACACCACAGTTGTTTCTAGATCCCACTTTGCGGGCGGCATAAAACTTCCTGATGCTGGTGACCCCTGCCCTCCACCGGCCCCTTCACTGGACGTGCAGAGCTCATCGGCAGGGCCCCGCTTCCCACGGCGGGGCCTCACGTGCTGCAGTTTGGTACCTGTGGGTGGCGACAGTATGAAAATGCTCAGGTATTCTGAGAGACAGGCCACGTCCACGTCCCATTTATGGCCGTATAGTGTTGCGATTGTGTTTTATCATTAGTCATTGTAAATGTCTTACTGTGCCTAACTGATGAACTGAAACTTATCCCAGGGATTTCTGTAGAGAAAAGCTGAAGCCGCACTCCACGTCGGGTTTCAGGCCTCCCCTGGGTTGGGGTCTTGGAACGTGTCCTCTCAGAGAAGGCCGGGCTGCTGCGTAATTTTTTGCTTATTACGTAAAGGGCTGCAGCGGACATGTGCCTAGAACACTTCTGCATTTAGGATTTTTCCGTAAGCTGAGCATATCTACACGAAATGACTAGGGAATTTTCACTTTTAATATTTTAAGAATACATGTTACAGTACTGCCCTCCAGAAAAAGCTTCACGTGAGCAAAAGTGTGTAAGACTGCGCACATCAGGTGTACTGCTTCTGGAAGGAACTGTGACGGGCTCTTTCAGAGGGCAGGGCTTGACTCACCAGAGACGGTTTCAGCATCGTGCACCACACTGAGCAAACAGTGTTGATTTACACATGGAGCGTGCAGAGGGGGACCCTCGGATCCACAGCCACGTGCTGGGGCCACCTCGTGCCAGCTTCCTGAGTGGCTGCTGTGGCTTTGCCCCAGGTTACATCGGAGTAAATGCAAACAAAGCCATCGGCAGTGCAGGAGACACGCCGTGAAAGGTGTGGGGAGCCGGCCAGTCACACTGAGGGCTGCGCTGATCTGGGGATGGTTTTGAAAAGGAAGTGAGATCCCGTGTCTGTGACAGGCAGCCCTTGGAGGGACCGCCCAGGTGGCAGAGGGCAGGGTGCGGGCGGGAAGCGTGGTCAAGGCTGGAAACAGCAGGCCACGTTGCACGGAGGATGGCAGCAGCGTGGGAGGTGCTCCTGTGTTTGACGCCCCTTACCGGGTTCTGTGGACCCAATTTCTGTCTTCTGGCTTTCCGTGGCACGGTGGCCCCAACTTAGAATGACCGTGGGGCACCTGGGTGCTGCCCTACTGCCTCCTTCCTTCAGCACCCTGAGCCTCAGGGTTTGTCCCTGCAAAATGGCAGCGTCACGGGACCCATCTCCAAGGGCCGCTGTGGAGCGGGAAGCGATGTTTGTGCATCCCAGGCCGAGGCTCCAGGCAGGCTCCTGCTGCTGTGGGGCTGCTAGGAGAGAGACTCCTGTGGCCCAGCTCGGCCCCCACTGCCGGTGCCCCTGCAGAGCATGACCCCACGCTGAGGACACTCTCCTGGCCCTTTGCCCTCGGGCCCCAGCCCTCCTGTTACCTCCTGGCTAACCGCCGGTCGAAAGCCACCTCCACTGGAGCCTCATTATCCCTGCCGGCATCCCGCTAGGCGTTCAGGATCTCATGAGATTGATTTTGTAAAAGCTCATTGATGTTAAGGATATGAATGGTTTTTGAGTTTGAAGCCTTGAGGCATTTTTAAAGACTAGCCACTTTACATATTTCACAATCGCCTGAGCAAATGGTGGAAACAGTTTCACCAGGCAGACACCCTGACCCGCGGGATCGCATGAAGCACTCTCAGAGCCGTGAGATCCGTGACCACGTGGGAAGCTTGGAGCTCTTTTTCCGACCTCTGTGAAGCCGGCACAGCTTCCTCAGCGGCATGGGGGTTGGCAGCCAGTGGACAGGCCGGGACACACCGCCCAGGATGGCGGCCTCCGGTGCTCTCCATGCTGGCTGGCGCCGAGCCCTAGACGTGCAGGACCCTGGCCTGGGCGTGGCTGGTCCTCGTGGACGTCTGCTCCTCGGGGTGGAGGCGTCTGCTGTGAAGATGCTGCTCCGTCAGCGCCTGAGCTCACAGACCAGAAGACCTGCACCCCTCGAGCCCGAGCGGGTTTAGGGCCTCAGTAGCCTTACAGAAGCTCCCAGCAGGTCCGTTCTCCGGGCTTCAGTGCAGCCCGGGGCCACCAAGCAGCCTGGCCGAGGCCTGGGTACCAGGGGTTAGGGGCCGGGACGAGGCCCCTGAAAAGGGAAAATTGGGGCCCTCCCTGTCACTGTCGGCCGGGGGGCCTGCGGACAGGCGAGGAGTCAGCATAGCTGGAAACGCCCGGCGGCCTCACTTCCACCTCTGCGCTGTCGGCCTCCGAGCCGTCCCGTGATTGTGTTGAACTTCTGCCCCGTTGTATTTTAAATGGCCCTTGAAGTTAATGAACGCACATGGGTGCTTCCCTTCCAAATCACTCACCTTTTCTAAAACCGTTTGTATCTGCAGGATCCTGGGAAGCTGATTGAAATTGAGTGTCTGGAGTGTGAATCCGAAGCCTTGAGGCTTGAGAGTAAAATGAAAGCGTACCTCCGAGCAGCTGTTGAGGTGGGTCCTCACGCGGGAGCCACACGCCTGGCACTGCTGTGCAGATTCCTGGAACTTGGTGCTAGTTGACTTTGTGCCAGGTTTGAGGGTGCCGGGGACATGGCCTGGACCCCACTCCTGGACGCACCCTGGCTCCCGTGACAGCCGGTTTGAGTCCACCCTCCAGTGCCACAATCCTTCCCCGCACACGGGGCCCACGTGCCTCCCTGGTGGGTTGGGGTCGTGCAGGTGGGGTGTGACTCCCTCCAGCCCTCCTGCCGCCCCTGCAGCGCTGCCCCCTCCCGTTTGTGTGGCGACGCAGCCTGGGAGGACGGGGTCGCGTCCCCACAAGGGCTCTGCCAGCCTCACTTGAGTCTGGGAAAGCATCCTAATGGTGAGGGGACAGAAGTCACTGCTGGCCCTGGCGTCAGCCGCCAATGACAGGCACGTGAGCCCGACCCACCTCCGTGCTGCTGTCTGAGATGATGCGCTCTGGAGCAGCCGCCGCTGCTGGGAAGGAACCAGGAATCATTTCAGACTCTTCCTCAGCAAGAATGTCCCTGTTAAAAGATGAACAAAACCTGACAGATGGCAGCACACAGCCCTGATGTCCTGCCACGGCGAGCCCTCAGGCCCTGTCAGCCGGGTCGTGCGAGGGGCACAGAGCAGCGGGGGGAGTGACGGTCAGGGCCGGAGGTGCCGTGGCAGGGGATGAGCAGGGTGGACGGGAGGCCTTCCCTGCCCCCACAGCTTACGTGCCCGTCTTCAGCCTGCACTGGCTGGCCTGGTGTCTTGGCCCGGTGGGTGCCGACGCTCCTGTGGACCCGCTCCTTGGGTCCCTACGCAGGGCCGAGCACCTTGAGGGAGGTTTAGACTTCTGCTGTGTGCCGGTGCTGCGTGTGGCAGGCACGATCCAGCGTTTGTTTAAGGAATGATTTCCACATGACACTTTGGCGGCTGCACCTTGTCTGAAGGTGCGCAGAGGCTGCCGTGGCTGCGGCACTGTGGGCTTGTTTAATGGTGTGCAGAGGCTGCCGTGGCTGTGGCACTGCGGGCTTGTCGGAAGGAGGGTGCGCAGAGGCTGCCGTGGCTGCGGTACTGTGGGCTTTTCTGAAGGTGTGCAGAGGCTGCCGTGGCTGCGGCAATGTGGGCTTGTCTAATGGTGTGCAGAGGCTGCCGTGGCTGTGGCACTGTGGGCTTGTCAGAAGGTGTGCAGAGGCTGCCGTGGCTGTGGCACCACGGGCTTGTCTGAATGTGTGCAGAGGCTGCCGTGGCTGTGGCACTGCGGGCTTGTCTGAACGTGTGCAGAGGCTGCCGTGGCTGCGGCCCTGCGGGCTTGTTGGAAGGTGCGCAGAGGCTGCCGTGTCTGCGGCACTGTGGGCTTTTCTGAAGGTGTGCAGAGGCTGCCGTGGCTGTAGCACCGTGGGCTTGTCTGAAGGTAAGCAGGGGCTGCCGTGGCTGTGGCACCGTGGGCTTGTGTGAAGGTGCGCAGAGGCTGCCGTGGCTGCGGCACCGTGGGCTTGTGTGAAGGTGCGCAGAGGCTGCCGTGGCTGCGGCACCGTGGGCTTGTGTGAAGGTGCGCAGAGGCTGCCGTGGCTGCGGCACCGTGGGCTTGTGTGAAGGTGCGCAGAGGCTGCCGTGGCTGCGGCACTGTGGGCTGCATGGCTCCTCCCACACCTCCCCTGCTGAGGGTCTCAGAGGACTGGCCCTGGTGTGCGAGGCTTTGGGACCCAGCAGCCAAGTGGCAGGATGGGGTTGAGTTGCAGGCTCCACCCCAGCCCGGGGCAGCGTAAGGGTGAGGCCCCCGTGGCAGCCACAGGCCGTGGGGACGTGGCTGAGTGAGCACAGGACAGCCAGGCGGCCCAGCAGGGCTTGCGGGAGGCGGGAGCATGAGTGAGGAGGCTGGTTCCACTCTCCTGAAATCCTGGCCTGAACCTTTGTGCCGGGAAAGGCACGTGTGGCACAGACCCCGCTGTGAGGGTGGGAAGCGTGGCGGGCAGAGGCCCCAAGAAAGAGACGAGGTTGGGAAGGGAGCAGGAAGGGAGCAGTCCCCGCTGACTCCACACAGGGACGTGGACGCAGCCGCGATGTGTGGGCACCACCGAGCCTCTTTGTGAGACGCCCACGTCCTCCTAGAAAGGGCCACTCTGGCCGTTTCCACAGACAGACTGGAGCACGGCCCCACGCAGGGCGATGGATGTAGGGCCCGAGTCCTCAGCCCGCCCTGGCCCCGCAGCTCGGGGCAGCAACGTCCACCCGGTCACCATGTCCTCTTCACAGACCCAGCTGGACATCATACAGAGACTGGACGTCACACTGCAGCGAGCTGTCCGCCTGGGCGACCCCCGGGCCATCCACGTGGTGTGCGCCACGCAGTGGAACACCTGCCTGCCCCTGCTGCAGCACAACCTGCGGCACCACCTGAGGAAGCCACTGGCCAACGTCGCGGAGGTGCTGGAGAAGGTGGACAGGTGGGGGCGCCCGTGCTGCGTCGTCCACAGAGCGTGGCCTGTGGGAGGAGACGGCGGAGGTGCTGGAGAAGGTGGACAGGTGGGGGCGCCCGTGCTGTGTCGTCCACAGAGCGTGGCCTGTGGGAGGAGACGGCGGAGGTGCTGGAGAAGGTGGACAGGTGGGGGCGCCCGTGCTGTGTCGTCCACAGAGCGTGGCCTGTGGGAGGAGACGGCGGAGGTGCTGGAGAAGGTGGACAGGTGGGGGCGCCCGTGCTGCGTCGTCCACAGAGCGTGGCCTGTGGGAGGAGACGGCGGAGGTGCTGGAGAAGGTGGACAGGTGGGGGCGCCCGTGCTGTGTCGTCCACAGAGCGTGGCCTGTGGGAGGAGACGGCGGAGGTGCTGGAGAAGGTGGACAGGTGGGGGCGCCCGTGCTGTGTCGTCCACAGAGCGTGGCCTGTGGGAGGAGACGGCGGAGGTGCTGGAGAAGGTGGACAGGTGGGGGCGCCCGTGCTGCGTCGTCCACAGAGCGTGGCCTGGGGGAGGAGACGGCGGAGGTGCTGGAGAAGGTGGACAGGTGGGGGCGCCCGTGCTGTGTCGTCCACAGAGCGTGGCCTGTGGGAGGAGACGGCGGAGGTGCTGGAGAAGGTGGACAGGTGGGGGCGCCCGTGCTGTGTCGTCCACAGAGCGTGGCCTGTGGGAGGAGACGGCGGAGGTGCTGGAGAAGGTGGACAGGTGGGGGCGCCCGTGCTGTGTCGTCCACAGAGCGTGGCCTGTGGGAGGAGACGGCGGAGGTGCTGGAGAAGGTGGACAGGTGGGGGCGCCCGTGCTGTGTCGTCCACAGAGCGTGGCCTGTGGGAGGAGACGGCGGAGGTGCTGGAGAAGGTGGACAGGTGGGGGCGCCCGTGCTGTGTCGTCCACAGAGCGTGGCCTGGGGGAGGAGACGGCGGAGGTGCTGGAGAAGGTGGACAGGTGGGGGCGCCCGTGCTGTGTCGTCCACAGAGCGTGGCCTGTGGGAGGAGACGGCGGAGGTGCTGGAGAAGGTGGACAGGTGGGGGCGCCCGTGCTGTGTCGTCCACAGAGCGTGGCCTGTGGGAGGAGACGGCGGAGGTGCTGGAGAAGGTGGACAGGTGGGGGCGCCCGTGCTGTGTCGTCCACAGAGCGTGGCCTGGGGGAGGAGACGGCGGAGGTGCTGGAGAAGGTGGACAGGTGGGGGCGCCCGTGCTGTGTCGTCCACAGAGCGTGGCCTGTGGGAGGAGACGGCGGAGGTGCTGGAGAAGGTGGACAGGTGGGGGCGCCCGTGCTGTGTCGTCCACAGAGCGTGGCCTGGGGGAGGAGACGGCGGAGGTGCTGGAGAAGGTGGACAGGTGGGGGCGCCCGTGCTGTGTCGTCCACAGAGCGTGGCCTGTGGGAGGAGACGGCGGAGGTGCTGGAGAAGGTGGACAGGTGGGGGCGCCTGTGCTGCGTCGTCCACAGAGCGTGGCCTGGGGGAGGAGACGGCGGAGGTGCTGGAGAAGGTGGACAGGTGGGGGCGCCCGTGCTGTGTCGTCCACAGAGCGTGGCCTGGGGGAGGAGACGGCGGAGGTGCTGGAGAAGGTGGACAGGTGGGGGCGCCCGTGCTGTGTCGTCCACAGAGCGTGGCCTGTGGGAGGAGACGGCGGAGGTGCTGGAGAAGGTGGACAGGTGGGGGCGCCCGTGCTGCGTCGTCCACAGAGCGTGGCCTGGGGGAGGAGACGGCGGAGGTGCTGGAGAAGGTGGACAGGTGGGGGCGCCCGTGCTGTGTCGTCCACAGAGCGTGGCCTGTGGGAGGAGACGGCGGAGGTGCTGGAGAAGGTGGACAGGTGGGGGCGCCCGTGCTGCGTCGTCCACAGAGCGTGGCCTGGGGGAGGAGACGGCGGAGGTGCTGGAGAAGGTGGTCCAAGCCCCCTTGCCATGACAGTGCCACAAGCAGCAAACTGCCCCCGTACTCCATAAGGGCCACCCCCCGTTCCTGCTCACGGGCAGGCATGCCGAGTCCTCCGTGGTGCATTGGTGGGGCCAGAGGAACAAGCAGGCTCAGCCCTACCTCACGCTGTCTGTGCCCCTGAAGCCTCCATGGAAGGGGGCCTGTCTTGGCCACAGAGGCCAGGAGTGGGGGCTGGTTGTGGCTCTGTGGGACTTGGGCCGTCCTGGGTGAGATGGGAGTGCTCAGAGGGCCCACCATGTGGGAGGGGCGTGGTGTGGCCTCAGGCGTGACCGGAACACAGGGGCCAGCATGGCGGCAGGTGTCAGGCATCAGGGTGGGCCATGGTGGGCAGGAGGCAGGTGCCGAGGGTGGGCGGCCGGAGAGACACGGTCCTCGGTGAGACACTCCTGGCTGAGAGCCCTGGGATGTCCCGTGAGAGGAAGGAGAGGAGGAAGGGCGAGGTCACCGAGGGGATGTGGGTTCCTGCCAGGGAGGTGGAGGGGCTGCTGTGGGCGGGGGAGGGGCTGGCGCAGGGGGAGAGCAGGGATTGGGGGAGCCGAGGAGGGAGAGTGTGTCGAGGGAGGGGAGGGGTTGCCCAGGAGAGTGGGGGTGTCCGCTGTGGGAAGAGGCCGTGGGTGCGTCCATGGCCACCTTCAGCAGCTCTGACGAATCGGGGGCTGGGCTTTGTCGTCCCCAGGAGGAGAGGGGGGCGTGGTCATTCCCGCGGAGACGGGGTGAGCCGGGCTTTCCTGCTGGGAACTTGTGGATCGGGGTGACCTGGGCTTCCCTGCACCAAGACTCGCGCCTCTCCTCCCGTCGGGGGAGTGCTACGGTCTGAAGTCGTACTTCTTCCTCCCTGCCCTCTTCAGTGTGTCCTCCGGCGTTCCACTCGCGCGTGGGGCCCGCTGCTGTGCGTCCTTCCCCCTCCTCACGCAGCCCTCCCTCTCCTGGACCCTCTTTCTCTGCCTCTCCCTCCCTCCTGTCTTCCTGGGTCCGTCTCCCCGGCCCGGTCCGTCTCTCTCCCAGGCGCATTTCAAGGACACGCGGGAGGCTGGCGCCTGCCGGGCTGGGAGGTGGGGTCGGGCACGCCTCACTCTTCTCTCCTCTCCTGCCTTTGGGGTTCTCCCGAGACGGACGGAGCCAAGTCCTTAGCAAGAGACACAGGTTCCAACCTGACTCTGGTGCCACATGGCACGTAGCTGGCCCTGAAAGAAATACAAGAATTTTACCCCAAAATATGTTCCTTTGACATAGTTTGGAGAGGCCCAGCCAAGCCGCCTCTCGTGGGGAAATCCACGTCTGTGTAGAACCCGCCTCCGCCCCAGGCCCTTCCCAGTCCCGCAGTGACGTAACTGCGGTCTGACACCGTCTCAGGACTGCTGGGGCGCTCGCACCATCGTCCTGTCTGAAGCCTCTGCCTGGGGCCTTCACCCACAGAACGAGGGCCCTGACTTCCACAACCCACCTTATCTGAACCCCAACATTTCCTTCCGCCGGCTTCCACTCAACCAGTCCCCGGGAGGAAATGTTCGAATCCAGCTGTGACGTGGCAGCAGCCCCAGCCCCTCCTGCCTTTCCTGACCCAAGCAGTGGACACGTCCCAGGCCGGGACTGATGCCTGCCGCCTCCCTGAAGCTGTGCCCGGCTGCCTTGGACACGTGTCCTCAGGACCTCCTGAGGCTGTGCCATGGCCAAGAGACGTGACTTGACAGAGACCGTTGACAGACGGGGGCTTCCCTTCCTCCCTGTGAGCGGAGCCGCCGGGACGCCCTTGCCAGGCCCCAGGAGGTTCCTCCCGCTGTGCGTTTACCTCGCGGATCCTCTTAGACGCTTTAATGACTACGTCTCATTTCCAAAGTACCCTGTTAGCTTATGTGTGTATTTGCCTGATTTATAAAAATAACTTCTGCTGGTGAAATGGCTCCGCAGTCTGGGGTATGTACATACCCTGGGGTTTGTTGTCTGGTGCTGAGAAAGAATTCAGGACACAGACACCGGTCGGTGGGTTAGAGAGGAGAGCAGCTCCTTGAGAGGGAGGGAGAGAGAGAGAAGCAGACGTCTGAAGAGGGGGTGGGGGGAGGCGACAGAGCCCCCCGGGTTTCTAGGCCGCTGGAGGAGGCCGTGTCTGATTGACGCAGGGCTCACGGATTGTTCGATCAGGGAAGGCCGGCCGGCCCACCCTGATCTTACGCAAATGTGCTGACCTGTGAGACCCAGCCGCCATCTCGAACGTGATTGGCAGCTGCCGGCATCCGTGTGACCTCATGGCGCAACCTCACGGGTGCTGTTTGTTAGAAAGGAAATGATTTGGAGCCGCTTTTCATTAAGAGAAAAGCCTTGCCGACGGCCCCATGCCCTTGCTAGCTGCCTGAGTAATTTCTTCTTAACTCCTCTATCACTAGTATCATTGCAATAAAAAGGCACATTAAACGTTCGGATGGGCAGACACACCCACCTCGTCCACATGAGGCCCCTCCAGCACCCTGAGAAGCTCCCAGGCCCCGCCGTGAAGCCCCCGCTGCCCGACAGGCGCTGGTCTGCTTGGGGGTCCCGCAGGAGCCTGGTGTTCCCGGAAGGGCGCCGTGCGCTCACTTGGAGACTGGGTCCCTTCGGGGCCGAGGCCTGTGCAATCCGCCCGCTGCCTGTATCGGGAGCTCATTCCGTTTATCACTGAGTGTGGTCCGCGGGGTGGGTGTTCAGCAATTCCCTCATTCACCCGTCGGCGGGTGTTGACTGGGATTGGCTGTAAGGGCGGCTGCAGGCGCGCTCTGCCAAGGAGGCAGGCGTGGCCCACGTGGCCCATCCCGGCAGCTCTGTGGGACCCCACTGCGCCACGTCCTCGCTGACACGGCTGCTGGCACCCGCTGTAGGTTTGGCTGTGCTCATCGGCCCACTGTCATTTCAAGGTAGACTTTTTAAATGGTCCTCATGGCTCGTGATGAGCTTCTTTTATGAGGTTGTCGGCCGCTCTCCTGTGTTTTGTGAAGTGTCTTTTCAACACGTTTAACCGTTTAAGAGCTGCGTAGTTGTCTTTCTGTTCCTGAGCTACCGGAGTTCTTCGTGTGTGCCTGACAGAGATCTCTGTCCGATGTGTGTGCGATGAATCTCCCCCCAGCTAGTTCGCTTTCTCTTTTTCTGAACAATGTCTTTCAAAGGCCGAGAGGTCTCCTGGCAGCTGGGGCCACGTTTGCAAATTCCTCAGTAACAGGGTTATTGAATTTTGTGTCCTGCCGGGAATTACTCACCTTTCATAAAAGCTACAGATTTCTGTTTTCCTGTGCATAGCAATTCTTACACTGGCTTCAGGACCCTTTACACTCTTAAAAGTTATTGGCAGCCAGGCGCAGTGGCTCACGCCTGCAATCCCAACTCTGGGAGGCTGAGGCAGGCGAGCCCGGGAGTTGGAGAGCACCCTGGACAGCAAAGTGAGATCCCGCCACTGTCATTTAAAGTAAGAAAAATACGGAGGACCCTGAGCAGGTTTGACTTGGTAGATTAGGTTTATTGACATTTATTGTATTAGACATTAAAGTAGAGAAAATATTAGCAAGAACGCACAAGCACACGTTTCTGTAGCATCGTGGCCGTGACGTGGTGTGCTGTGAAGCCTCTGGAACATTCTTTTACGTGCATTTGTGAGAAAATGGGATGGGACGTAGAAAACAATGTCTCAGGACTGTTAGGAAATAGTTCGACCTTGTGGACCCACTGGAAGGGTCTCGGAGACCCCCAGAGTCCCGGACACGCTTGGAGAGCCGCTCTTCTGGTTTCCAGTGTTTGTTTTTGCGTTCACGTCAGCAGTCCCCTGAGAGCCGAGTTTGGTGTACGGTGCCGGGCGCAGCGGGTGGGCGAGCCCCACTGTTTTCCGTGCAGATCTTCCCCTTGTTTCAGAGCCATTTGTCGAAGGTACGCCCTCTCCCGCGGAATCGCGTCGGCGGCTGTGTTGAGCGTCAGCTGAGCCGGAGTCTCCGACTCGCTCTGCGCGTTGCTCTGTCTGGCTGAGCCTGCGCCGCGCTGCCCGGTCCCTGTAGATCTCTCGTGTTTTTGACGTGAGCAGGGCAAGCCTTCCAGCATTCTCCTTGAAGGCTGTCTTGGTGATCCTAGGCCTGCGTGTTTCCATGAAAGTTTACGAAGCGGCTTGCCAATTGCTAGTGGGGCGGGGGGCGGGGTGCCCGTGTGGTGGGAATCACACTGAATCTGCAAACGAGCTTGGGAGAAACGGGAGCCCTCCCGCCCGGCGCGGGTCCCTGAGTTCCCACCAGCATCTGTGGCTGCAGCAGAGGCCAGGCCTGTGTCCGTCAGACTCCCTCCCAGGTGTGGTTCTTGATGCCATCGCTGCACCTAAGTTTCTCATTGTTTGTTATATGTAGAAATACAGTTGCTGTTTATATATTGACCGTATATTCTGTGAGGCCAAATCCGCTTACGAAAGATGCCATTGGGGCTTTCAGGGCACACATGCACGCCACCTGCCTGATGTCTCTTTTTCTGGCCTCTGGCATTGCCCGGGACCAGCCAGAGGGGCTTAGAAGCTGCTGCAGCTGAGCATTGCCTGCCTGCCCCGCTCCTCAGCCCAGTGCGGGGACCCAGCCCGGCCTCCTCCCGCTCCTCAGCCCAGTGGGGGGACCCAGCCCGGCCTCCTCCTGCTCCTCAGCCCAGTGGGGGGACCCAGCCCGGCCTCATCATCAAGGGCATGTGCTACGCCCCTGTCACTGGCTCCCATTATAGCAGGAGGACATCCCTGCTTTGCTGGCATTTTGACTTTTTTTTTTGACTCATGAACGGGGACTAAATGTTGTCAAGTGTTTCTGTGTGTCTGTTACGACAGTCACGTGCCTTCTTGTGTGTCTGTTACAATGGTCACGTGTCTTCCTGTATGTCTGTTAGCGACAGTCACATGTCCGCCTGTGTGTGTTACCATGGTCACGTTTTCCTGTGTGACTGTTAGGATGGTCACGTCTTCCTATGTATCTGTTACGACGGTCACGTGCCCTCCTGTGTGTTACCGCGGTCACGTGCCCTCCTGTGTGTTACCGCGGTCACGTGCCCTCCTGTGTGTGTTACCGCGGTCACGTGCCCTCCTGTGTGTGTTACCGCGGTCACGTGCCCTCCTGTGTGTGTTACCGCGGTCACGTGCCCTCCTGTGTGTTACCGCGGTCACGTGCCCTCCTGTGTGTGTTTACCGCGGTCACGTGCCCTCCTGTGTGTGTTACCGCGGTCACGTGCCCTCCTGTGTGTGTTACCGCGGTCACGTGCCCTCCTGTGTGTGTTACCGCGGTCACGTGCCCTCCTGTGTGTTACCGCGGTCACGTGCCCTCCTGTGTGTTACCGCGGTCACGTGCCCTCCTGTGTGTGTTACCGCGGTCACGTGCCCTCCTGTGTGTGTTACCGCGGTCACGTGCCCTCCTGTGTGTTACCGCGGTCACGTGCCCTCCTGTGTGTGTTACCGCGGTCACGTGCCCTCCTGTGTGTTACCGCGGTCACGTGCCCTCCTGTGTGTGTTACCGCGGTCACGTGCCCTCCTGTGTGTTACCGCGGTCACGTGCCCTCCTGTGTGTGTTACCAGCGGTCACGTGCCCTCCTGTGTGTGTTACCGCGGTCACGTGCCCTCCTGTGTGTTACCACGGTCACGTGCCCTCCTGTGTGTGTTACCGCGGTCACGTGCCCTCCTGTGTGTGTTACCGCGGTCACGTGCCCTCCTGTGTGTGTTACCGCGGTCACGTGCCCTCCTGTGTGTGTTACCGCGGTCACGTGCCCTCCTGTGTGTGTTACCGTGGTCACGTGCCCTCCTGTGTGTGTTACCGCGGTCACGTGCCCTCCTGTGTGTGTTACCGCGGTCACGTGCCCTCCTGCTGACTGAGTCCACCGGCCCGTCCCGACTCCGTCCACCGCCTCCCTGCACCGCCGGTGCTCCTGCCCGCCTTCTCCGGGGCTCCTTGCCCTTGCCTAGAATTCTATTTCATTTCCACTGCTAGCTTCTTGGTTTCTCGCCTGTACCTTTTGAAGGAATGGGGATTTCTCTGGGACTGAGAGCAGGCACCCTTAACTCAGCACCGTCTGTGTCAAGCCAGCATCGCGCCAGCTTAGTTCCCGGGGGCACATGCCATAAAACACGGTGACCACGCCCCTCACACCCCTGCTGGGCCGTCCTTCGACCTCCCACGGCACAGTGTGAACCTCAGACCCCAGCACGGCTGTCGAGAACTGCTTCTCACGCCTGGGGCCGTCACGCCCGGCATGACAGTTGTACCGCACACACGCAGCCCGCGCGAGGCCAGGGGTTCCGGGCACCCCCACACAGCCTGCCTGAGGCCAGGGCGTCCAGGCTCCCCAGACGGGCTGCTCTGGCTGCTCTGCATGGCCCCTCCTCTCCAGAGCCAAGCCTCCTTCAAAGCCCTGCACCCCAACCCCTGCTGCCGTGGCCTGTGGGAATCACACCCCGCACTTGAGGAAGTTGTCCCCTGGTAGACGGCCAGGCAGTCTGGGGCTAGCGCCTGGGTCTCCTTCTCCCAGGGGCTGCTGTCACAAGCAGGGGGCGTGAGTGGGGAGGCCCCCGGGGTCTGCACGGTCTTCTTGTCCCCATTTGTGAGTCCCCAGGGCCAGGCAGGGATGTCACTGGATGGACGGCAGAAAGCCGGGGCACTGGGCACCAAGCCCGCCCTCTCCAGGCCTCGTCCTGGGGGTGTGACCCCAGCCCCTCCGGGCCCTGATGCCACGCCACCCCCACAGCCTCATGACGCTTCTCCGCTGCCAAGTCCACATGGAGATGGCACAGATCGAGGAGGACGAGGACCGGCTGGAGCCTGCCATGGAGCACCTGTGGAAAGCCACGCGCCTGGACAGCCTGGGCCTCTACCAGGACCGGCTCCGGATGGCCGCCACCCGGCTGCGCCTGTGCACCACGCTGTACCAGGCCCCCGAGCACGCTGAGGACAAGGCCATCATGGCCATTGAGCAGGTGCTGCCTGGGGGGCGGGGGAGGCCGGGTGCTGCAGCCCCAGCGTGGGGCCCAGGCTGGGCGCTGAGGGGAAGGGCACAGCAGAGCAGAAGCTGCCCAGGGCCGCCTGAAGCACGGAGGCCTGGGACCGAGCTGCCCCTGCGTCTGTGGGCACGAGGCCCTCACAGGAGGCTCCAGAAGCGGGAGAAGGCGCTGCGGAAGGCCCAGCGGCCCACTGCTCATCAGTCTGTGCTTTTCACAGGCAAAAAAAGCTACCCCGAAGGACAGCGTCAGGAAGAAGCGGGCCCTCCTGGTGAATGCAGGCCTGGCCTTAGCCCCCGACACCTTTCAGATCGTGCTGGACAGTGAGAATGAGGCCAAAGGTGAGTGCCACCCTGGGCTCCCCCGGCCTGGAACTGTCCACCTTGGAGTGGCTTCGAGGCTGCCCCAGGGCCTCCCCGGTCCCCATGCTGCCCTGCCACGGCCTCTGGATGTGCGGGGACCGTGCCGTATCCCATGAAGGTCGGGCCGTCCACAGGCAGCGTCCTCCAACCTCGGCCCGCCGGGTCTGGCAAGGCCCACGGAGGGTCTCCGCGGCCGTGGCTGGTGCCTGGCTGCTGGGACGGAGTCCACAGGCTCCACCTCTAAGACAGCAGGAGCTTCCTCCTACCAGCCCCAGGCTGGACGTCAAAGCCTGGGCGGGGCTGCTCCTCCTGAGGACTTTCTCCATGGCCCTGGGTGCTGTCTTCTCCCAGCATCCTCACAGGGCCGCCCTGCATTCTCCTCTCAATCCTCAGTGTCCACTGGGAAGAACAGGGGCCGGTTCGCCTACCTTTGCTCGAAGGCACGGCACCACATTGTCAGCGTGGACAAAGCTGCCGGGCACCTACGGCGTCTGGGCTATGAAAACGACAAGGAGAGGTGAGTGGGGAGGAGGTGAGAGCGGGAGAGGTGAGTGGGGGGAGGTGAGAGCAGGAGAGGTGAGTGGGGGGGATGTGAGAGCGGGAGAGGTGAGTGGGGGGGAGGTGAGAGCAGGAGAGGTGAGTGGGGGGGATGTGAGAGTGGGAGAGGTGAGAGCAGGAGAGGTGAGTGGGGGGGAGGTGAGAGCGGGAGAGGTGAGTGGGGGGGAGGTGAGAGCGGGAGAGGTGACGGGGGAGGAGGTCAGAGCAGGAGAGGTGAGTGGGGAGGTCAGAGCCATGCACAGCCGAGCCCAGGGATCACTCAGCCAGAGAGCCAGTGTCTGGTGGCCGAGCTGACCCCACATGTGGGCATCTGAGGACACACCAGGCCACTCCTCCAGGATGGTGGGAGGAAGCCCCTGCCTAGGGGTCCGACAGATGGGACCTCCCAGCCTGTGATGATGGCCACAGCCTGTGAGGTGCTCAGCCGCCCTGTCCCTTCTGTCACTTGGAGGGCACACAGTGCTGGTGACCGGAGCAGGCTGATTTTTGGTACCAACCCTGCAGTCGGTAGCACCCCCGGGGAGCGGATTGGGCGGCCTTTCTTCTGGCCACAGGGATGGAGGCGCCGCACGCAGCTGGCTGGTGGGGAGGCGGAGAGCCGTGCCCGCCCCAGGACAGGCCCCCGCCAGGCCGTCCCCAGCGTGCGCACCGCGCTCCTTTTGCCACCTGTAGACTGCAGAGCCTCGGTGGCTTTTTCTCAGGCAGCCAGCCCAGGTACTTGTGGTTTAGCTGCCGCATCTGTCTACTCACTTTTCCCTCGCTGGGTCCTCGGTGAGCAGGGTACAGATCTGGGCGGAGCTGGCCAAAGTGGCGAGGAAGCAGGGCGTGTGGGACGTGTGTCGCTCGGCGAGCCGCTTCTGCCTCCTGTACGACAGCGTCAAGGTGAAGAAGCTGAGGCTGCGGAGAGGTTCGTACGCCCCTCGGGGGTGTGTCCCAGCCTGGCCGCGGCCGCCCTCTGTGGGCAGGAAGGGCTGTGGTTCGTGCGGTTCCGACGCATGGGGCCTTCACGTGAGAAAGGGTATTGCCACGTTACCATAGTCACAGTTCCCACTAAGCAGGACCGCAGTCACGGTGGCAGCCACATCTGGCTGCGTCAGCCATGCCACGGGCATGGTCGGTACGTTCCAAGTCGCCACTAGAGGCCTCAGAGGCTCAGGCAGGGGACAGTCAGGACCCAAAGAGACGAAGGAGGGAGGCGACAGAATGGGCATGGAGGCCTGGGAGTCCTGCAGGAGTCGGGGAGGGCACCCCCCCGGAGAAGGTGGGGGGTGCAGGAGGTGCTTGGAGAGCCACAGGTGCCAAGAGTGTCCGCAGGGACGTGGCCAAGAGCAAGCCGACTCGGCAGCCAGCTCTGCCCCACAGAGAGCTCCTCTGGCCCCGCCCTGGGCAAGCTGCCCACTTCGGGCCCGCCTGCCCACCTGGGTGGCTCTATGTGCAGCTGCGAAGAGGCTCCGGCACTCCAAGGTGGAGCAGGAATTCTTGGGTTTTTATTTGCTGGAACAAAAACATGATCCTCACCTGCTGCCATTACTCTCAGGGAGGAAGAGGCGAGGTGGGGACAGCTCAGTGCAGGACGCTGGGAGCCAGCCTGAGGTCGTCCTGCAGAGGCAGGTGTCCCCTGACCTGCTTCGGAAGTTCGCAGAGGTGGGGTTCATCAATGCTGAGGTGCGTCACAGAGCGGGGTTCATCAGCGCCGAGATGGGCGGAGGGGGCTCATCAGCGCTGAGATGGATGTGGGGTTCATCAGCGCTGAGATGGGCGGGGGGGGGCTCATCAGTGCCGAAAAGGGTGGGGGGGTTCATCAGCACTGAGGTGGGTGGGGGGTTCATCAGCGCTGGGATGGGCGGGGGCTCATCGGTGCTCAGATGGGCGGGGGCTCATCGGCGCTGAGATGTGTGTGGGGTTCATCGGTGCTGAGATGTGTGTGGGGTTCATCGGCGCTGAGATGGGCAGGGAGGGGTTCATCGGCGCTGAGATGTGTGTGGGGTTCATTGGCACTGAGGTGCATCTTGGAGGGGTGCACAGTTTTGAGGTGCGTCCCCGCAGCACGGCTCAGGGTTGCTTTCTTGCGTCGGTGCAGCCCGCTGCAGGGCTGGTGCTGGTGTCCACGTAGATATTTATCATCTCAGAACCTTCTGCACCTCAAACAAAATGAACGTGAGGGAGGGAAAACTTCCCGGATTCTTGGAAGATTTTCTAGGAGAAAAATATAACCCAAAATGTGCATGGGAGTCAGTTTCTCTTGGGAACCATTTCTGAGTGGTGAAACTGCCGCTGTGGGTGACAGGGCGACTGCCGCCCCGCTGAGGGGAGACACCTTGGCGTTCGCTGCAGAAGCACTTTGAGCGGGATGTGATGTCCAGGGGCCCTGCCGTGGGCGCGCCAGGCCTCTTCCTCCCACGCAGGCACAGAGAACCCCTGGCTCGCCCTGCCCAAAGTCAGCAGGTGGGAAACGCCGGCGCTGGATCCGAACTCAGCCTGGGGACCTTGGGTCTGAGCTCGCAGCCGCTGTGCCGTGCCAACATGTGTGACCTTTGTGACACTGTGTGACTTCAGAGTTTTCATAGCCACTCTAGGTTAGGTTTCTGTGGATTTACTCAGTGGGTGCGTGGCACTCAGCCTCGGAGGCCAGCACACCTGCTGATTTATTCAGTACATCCACTGAGTGGCTCCCAAGAGCCAGGCCCACGCCCTCAGCTGGGGTCACAGAGGGAAGCAGCATGGACCCCGCTGCTCCGGGAGCCAGAGCCCAGCTGGCAGAACCAGAGCCAGTGGAGGCCATGGGGCTGTGAGGGATGTTCAGCCGCACTCCAGGGGCCAGTGCAGCACCTAAAACGTGATGATGCAGGGAGCTGCGGGTGCTGGCCGGGGTCTGCTGACGCCAGGAAGCCGCTGAGGCTCCTCCACTGGGGTGTGTGGTGCTCTGGAAGGAGCCTTCTCTTCCCTGTCCCCACCGTGATGGTGGAGAGTCTACCAGGAACTGGCTTTAGTCCCTGGAGTGGCTGTCAGGCAGGCCCAGCTTGCAAAGGGCACACCAGATGGGTCTCCCTGGCTGTGCTTGGCACGTTGCAAATCAGAGCCCAGGGAAGGTGCATGTTCCTCGTGTGGAGCTCAGGGAAGGTGCGTGTGTTCCCCGTGTGGAGCTCAGGGAAGGGTGCACGTTCCCTGTGTGGAGCCGGGCCGGTGCTCTGACCACAGTCTCTCCCACTGCCCGCATCTTTTGCAGGCCACTGTCCATTTGCTGCGGTCAGAAGGTGTAGAACTGAATGAGCGGCCCATCCCCCCCGAAGACCTGAGCCAGCACCCAGCGGGCTACGTGCCTGAGCCCCCGGAGGCGAATGCTGAGTGGGTCACATACAGGTGGGCAGCGGCCGCGGCCTGGAGCACTGCCCGGGACACGGGTCAGAGTGTCCTCTGCACGGAGGCTGGCGTGGGGAGGGACACCCTCTGCATTCCTAAGGACACAGCCTTCTCACGTGGGGAAGGTGTCCATTGTCCCGTAAATGACCGAGACCATGAAGGAGGAAACGGGGTGAGGAAATGGAGTCGTGGGGTAACGGATGACCTCACCTGTTTTTAGCAGTGTTCCCTAGTGAGACCCCAGGCATGGTCTGTTATTACTATGAGCGAAAGTTCACGGGCGCCTTTCCCGGGGTGCTCAAGTGTCAGCCTTGCTGACTCTCATCAGCTTCTCTCAAGATGTGTGAGAGTCAGCTGCTTTCACGGGGAGGTGGGATTCATGGTGGAGAAAAGAAGGAGCAGCTTCTGTGTTGCTCAGGAAAAGCCACATTCTCCCTCCTGTTGTGGGAAGAGCCTCAAACACTCCTTGTATCAGTAAGAAACCCTTGTATAGAATATCTCATAGGGTTTGCCTACGAGAGTTTCCAAGTTAAGAAACAATCATGAAATTGGAGTGATTTACTAACAGTGATGGTTTTTACCTATTCTTAATCTAAAATTAAATATTTTAAACTAGTTTTTACATTGACAGTAATCGTACAACTTCTGGGGTGACGTTTCCATCCGTGTAGCGTGTGGAGATCAGATCTGGGTCATTAAGAATCTGTCACCCGGGACGTGCGCTGTCTCTCTGTGTTGGGAACGTTCAGTGCCCCCCTCCAGCATCCCTGTAAACTGTAGTCACCTGCCATGCTGCAGGGTGTGGGAACTTGTCCCTCCGACATAGCCATGTCAAGCACATGAACCTGGTAAGCATGGGTGTCCTGACTACCCATGCAGCAGAAGCTGGGCATGGCACCCCACCCTCGCTGGTCACACGGGGCAGAAGGAAAGCCAGCTCTCTGTGCGTGCTGCGCATGCCTGCACCCACCCGGCCGAGCCCTGTGGAGGGAGAGGATGTCAGGTAGCAGCAGTGACGGTGGCGGCTGCAGGTGGCCTTGCTTGGCCTTGGCCTCTTGGGATCCTCCCTCCTGCAGCAGCTCCGGGCTCTGTGAGGAGCCGCGTAGCCCAGGCCTGCCCCGGGCTCCCGGGTTCCAGATGCCTCTCCAGGTCCAGGCCCAAAGCTGGGCAGAGCTCTGCACTCCTGGTAGGCCTGCTCTCAGAGAGAGGAGGGTCTGAAAATTAGAGCTCGGGCTGTTTACAGCCCATGAGCTGAGAGTGGCTTTGACACATTTAAATTTGTAAAACAAAATAGAAACAATAGGCAGTGAAGATTAGACGGAGCTTGTAAAACCCAAAATGCTAGAAAAAGTGTACGCAGCCTGGTCTAGCGGGGCGGACAGACGCCGTCCACGTGCGCGCTGCTGGCCGAGGGCTGACTGCCCTGCACTCGGTGTGGTGGCTCTCTGAGGAAGGGCAGCCTGCAGGCGACGGTGGTGGCTGGAAGAGGGTGACGCTCCCTTGGCCAGCAGGGAGGGCGGTGCGGTGCAGTGTGGAGGGAGGCCAGGGGGCACACAGCGGCAGCAGCAGCGTGGCGGGAGGTTTGAGGGGAGCGGGGGTCCCATGGCGGGGGTGAGCACTTGTGGCCATGGGAACCAGCCGGGGCTGTTGGAGGCGTCCAGGGAGGATGAGGACACACTGGAACGAGGGGGCCGCCGGGAACGGGGAGCGCCAGGCTGGGCCACAGTGCTTCAGGTGGAGGCTGTGGGAGGCTGAGGGTGCTGAGGGGTGGGGTGGTGAGGCCTCTGCCCCACGCCGTCCCCACGGGAGCCCCTGTCTGAGCCCGGCGCTCCACAGACTTCCGGAAACAGGAGAGGCTCACAGGAAGAGCCCAGGCGTTCTTTTGGGAGGGCGGGTGGGGAAAGGCTTTGTTTCACACTCAGGCAGTCGGCCCCAACCATTCTGGGACTGGTTTTGTGGGAGACAATTTTTCCATGGACTGTCTGGGTGGGGGCTGGTTTCGGGATGAAACCGTTCCACTTCACATCATCAGGCATTTGTCTGATTCTCATACATCCCTCAAATGTGCAGGTCACAATAGGGTTCGAGTTCCTAGGACACTCGAATGTGGCCGCTGATGGGACGGGAAGGAGTGCCAGCGATGGGGGTGCCTGTGAATACAGATGAAGCCCTGGTCACTCACCTGCCCGCTGCCCGCTTCCGGCCGCACGGCCCAGGTCCTACAGGCCACGCCGCAGTCCTGGTGCCTGGCCCTGGGGCCGGGGACCCCAGCTAAGGGCTTGATGATGCACATTTTGCAGAACCTGGATTGAGAGCCTGTCCCAGTACGCCATGAATAACTGGCTGCACTCTGCAGAGATTGGACAGGAGCTCCAGGAGGCGTGGATCGTGCAGAACGCTGTGGTCTACGTCCTGAACCACAGCCGCCACCTGATCCTGGCCGGGCGGCAGAGGGAGCTGGTGGACGCCCTGCACCACCTCCTGAGCATCGTCAAGGCCACAGGCCACAGCGGGTGCGTGTGGGTCGGCTGCACGGCGTGCCCGCGAGGAGGGGCTGCTTCCCACCGCTGGCCCCTTCCCTCGGGACACCCCAAAGCAACTGTGCTCCGCGGCCCTCTGCGTCTCAGCAGAGGAGGGTCGTGGGCACCGTGCACCTCAGTCCTCCCACAGCCTGAGGACCCGGCACATGGGACAGGTGTGGCCTGTGGGGGGCCACGGTTCCCTCTGATGAGTGTGTCTCCCAGGGACCCTGTGATGCTGGTGACGCTCTGCAACACGCTGGCACGAGGCCTGATCATCAGCTGGATCCCAGCCCCGGCCGCTGAGAAGTCCAGGAAACTGGTGCGAGCCAATGCCTTTCACAGCCCACTGGACGCGGGAGCCACCTCCGAGATCAAAACAGCGGTGGAGGTAACGCCTCCATGATGCCGAGAGAGAGAGAGAGAGAGAGAGAGAGAGAGAGAGGAGAGGAGAGTGGAGAGAGGAAGAGAGGAGAGGGGAGAGAGAGGTGTGTGTGTGTGTGTGTGTGTGTGTGTGTGGCGGTGGGGGTGGCAGCTGACCCAAGAGGCAGCCCTGCAGACCGGGAGGCTGGGGGCCGAGCTTCTGAAGGCTTCCGACGGGATGTCTTTGTGGAATCTGACACGTTTGGAAGTTTATGCAGAAGGAAGGACGCTGCCCAGCAGCTGCCTGAGCTACTGAGACATTTTGCAAGGAGCAGGTGTTCGTGTTATGCTTTACTGGGGAAGAGAAAGCGAGAGACGGGACGTCCCTGGGTCAGCCAGTGGCAGCTCTCGGTGGCCTGTGCTTTCTGCACTGGGTGAGGCTTGGAACAGGGACTCGCTGATCCTCACGACGTCACACTACTGGGTTTGGTTTCTATGTAGAGGTGGGGAAACTGAGGCACAGCATGAGGAATCTTGCATGGTCGCACGGCCAGCAAGGCAGGGACCTGGGGCACAACCCAGAGGCTCGGAGCAGCAGCCCACAGGCCCTTCACTGTGGGCAAAGCACATGGCAGATTTCACGTCCCCGAATTCGGGACTCCATCCTCGCTGACCCCTGCAACCGAAACCAGCCGCAGTGGGGGAGGGGAGCCGGACAGCTCCTCTGTCCCAGGCAGAGGCTGGGGTGCGTCGGAGGCCAGGTGCTGTGGACCCTCCGTGGTCTTCTAGTGGTTTGGACCTTGGCTCAGGGTCCCCTGTTGTGACTAAGAACGCGTCCTTCCCAGGTCTGCGAGTTCGCCCTGAACCTGACCAACGGGAGCAGGCCAGAGGAGATGGTGCCCACCCATGTCCGGCAGCAGCTCCTCGCCACCTGGGTCAAAGCCAAGCAGCTCCTGCAGCAGCAGATCGGGCCACGGCTGGGCACCGAGGAGCAGGTGGGCACCCCGTCGGCATCTGGGCTCCGACCGATGCCCTGGGACCATAGATGTCCAAGGCAGCCGGGGGTGGGGGACCCCTGGGACCACTTAGCCCCACATGGCGCCATCGGGGCCGCCTGGCACTCCCTGATGGGAGCCTCCTCTGCCCACCCATCCGTGGGGTCTGTGAGCTGCCAGGCCTCGGGGGGTGCTGCCCTTTCCTAGGGACGAGCGGGCTTTGGGAGGTCCCATGGGCCCTGGAAAGCCTGATGGAGGAGGGGCCTTGAGGCCTGGCCAGGAGCGAGGGGTCAGCTGGGGCCCAGGGAGGCAGGGAGGGTCCAGGCGTCGGCCTGCCTGCCCAGGCAGCCACCATGTCAGGCCCACTGGTCCTTCCTTCCGCGGGGATCACCTGGCCATCCAGCAAGGCTGCCTCACACACGGGGCTGCACGGCCTTGGGGCTCTTCATTGTCTGAGAAGACGGTGCGTAGGTCAACAGTTACAAACGGAACCTCAGGTATAAACGCTCCCAATTTTGGGGTCTGATGATGGCCCTTAAACTAATACCTTGCAGTGTTAAATTCAGGCATATTCCAGACACTCCCCCACAGCGTCATGTTCACACGTGTTCCAGACTTTGCCCTGCACCCTGGGGGTTGGCACACTCAGGGCACTCTCCCCACCAGGGCACCAGCGAGGACGTCAGCTCGGTCACCAGGGTCCTTGTTGCGTTGGAAATGTACTCGTGCAACGGGCTGGGCCTCATGGACTTCACCGTCCCCTCCCTGGCCCAGGTAGGTGTCCCCAGGGGTCCTGGGAGGTCAGGGGTGAGGACCCCAAGGCTCCGAGGGTGTTGCCCGAGGTGGGCAGAACTCAGGCCCCGGTGCACATGCTCGCCCCACCCTCCCCCACCTCCCGACAGAGCTGCGCCCTCCACATGCTTCCTGCAGCGTCACGCTCGGGGCGCCCCTGTCTCCTGGGGGGAGGACCACGTCGTCTGAGCAGACCCTTCGTGTCCCGCCCCACCCTAAGCCACTCAGCGCAGGGCAGGGGGAGCCACACACACCTGTGCTGTGTCCAGGACGGCCCGTGGGGTATGGAAGCCACAGGACATGAGGGGCCCTTACAGGCATGGACGTGGCAGCTCCACTTTTGTGGGCAACATGCAGTGGCCTCCACAGGCCGCGCCTCCCTTTAGAATCACATGCGCCGCGTGACCATGGGGAGTGCAGGCGGTGGGAAGGTCGCCGTCGCTCACACGGTGCCCCTCCTCCTGCCGCCCACCGGAAGGTGGTGAAAATGGCTTCTGAGTGCAACTGGTCGGACCCCCTGGTGGAACTGCAGACCCTGACGCGGCTGACCCACTTCGCCTACGCGGCACGTGACCATGAGACCACCATGGCCTGTGCTCACAAGGCCGTTGAGATGGGCGTCAAGTACCTGAAGATATTTGGTCCGTGAGTAGCCTCTCACGACTGGACGAATTCCCCCCACAGGGGCAGGGAGCGTGGGCCTCGGCCACAGTCACAGGTCAGGGTGCCTGCGAGCACTCCACCAGGTCCCCAGGCCCCGGCCCGAAAGCTTCCCGCGGGCGACAGCCACGCGCATAGGCACCCTTACCTGCCGGCCCCTGCTCTCATGGATGCGTCCTCAGCGGCCCTGTGGAAAGCTGAGTCAAGGAGGGTTCTGAAGTCACATGGGCCTCAGCAGGAGGGCTGTGCATGGCAGACACGGAAGGGGTCTCAGCCCATTCAGAGGCTGAGACAAAGGGCCACAGAGTCGGGGCTCCAACCCTAGGTGGTTCCTGCTCACAGTTCCAGAGGCTGGAAGTCCCATCCAGGTGTGGCAGGTTCGGCGTCTGCGGAGGGCCCCTTCCTGGCTCACAGATGGTGCTTCCTGCTGTGTCCTCACGTGGTGGAAGGGGCAGGGAGCTCTCTGGGGTCCCTTACAAAAAGACCAGCACCATGGGGTGAGCACTTTTCAGCATGGGAATTTTGAGGGCACAGACATTCAGCAGGTAGAAAGTGGCTTCCATCTGCCATTTCTGACGACATGCAGGTTTGTTTGAAGTAATTGTGAATAGACAGATATGCACGCTAATTAAGTTTGGAAATAAATAAGGATAATTTCAATGAGGGAACATCGCCTCTGGCTCTGGGTCCTCAGTCACCGCCCGACCCAGCCGCCCGCCAGGCCCACCGCCGGCACAGCCGGACCCAGAACCTTTCCATGCTTCCCTTGCATTTTCACGGTTCTCACTTGCAGTAACTCATCGTGTTCCATCCAGTTGAGCAATTGTTATCGTCCCTAATCTTTTCCCGATTTTTGAAAATCAGGCTGTTTTCCATGCATTGCTGTTGTAAATATTCCTGCAGTGAAGGCTCTTGTCCATGCTTTGCTGTTGTAATTATTCCTGCAGTGAAGGCCGTTGTCCATGCGTTGCTGTTGTAATTATTCCTGCAGTGAAGGCTGTTGTCCGTGCATTGCTGTTATAATTATTCCTGCAATGAAGGCTGTTGTCCATGCGTTGCTACTGTAAATATTCCCGCAGTGAAGGCTGTTTCCTTGAGGTCCTTTTTGGCTAATTTCCTTGGTCTCATTATCCTGGAAGATGCAATCACTGACCCAAAGGCTGTAAAGATATTCCCTGTTGCCAAATGGCCAGTGTGGGCAGCGCCTGCCAGAGCCCAGGAGCACCCCAGGCCCCCGCCCCATCTTCTTGCTGCCCTGCCCACAGGGATGGCTTCAGGGCCTGTGTCGGCCACACCTGTGGGCATGTGGGGCCAACATAGGAACATGCCGAGATGTGTTTCATGGCAGCAACTTCCACGTGTCCAGGGTCTCCTGGGTGCTCAAGGGCATAAGCAGGCCCATGCTCAGGGCCAACGCCTCACACGCTTGGCCCCGTTCATGCTTCCCAGTTTGTGGCACTGCTGTCCTGAGGCTCCAGAGCAGGAAACAGGCAGGCAGAGGCCCAGTTGTTCCTGAGGCCACCCAGCGGGGGTGAGTGGCAGAGCTGGGACCGGACCCAGGTGATTGGCCATCAGCGTTGCCTCGGTAGGGGTGAGGCTGTGAGCCGTGCACCTGGGACCCTGCCCTGCTGGCCTGGCACCTCTGAACTGGGTGCCCCATGCCCACCAGGGGGGCTGGAGGGAGAGCATGGGAGTGAACGGCCAGAGCAGAGTTGGGCTGGAGCCCAGTCCCACCGTTTTCTCTCTGCCGACACAGAGGGGAGTTTCGTTGTGACTCTTTCCTCCGAAGCCGTGTGGACGGGACTCGTTCTCTCCAGCGTCCCTCTGTCAGAGGCTGGAGGTTGGGTTTTCCTGCAGTCTGTAATAAGATCACTTTGCTTCTGGGAGGAAAACTCACCTGCTCCGATGTCCCTGCCTGGCAACCCTGACCCTAGAGCTCTACGCCAGCGTCTCAAGCACACCCTCGCGGGCAGCTGAGGCTCCTCAGGCCATGGCGAAGGCCCTTCAGCTTTAAAGAGAAGACCAGATCACAGAAATGGAAAGTTGCTCCGGATGGAACAGGCTATGTAAGGATCCGAAGAGAACATTTCAGACAGAAACAACACCATGAAGAAGCTTGAGGGGATACGGCATTTACAGACTGGAAACAGAGGCACAGTGGGGGCCAGAAACCCTTGGAAATCACAGAGGTAATTAAAGGAAAATTAAAGGAAGGATTAGAAAATAAAACTGAGGAAATCTCTCAGAACAGATGAAAAGGACAGAGATAGAAAATGTGAGAGAAAAGCCTCACGCAGGACGAGTACAGGAGGTCAGACGTGAGCCGCAGGCTGAGCGCCCCTCAGCCAAGACGCCTGAGGCCAGAGTGTGGATTTCAGATTCGGGGGTTTGGGATGTTCCAGAGGGTTTGGAATATTCTGGGGGATTTGGAATTTTCCGGGGGATTTGGAATTTTCTAGGGGATTTGGAATGTTTCAGCGGGTTTGGAATATTCTGGAGGATTTGGAATGTTCCGGGGGGTTTGGAATATTCTGGAGGATTTGGAATGTTCTGGGGGGTTTGGAATGTTCTGGAGGATTTGGAATTTTCACATTTTGCTCCCAGCTCAGCACCCCTACTTCAAAATCTGAAATGCTCCAATGAGCGTCATGTCAGTGCTCAAACAGTGTCAGGGTTTGGAGCATTTGGGATTTCAGATTTTCAGATGCAAGATGCTCTGCCTGTATCGGATTCCAGAAGGAACAAAGGCAGAGGAGGAGGGAACTGGAGGAAGCGGGGCCCAGCAGTTTCCCGGGTAAAGGCCAAGGACGCCGGCTCCTGGCCCCACCCAGGATGGCCTGCAAGAATTCGGAGAGCTCCCATCCATCACGGGACGTCATGGGATACAGGAGATCTCCGCTGGCAAAGAGAAGACCCTGAGAGGTGGGAAAGGAAGCCGCCTACAGAGGAGCAGGAAATAGACCTGCCCCAACTTTCCCGGCAGCCGCCACCCTGAGCAAGAAAATAGAACATTCCAAGTGCAGGTGATTGTCAGCCTCACCCAAACCATCGGTCACATGTCAGGTCAAAACAAAGCCGTTTTTAGACAAAAGGGGCCCAGCGAGTATACTTCCCACACACATTTTCAGAAAGTTTCTTGAGGTTATGATCCAGAAAAACAAGGAAGTAAACCGCCCCCCCCCCGAGAGAGAGAGAGAGAGAGAGAGAGAGAGAGAGAGAGAGAGAGAGAGACAGACAGACAGACAGACGTGGGATGCTAGATAACAGGTTCAACCCAGAGAAGTAGCCCAGAGCTGTCCGTAGATGGACGCTGTGCAGAGAGAGCCCCTGGCCTGCACTGGGCAGCTCAGGAGGACCTTGCAGAGGGTGGGGAAACTGGCTCCCTAATATGACAGGTGGGGAACTGTCCAGCGGGGCAGAACAGTCAGACTCCGGGAAACCATGTCATTGACAGCCGGAACCTCCAGTGAGAAACATGGTGTTCATTGATGTTCCACTTTCAGGATTAACTTGTTGACAAAGCAGCATTTTGACAAAAGGCAAGGATGGATCTTGGCAATACAGAAGTGAAGGAGAGCACAGGTGACGTACGTCAGCGGGGCAGGAAGGACGAGCTGAGGAATGTGGGTAGCCCTCACCCGGGAAGGCGAGTCACCAGGGCCACGTGGGGACCAGAAGATGAGAGGCTGGCGTGACCCTGTAGGTGCTGAGGTGATAGGTGGGGATTGAGTGTCCTGCGGTCACGGGCCACACGAGTCCTCTGGAAGGGGCTGCAGGGGCCTGAGCTGAACTGCATTCATCCCCGTGGGCAGCCTGTAGGTTTTGTTTAAAATGGGGGCACAGGGAAGCCAAGGTGGAAGCCTGGCGTTTAGAGGGGCACAGAGACCTGGGGTAGACGGAGGGCACATCCGGAATCTGCTCCTTTTCAGGAGCAGGGCTGCACGCAGGCAGGGGTGGTCTTGTGTTACCCACAGGCAGGCCCCACTCGGCCAGTCAAAAATCACTTCTGGCTAGCACGGTGGCTCACACCTGTAATCCCTGCACTTTGGGAGGCTGAGGCAGGAGGATTGCTTGAAGCCAGGAGTTTGAGACCAGCCTGGGCAACATGGCGAACCCCATCTCTGCAACAAAAATACAAAACTAGCCAGGTGTGGTGGCGTGTGCCTGTGGCCCCAGCCACATGGGGGACTGAGGTGGGAGGATTGCTTGAGCCCAGGAGGTTGAGGCTGCCGCAAGCCGTGATCGTGCCACACAAAGGACGATGTGGGAGCTGGGCGCCCCGGCCGTGCCACTGCTGTGTGAATGGACTTAGAAATCCGCTCTTCTGTTGAACAAGCTAAAACTGTACATTTTTACATATGGTAACGAAAGGGAAGGTCATATGAGGCGGGAAAAATGATTTCCGTGCTAGGACTTTCGGGAAGTCCCTTGTGGACCGTCGCTGTCCTCTGGTGGCCGTTGCTGTCACTGCGCTCAGGAGACAGAGGCCCTGGGAGCGCTGCTCAGTAGGAGACGATGGGTCCCCTTGCTGGTCACTGTCAGAGCCACAGGCCCTTCCTATAAAAATTATATATATATTTATAATATATATATAATAATATATATAATAATATATATTTAAAAGTCACCTAGTTCTGGCCTTGGAAGCGTAATGGGTATCACACTTGTGCTGGGAAAACGAAAAGCCACAAGACTTGAAAACATACGTGAGACAGTGGTTTTAGCCGTTGAGCAGCAGGCGGCACGGGGCAGCGACTCCTGCAAGAAGGGACCGCCGGGGGCGGGCTCCGCGTTCTGCCTGAGGGAGCGTCTCACGCCGCAGCCCGGAGGAGCGTGTCCTAGATGGAGAGTCGTGGGGAGAAACAGGGCTCAGGGCTTGGGTCTGCAACCGCGGGGGTGTCTAGGACGTGACGTGACGCGGGAATGTGGGACAGGGCCTTGTTCTGTGGAGCCGCCTGTGAGTCTGTGGCCTGCCCGCTGGTAAACTCTGTGTGTGCACGGACTAGATTCCAGGCCTGGCAGAAAGCAGGAACGAAGGGTTCTGTGAGCTGTCAAGAGGCCAGGGCCAATACTGTGCCCAGAGAAGCTGGAGTTCTGAGCAACGCACATGGGGAGACCTCACGGCACTCCCAGGCACTCGGAAAGGCATGCCTTAGGAACGGGTGAGCGCAGGCTCGGCCCGGCAAAGCTCAGTAGGGCAAAGCTGAGCCACCAGGCACTAACTGCCTGTCAGGACAAAACCCAGCACTCTTTAAAGGAAGTCAACACAACCGCACGTTGAACGGTGTATCCCTCAGTGTCTGGCATAAAGTCAGAAATTACCAGATGTGTGCAAAGGCAAGAAAGTGTGGCTCAGAACCAGGACAAGGGAGAGCAGAATGAAAACACAGCGGACAGACCCCACTGTGCTACACGTTAGAGGGCTGAGAACAGCTGCTGTCAGCACAGGCGCGGATTCTCAATGGACGTAACTAGCGTGCAGGCGGGAATTTAAATAAACAATGGAAACTTAATAAAATGAGTGGAATTCCTAGAAATGAAAAATAAAGGATCTGAAATGGAAACGCCGCCAGAAGAGCTTCACATCAGGCTAGACACCGAAGAATGACAATCAGTAACTTTGAATCCAGGCCCACAGAGGATGAAAATCAGGGAGAAAAACCGAGAAACGAAATGAGCAGAGCTTTCACTCTGGGACCTGTGGGGCCGTATCAGGGGTCTGCCCAGAGTGTAACCGGAGTCTCAGGGGGACAGAGGCGGGAGTGGGGTCAAAATTCGCGCATCTGAAAACACAGTGGCTGAAACTTTTACAAGTTGAGTTACAAATATCAGCCTGGAGATTCAAGGCTGTCAAGGAACCCCAAATGGGATAAACACAAAGAAAACGACATCTGGCCCCACTGTAGGGAATTGTAGTCACATTGCTGAAGACCAAAGACCAGGAAAAAATCCTGGAAAGAATTTGGAGCGGGGATGGATGTGCTGCATATGGAAAACCAGGGCAAGAATTGCTACTGGCTTCACATCACAAACGGTGTGAACCAGGAAACAAGCACCACAGTTTTTAAGTGTTAAAAAAGAAACTTGTCAGTCTAGAATTCTGTATTCACCAGCAACAGTCCTCACAAATGAAGACAGAATCAAGACATCTTAAGATCAATAAAAGCTCAGAGGATTCATTCCCAGCAGGTCCTTAGAAGAGGAGGTGCGAGCGGATATGAAAAACACCAAAAATGGTCAGTTTGGGGGTAAACATAAAAGACTTTTCTCCCTTTCAGTTCTGAGGTTCTTCAAGAAGCATTTGACATTTTAAAGCAAAAATAACATCCTATCGTGGGATTTTTCATAAATATGGAGGCAAGATACAGGGCGGTGGAAACTCACAGGACGGGCTGAGAGCGAATTCGAGAGCCCTCGTGCCGCACGGGACCTGGAGTGGGACCCGCACGTAGAGCTGTGTTTGGTGAAGGGTGCATGCCACGATCCCCGGAGCAAGGGCTAAGAAGTGGAATAAATAGAGAGATGTAGCAAAGATCTAGTAGAGGATATAAATGGGGACACCAAAAATACTCAGTTCATTCATAAAGAGAGGAACAAAGAACACGGAAGTCAAAAGGAAAGCGAGGAGCAAATGGTGGATTTGACCCGGCCACGTCAGTCGTTCCATTAAATGTAAATGAACCAACTGGCAGCTAAAATGCAGTTTATCCCTCAGACTGTAGGAGTGACACCCGGTGATGAACTGTGTACAGGACACCTGCAGGGTTTATCCCACAGACTGTAGGAGTGACACCCGGTGATGAACTGTGTACAGGACACCTGCAGAGTTTATCCCTCAGACTGTAGGAGCGACACCCGGTGATGAACTGTGTACAGGACACCTGCAGGGTTTATCCCACAGACTGTAGGAGTGACACCCGGTGATGAACTGTGTACAGGAGACCTGCAGAGTTTATCCCTCAGACTGTAGGAGCGACACCCGGTGATGAACTGTGTACAGGACACCTGCAGAGTTTATCCCGCAGACTGTAGGAGCGACACCCGGTGATGAACTGTGTACAGGAGACCTGCAGAGTTTATCCCTCAGACTGTGGGAGTGACACCCGGTGATGAACTGTGTACAGGACACCTGCATAGTTTATCCCTCAGACTGTCAGAGTGACACCCGGTGATGAACTGTGTACAGGACACCTGCAGAGTTTATCCTGCAGACTGTAGGAGTGACACCCGGTGATGAACTGTGTACAGGAGACCCGCTTCAAACGTGGAGACACAGGTTAAAGGTAAAAGGATGGGAGAGGCAGTGTGCAATCACCAGCCATGAGAAAGCTGGTGTGGCAACGTTCAACAGCCCAGGCACGCTATCCCAGGTGGACATTCCCGTAATAAACGGTTAAATCTTCAAGAAGACATGATGCTGAATGTGTGTTCACCTAATAGCAGAGCTTGAAAATACAGGAAGCAAAATACGGATACGTCTTCCATTCCTCTCTCAGCAGCTGACAGGACAGTTGGGCTGCAGCTAGAAGGACCAGTCCTCACTCATCGGCATTCATAGAACACCCAGCAACTGCATAACACGGATCAAAAGTCGGTACCCAGGAAACCGAACTCTCCTTCCTGGCCTGCGAGGTCGCCACGCCTGCCTCAGAAGGTGTTTTCAGGTTCAGACCGCCGGCTTGCATAGGCCAAGGGGCAGTACCGTCCTCCTTCGAACCCTTCAGGCAGAGGGGCAGACATGGCTGTATGCTCCTGAGGCAGGTCCCTGGCTCTGGGACCCTGGTCTGTGAAGGGAGTCTACCTGTGAACCAGCATCTTTTTTACGGAATCAATTCGGTGCCTCCTCTGAGCTGAACCTCGCGGCGTGCTCCTGCCCACGGGCGGGCATCCTGCCTTAGCGTGTGTGATGCTGCAGCCCCGGCTGTGGCAGCCCTGCAGCCGCGACCATCCAGGGACGAGGAGCCGTGGAGCCGATGCTGCTGTGACACCTAGGGGTCACAGCAGAGCTCTGGGTACAGAGTGGACCTTCTGAGGCCAGACTTCTGTGAGCGCCTGGGCAGCAGAGCCTGTAGAGGGGAGGGGCCCCAAAAGGAGGGCCAGTTCTGTGGATCTGTTCTGCTAAGCCCCTGAAAAGTTAAAAAAAGAGTCATTAAAAAAACCGGTCAGTGATTCTACCCTGTGGTTCTGGGGGCTGACCAGACACAGCCAGTTAGGTTTGGGTTGGGGTCTCTCATGAGGTAACTGTGAGAGTCAGCTGGGGCCACAGTCTTGAGGGTCCACTGACTGGATGTCCCCACAGCCCACGCCCACCCTTGCCACGTGGCCCCAGCTCCGTGGTTCTGAGAGCATCCCCAGACGGCTCTCTCCGGCGCTCAGGCCACATGTGGGCGCTCCAGGCCTTAGAAAGCCAGGGCCCAGTTGCCCCGTGTCCCTGCAGTCTGGCGAGTCCCTGAGGCTGGCTCGGTTTCAGGGAGGGCAGAACCCTGTGCACGTGTGCTCTGGGCCGGAAGATGCCCCATCTTAGATACCACCTGGGTCAACAACAGTGACCCAGGGAGGGAGGGGGGCCCAGGGCGGGCCACCGTGTCCTCCTCCTCACTGGCCCTGTGTCCTGCAGCGTGGAGTCCCAGCTGGTGGCGGAGATGCTGTGCACGGCCGCGGCTGTCCAGGGCAGGAGCATCATGGAGAACCTGAAGGGCCAGAAGCAGCTGCGGCTGGTGGCGGCCAAGGCCTTCATGGAGAGCGCCAGGTGTGCGGCTGTGAGGCAGCTGGGGTGGCGCTGTGGGGCCTCTGACCCTCCGCCGTCGTGCGGGACCCTGTGCTCACCAAGGTTGTGGCCGTTCTGTGGGCCCAAGGGAGGGCTCCCAGCAGTGGGCGCAAGGTGGACGGCGTGGCCAGAGCGGGGCGCCGTCTTCAAGGAGGTGTGGGGGCCCCCTCCTGCCCGTGGGCCCACCTGGGCTCCTACAGCCCGACCTTGGTGCGGGTCTGGCCCTGCACTGCCCAGAAAGGCCCACTGCAGAGGACGCCGCCGGGATGCCTGAGCGCGCCCCGGGCCCGGGAGGGAGCAAGCATGTGGACGGCCCGTCCCTCCCGGTCCAGCAGCTCCAGGTGGGCCCAGGCGGAGCCGCCGCGTCACGACGTGCCCTCTTTCAGGTTCGGAGGCATCGCGGGCAGCAGCGCCCTGGTGATGCTGGCCGCGCGGCACTACTGGAATGCCTGGCTGCCACTCCTGTCCTCGGCCGTCTACAGGAAGAAGGCCCAGGGTGCCGTGCAGCGGCTCATCCGCATCATCAACAGGACAGAGGCCAGGAAGCAGGTGCGTCAGGCCTGGAGGGGACCCTGGCCCCCACTGAGGCCTCCAGCGGGTCTTCTGGAAAGGACTGGAGAGGCTCCCGAAGACAGACAGCCCCACGGGCCTCCCACAGGGTACGCCAGTGCCAAGGAGGGGAGGGCTTGGGGGTCCTCAGCTCAGCGCTGCGGGGGCCCCCGCTGGGCTCAGTGCTCAGCTGTGACCTCTCCCAGCAGCACACATGCACCGAGGGGCTCTCGGCCCTGGAGACACACAGCAGGGGAGGGGAGCGAGGCCCACACCGTCGCCGCTTGAGGGGCTTGGATCCTAGGCAGGGGGGACAGGCCCCACCTGCGGTGAGAGACGGTGCCCTGAGGAACGGCGAGCGGAGGGCAGGGCGGGGCGGGGGCTGGGCCTCTGGTGGCTTGGGGCAGAGTGGGGTGGTGGGGAGCAGAACCCCCAAGGCCTAGGGGACGGGCAGCCCAGGGAGGATGGTCCTTAGGAGAGGAGCCCCATGGACTCAGGAGCACATTTCCTTCTAGGGCTGTTGAGGGAGACTGAGTGTGGGTCCCACAGGCCTCTCCAAGACCAGGAGCCTGGCTGGCTCCTCCCTGGGCACAGGCCAGCTGGACAAGCCTCAGCCTTGTGGGCTGGGCTTCCTGAGCAGGCTCTGGAGTTGGTGACGGCTTCATGCTCCTGGGCTCACAGGTCTGTGGGCACAGCTCCCTCCTCCTGGGAAGAGGCTGAGACTCGAGGGTTGGGGTCAGTCTTCAGACCAGGGCTGAGCCAGACCAGCCCACTCTGAGCTTTCTTCTGCGGCCTCAGCTCTAACCAGGAATCAGGAGTCAGCCACAGAGAGCCCACAAAAAGGGCCCATTCTACGAGAAGCAGAGCCCATAAGCCAAAGCTCCAGTGGGAGGAGGAGGACAGGGGAGCGGGGTATCGGACAGCAGGCACAGGTGGTGGGCAAGGCCACGGAAGCCACCGCCCGGGATCCTCAGACATGGAAGCCACCGCCCAGGATCCTCAGATGCACGCCCACGCAGCTTCTTGGCCTGACTCTGAAAAGGCCACGTTGGGGCCTCTGGGCTGTCCAGCCCAGCCCAGCCTCTGTCCCCATGCTGGCTCCAGGGGAGTGCCTCCTCATCCCGTGTGGTCTTGGCAAAGGGACCCTCCTAGGCTGGTTCTCCCAGAAAGCCCAGGTCTGAGCTCTATGGAGAGCTGCCTCTGGAGCCAGTCTGGAGAGGACAGAGGCCAGCCAAGGCTGCTCTGCCCGGCCCGCCGCCCTGCCGGCCTCTGTCCCGCATGTGGGCAAGATGTAGCTTCCTGGCCCCGGGCTTGGCCTCCCTCTGCTGCTGCCCGGCACCTTTCCTGGCTGCTCAGGAAGACCAGAGTAGATTTTTACTGCTTGTGACCAAGAATCCCAGCTGACTCAGATATGCAGCTTCTGCAGGGCCCTGTGAAAGGAGGACCTGTGGATGGTGAGGGCTGGAACGGACGGGGGTTCGTGGTCAGAGAGGGGGGGGTCGAGGTCAGGACAGAGCCTGCATCTTAGTCCCTTAGCAGACATCTGATTTGCAGGTATTTCCTCCCATTCTCTGGCTTAACTTTTCATTTGTTTGATCCTGGCGTCTGATGCATCAGTGCTCCTGACTTCTAAGAGGTCCGATTCGCCTGTTTTCCCTTTGTTGCCTCGCCTTTGGTCATGGCCACGTCCGATACCTGAGGATGTTCTCTATGATTTCCTTCTAAGAATGTTGCAGCTTCAGCTCTTGAGTTGAGCTCTTTGATCTGTTTTGAGTTAATTTTTGCATATGGTATGAGGTAAAGGTTCAACATCATTCCTTTGCCTGTGGATATCCAGTTTTCCCAGCACCACTTGAAGAGAATGTGCTTTCTCTCGTGAATGCTCTTCGCACCCTTGTTGAAAATAATTTGACCAGAAATGCAAGGCTCTCTTTCGGGGCTCTCTAGTCTATTTCACTGGCCTATATGGGTATCATTTTGCCAATTCTGTTTGAGTTACTGTAGCTTGTAATATGTTTCCAAGTTGAAAAGTGTGGATCCTCCAACTTTTTTTTTTAAGATTGTTTTGACTCTTTGGGGCCCCTTGCAATTCCATATGAATTTGAGGATCATTTTGTAGATTTTTTTTTCAAAGACTGTTGGAACCCATAGGGATTGTGTTGAATACTGCTTTGGGTAGTATTGACATTTTAACACTGTTAAGGCTTCCTATCCATGAACATGGGTTAGCTTTTCATTAATTTAGATCTTTAATTTCTCTCAGCAACACTTTATAGCTTTTAGCATATAAGTCTTTCACCTTTTTGGTTAGATTTATTTCTAAGTCCTTAATTTTTTTAAGGTGTTGTGATGAATGGGAATGCTTTCTGTCTTAGCTCCGTTGCCATAACAAAATACCATAGACCGGATGGCTTAAACAACAGAAATTTATTTCTCACAGTCTGGACCTGGAAGTCTGAGATCAGGGTGCCGGCGTGCCTGGGTTCTGGTGGGGAACATCTTCCTGGCCATCGACGCCTGGCTGCCTTCTCACTGTGTCTTCATGTGGCACACATGGCACACAGGAGGAGACAGCAGGGTCCCTGGTGTCTCTTCTTAAAGCGTGCTGATTTCATCGTGGGGACCCCACTCTCATGACCTTACCTAACCCCAGTTACCTCCCAAAGGCCATGTCTCCAGAGACCATCACAGTGGGAGGTAGAGTCTCAGGAGATGAATTTTGGGGGCACACAGTTCAGTCTGTAGCACTTTCTAATTTCCTTTTGGGATTTTTCATTCCTGGTGAATAAAAACTCAGCTTACTGTTGCACCCGGCAACTCTTCTGGATTCAGTAGTCGGCTCTAATAGCTTTCTTGTAGATTTGTCAGGATTTTCTATACATAGGATCATGTCATCTCTGAATAGAGGTAGTTTTACCACTTCTCCAACTCAGATACTTTTATTTCTTGTTTTTGTCTGATAGCTCTGCTTCGAGCCCCCGGTGCAGTGTGGAGTAGCAGCAGGGAGGCCATGACCGTCCTGTTGCTGCTCTTAGTGAGAAGCTTCCGCCTCACCGTTGCAGGCGACGTGAGCTGTGCACTTTTCATAAGGACCCTTTATCGTGTTGAGGAATTTTCTGTTTTGAGTTTTCTGAGAGTTTTATCATGAAATAGCCTTGGGTTTTGTCAGCTGCCTTTTCTCCGGCCATTGAGCCGGTCACGTGGTTTCTCCTCTGTCGTGTTAACGGGAGTCCTGACCTGCGCACAGTGAACCACCCTGGCCTTGCTCACAAACCCGGCTGTGTCACGTGAGTCATCTTTTAATACGCTGCTGGGTTTCATTTGCTCATCTTGTGTGGAGGATGTTTGCGTCTGTATTCATAAGGGATATTGTCTATCATTTTCTTGTGATTCTTTATCTGGATTTGGTATCAGAGTCATGCTGGCCTCATAGAGTGAACCTGGAAGTGTTTCTTTGTCTAAATTTTTGAAGAGTTTGTATGGATTGCTGCTAATTCTTCTTTAAATGTTTGATAGAATTCACTGGTGAAGCCATCTAGTCCAGGATTTTTCTTTATTAAGAGGCTTTTGAGTGCTAATTTAATCTGTCATAAGTCTATTGAGATTTTCTATTTCTTCCCGAGTCAGTTTGGGTGTGTTTGGAGGGGTTCGTTCATTTTTTTCCTGGATTGTGTAATTTGTTGGTGTGCAAAGGTTCGTAGGGTTTTCTTACAATCCTTTTTGTCTCCCTGACATCGGCAGTAACGTCTTCACTCGCGTTACTTACTTTAGTTACCGGAACAGTCTTTATTTCTTTCGTTAGTTAGCTCAAGGCTTGTCAGCTTTTTTCCTCTTTTTGAAGAACCGATTTTCTTTACTGTTTTTCTGTTCTCTGTCTTGTCTGTGTCCTTCCTTCCGCTGGTGTTTCTAGTTCCTGACGATGTGACGTCGGACTGTTGACTCGAGACCCTTCTCGGACGTGGCCTGTGCAGCCGTGAACTGAGTGCGGCTCACGGCCGCCCCCGCCGTTTCTCCAACGTGCTTTTCGTCACGTTGCTTTAGAGCCATAAAACCAACTTAGATGTTTCATATCATTGAAAAACCTCTCAGTTATGTTAGGGGAGTCGTCATAGGCTTTTTGTGACTCAGTAGTTCAGACATGTAGCTGCAATGTCTGTAATTAGACGGAGCCGAACTGTCCGCGCAGAACGTGGCGACTCACGCGCCGCCAAGTGTGTTCCCCGCGGCCAATCCGCGGGGCGCTGCAGCAACCTTGATTCTTGCCTGCTCAGAAGAAAGACTTCAGCTGGGGAGCAGAAGGCAGAAGGGGAGACTGAGGCAAGTCTCAGAGCAGGGGTGAGCGTTTACGAAAGAGCTTTAGAGCAGAAAAGGAAGGAAGGAAAGGACTCTCCGAAGAGGGCCGCGCGGGAGATTGGAGAGATCACGTGTCGGGTTCAGCCTTCGACTTGGGGTTTCATACCGTGGCGGGACTTTTGCTTCATGCAGCTAAAGACGGGGTCCTTGTCACACTGCCACAAAACATGAGGCTCGTGGACAATGTGAAGAGTCAGGCAGGGTTTTAGGGGGTGACAGGAAGGAAACAGGCGCTCGGGGAAGCGAAGCGAGGGCGTGTCCTGCCTGTGCGCTTCCCGGCTCCCAACTGGATCCCGGTTCTCCCGGGAAGAGGAGGGGCCGGGCCCCTCCCCGAGCTTCGGCAGCTCCTCCCAGTGCGGTGTGCGGGCCCTCGGAGATTCTCTGGGGACCCCTTCCCACCTGGCTGCCTCAGTACACTGGCAGACTTCCGGGGTCTCCCCGATGCTTCCACGGGGTGTACGGTGGCTGCCCACACGCGGGACGGGACGCACGCCCAGCGTGCTTGCTGGAGTTGTGCACGTGTTCCTGGAGGCGTTCCCTTTCCAGTCGAGTGTCCCTAGAGGAAGGTCACGGACCAGAGAAACTGCCACTGGCCCCTCGGCGTGAGAACTTGAGCCCCTCGCCTGGCTCCTGAGATCTCACTGGGAAGCTGCTCATCGCCAGGTTCAGGTTTTTTTCTGTCTCTTGGGAGACCAATTGTTATTTTAGAGAGACACACTGATGTTCTGGTGGAGGGGCCCCTCCTGCCCTGCTCACGTGCGACGAGCCACCTGCTGTAGCAAAGTGAAAAGCAAAATGATGTCAGCCTCAAAGGAAGAGGCTGAGGCAAAATCAGAATGAGTAGAGAGTTCACCTGGGCCAGGCGGCCCTGAGCGTGCTCCAATTAGCCGCAGTTACGAGTGGGGTTTTAAAGGGAAAGAAGAGGCAGTTCCTGAGTTGTCTGCCATGAATTTACATTAAAAGCACATAAGCTGTTAGTTGGCTGTGCATCGTTCGCTTTAGAGTGCGGGCTACAGCACCCGTACAGCAGTGTCAGGTGATTGACCGCCATGTGTGGCCACAGCAGGCAGTTTAGGGAGAGGAACACGTAGCTCCGAGCAGGGTTTCTTCTCTCCTGGTGAAAGACCATCTTGCCGCGTTCAAGTATTCACCTGCTGTTTACCTGTTTTGCTGTAGGAGGAAGAGAAGTCGCTGCTCCTGCACCAGTGGCCCACAGCCGACTTCCAAGGTGGCGGGACGGCCGACGGGTCTTTCCTTCCAGGTTTGTAGCCGGACAGACAGACCCACGGGCTCCAGGTACAAGGAAGGGGACAGTTTTAAACATGTGGTGCTTTTAAATTCCTGTGCCCTGATGGGAAGCGCCCCCACAGTAACTCCAGACGGCATCTGCTCAGCATTTGATGCGTGCGGGGCCCTCCGTGCTCTTCGGGAATGAGCTCCTGATATTCCCTCTCGACATAGAAAGGGGCAGAGCCGGGGTCTTCTGACTGTCCACCTAAAACCTCAAACTGTGAACGGTCGGCCGGGATTGAGGCTGAGCCAGTGTGAGGAGCAGGAGGTCCTGAGCACGGGTGCCTAAGGTCGTGGGTTCACAGCTTGACTGTATACATTTTCGGGGGGCAGAGGTTACAGGCAGAGACATCAGTACAGGTATGGGGCATACTGGTTTGGTCCAGAAAGGTAAAACAGCTCGGTGGCAAGGGGTTTCCAGGTCACCGGTAGATTTAAAGATTTTCTGATTGACAATTTGTTGAACGAGTTATTATCTAAACCCCTGGAATCAATGGAAAGGAATGTCTGGCCTCAGGTGGGAGCTGTGGGGACCAAGATTTTTATCTTGCAGATGAAGCCTCTGAGCTCTTCTCAGACAAAAAGACACCATACTGGGTTAATTCTCCTCTGGATCAGGGAAAAGCCCTGCAGAGGGAAAGGAGGATTCTCAACAGGATGTGGATTTTCCCCACAAGAGACAGCTGTGTGGGGCCGCATCAGAATATGCCAAAGAAAGATGTTTGGGTATAAAATACTTGGGTCCCTTTCAGGGCCTGTCTGTCACGCGGTGCTATGCTAGAATCAGGCTGACACGCGGTGGCTTCCTGCTCCGCTCTGTCAGCCTGAAGAGCCCCGTGTTCATGTGGGGGCCGGTCCCGTGTGCCTGAGTTCCAAACAGAGAGGGGACGCTGCGGCCTGTCCACCCCTGCCCCTCCGCCCCCGACCCCACTGAACTGGTTTTTCAGGGGCACCTCAGAAGGCCCTTGGCCAAGAGGAGGGTCCGCGCGGCCGGCTGGGGGCTGAGAGTGTTGCTGGTTTACGTAACCCTCGTCCAGGTGCGCACGCCCCTGAGGCCCGAGTGGACTCCCCCCGGTCGCGGCTGCCGTGGAGTCTGCCTCTCGGCTGTGCTGGCAGAGAAATCGCATTTTTCTACTTCTGCAAAACATGTGGACACCTACTCCTGCAAAAACATACACACACACACGCATGCTGACCTTAGAACAGCAGAACCTTACTAGAATACCCGTTCATGTTCATAGGAAAAAAATGGTCATCCGCTAAAAAAATTTATCCCTGTTAAGAGTCCTAATGTGTATTTGGGAAATCTTTAAATGCTGTGGAATGGAAAAGCAGAAACTGCCACGAGCATTTTAGCGCCTATTTGGAGAGGCAAAGTTGATTTAAAATAATAAACAAAGGTGTGGCTATGTGTCGTTAACTGCTAAGTGGAGCACGAACCCCAGCAGCGTGTGCAGACGGCCGGTCCTGCAAGCGTGAGCCCCAGGCGCACGGCAGGCCTGTCCACAGGGAGGCCAGGCTGCAGCGGGGCAAGGGTTAATCCTCGGGTCGCTGAGCAGGACGTGGGAGAAAACCTCAGACCCACCTCCCTGAGGAGTCTGGAGATGGAGGTCTGGAGGGTTTTGGAGAGGATGAAAGTGTGGAGACGGCTCACTGGTGGCAGAGCACGGGGTCTCGGGGAGGCGTTTCCAGGCCGACCCCTATCCCGCTCCTCTGTGGGGGACTCCACACAGGCACCTTCCTCCTCCCCACGCACAGTCCACGGCCCTCACCCCACCCCGGAGGCACCCAGAGGAGACAGCCCCTGGGGAGGAGACAGTCCACGGGAACGCATGGCGGGTGAGGTCCGGCGGCAGCGCCACTGCCCGTGAGCTGGAAGTGCATTGGGTACTCCCAGGACGGGACTGTGGGTCAGCCAGGAGGTCGCGCCGCATGGCCAGCTCTCCCTCCACGTAGGCAGGGTTGAAGAGGACTCCCTGCCACCCCAGGTGCCACCGCAGGTGCGATTTCCAAATTCATCAGACCCTGGTTGACCGCATTCAAATGGGAGGAAGCAGGACTCGGGGGCCTGGGACCAGCTTGGTTCCTGGGTTTCAGACTTGGAGCAGCTTCTCTGGCCGGTGCCTGGGTGAGGAGGGCCTGGCAGAGTGAGAAGGCCACGGCGGGCCCACAGATCCTGGCATCCAATGGGGCACCGTGCTCCCAACCATGGGCGCATTCGCTCCTTAGACCCAGTGGGCCGACTCTGGGGAACGCAGAGTCTCGTGAAAACCGAGTCAGAGAAGGGAAGGCAGGCTCCGCCCTCAGCAGGCAGGCAGTCTCTGCGTGGGCCGCGGGGGTGGCACTTTGCCTCTGCATGTCACGCTGCAGCCTGTGCAGAGACACGGGGCTGTTCCCACGCTGCAGCGGGCACCAAGCCTGAGGACTCCGGAGCGCGGACATGGCGCTGTGCCCTCGGCGGCGGGGGTGCTTTCCATGCAACTCCTGAGAGGACCCTGAGTCCCGCTCGCTGATGTTCAGTACCTGGAGACACAGGAGTGTGTGTGTGAGCGCCGAATTCTCCAAGCAGATGGAGAGGGAGAGGCAGAGACCAGCAAGGAGACAAGACAGCTGCTTCCCGTGGTGGGACGGACGTCTCGGGTGGCCGGTGGCGGGCTGGAGGGGCCACAAGGGTCCACAGCTGGCATCGGCCCTGCAGGGCACGTGCTGGCCTGGGCACCTGTGCAGCCACGGGTCCACCTCGGGGGCACTGTGAAGGGCAGTGTGGTCCAGGAGGTCTCAGGGAGCTGTTGATGAGGGATCAGGCGGCTCCAAGGTCACCCCTCCTTCTCCCTCCCAGGGGCTGAGGACGACCTGACACTCCGTGCCGCGCTCTACGGCCTGCTCTTCCACGGCCATGCCGACCAGGACGACTGGGAGGGCGGCCTCAAGGTGCTGGATGAGGCTGTGCAGGTGCTGCCTCGGACGGCCCACCGCCTGTGAGTGCTCCCCACACTGCCTCTGAGTGTTCCCCCACCGCCTGTGAGTGCTCCCCCACCGCCTCTGAGTGCTCCCCCACCGCCTGTGAGTGCTCCCCACACTGCCTCTGAGTGCTCCCCCACCACCTGTGAGTGCTCCCCCACCGCCTCTGAGTGCTCCCCCACTGCCTGTGAGTGCTCCCCACACTGCCTCTGAGTGCTCCCCCACTGCCTGTGAGTGCTCCCCCACCGCCGGAGTGCTCCTCACACCGCCTCTGAGTGCTCCCCACACCGCCTGTGAGTGCTCCCCACACTGCCTCTGAGTGCTCCCCACACCGCCTCTGAGTGCTCCCCCCACCGCCTGAGTGCTCCCCACACTGACTCTGAGTGCTCCCCACCGCCTCTGAGTGCTCCCCCCACCGCCTCTGAGTGCTCCCCCACCGCCTGTGAGTGCTCCCCACACTGCCTCTGAGTGCTCCCCCACCGCCTCTGAGTGCTCCCCACACCGCCTCTGAGTGCTCCCCACACCGCCTCTCAGTGCTCCCGACACCGCCTCTGAGTGCTCCCCACACCGCCTCTCAGTGCTCCCCACACCGCCTCTCAGTGCTCCCCCCACCGCCTCTGAGTGCTCCCCCACCGCCTGTGAGTGCTCCCCACACTGCCTCTGAGTGCTCCCCACACTGCCTCTGAGTGCTCCCCCACCGTCTGAGTGCTCCCCCCACCGCCTGAGTGCTCCCCACACCGCCTCTGAGTGCTCCCCACACCGCCTCTGAGTGCTCCACTCACCATCTGTGAGTGCCCCGCCTGCCGCACCCCCACTGGAGTGTGCCCCTCCCCCCGGGGCGTGCTCCCCACACCGCTTGTGAGTGCTGCGCCCTGCTACAGTGTGCTGCCCCCACGCAGAGTGTCTCCCGCACCACCCGTGAACACCCGCCTGCTGCACCCTGCCTGGAGCGTGCTCCCCCACCCACCCGGTCCCTCTGCCCGGGCCTCCCCCGGTTCCCACTCTTGCTGGAAGCCTTGACTTCTGCAGGAAAATTCAACACAGAGAGCGCGGGCGCTTAAAACCCAGCGCGGCCTCGAGCCCGCACCCACCGGGCTCTGCTCGGCGTCGTCGTTTTAAGCAGGGCGGTGGAGGAGGAGGTCTGGGCCGCGTCGCACACGTTTCCCATCCTGCCCCCCGGTCCCAGCGTGGGGTTGTCGCCTTCCCTCTCCTCAGCTTGATCTTCAAGCACATGATCATCGTGAAGGCCAAGCTCGGGCAGAACTTCTCGATGGAGATACAGAAGTTCAAGGCCGAGAGTGAGGACTACGTGGCTGGCATGTGGCACCGGCTGGCCCTGAACTCGCGGAGTGTGGCTGGAGAGCTGGCCTGCTACCACAGTGCCATCCAGGCCCTGCAGGTGCGAACCCCTGAGCGTGGGTGCCGCCTATCCTCGAGTGGATGAACGCTCAGCTGGGAACTGGCGTGGGCCGCACTTAGGGCTGACGGTGCAGAATGCACCCCACGGCCCCGGCGCTCCTCCTGCTCACCAGTCAGGGACGATGGACGGAGCTGGTTTCGGTGGTCCCTTTCCGGCATGGGGGGGTCATGGTCAGGTCCTCGTCCCTGAGGAGGGGGTGGGGGCTCAGAAGGTGAAGCCCCAGCTGGAAGCACCTAGGCTCCTCTAGAGGCGCGGGGGCCCAGATGGGCGGGTGGCGGCAGAGGAGAACAGGGCTCTGCAGGGCCCTGGGATTTGCGGGTCGTGGAGGACGTTGGTGTGTCTTCCCCACCCACGGAAGCCACGACAGGCGTTTCCCTGGGTGCACCTGGACTGGGCTTGGGAGAAGGCGCTTTGGCGCCGATTTGACTCCTCAGCTTATGAGGAGCAAGGCTGTGCGGTGCACAGCCCAGAACTTCATCTTGGGGACAAAAGGCATCCCGGGCCCCTGGCGTGAAAGGCGCGAACGTTTCCACGTTAGCGGATATCTTAAAAGGTTTTTCTGTTACGCGGGCTGTTTCCGGGGCTGAGAGCACTCCTCCCTGAGGACTCTGGATCGCTCCGGGGTCCAGCCGGCCCCCGGGTGGGGCAACTTAGCATAGTCCGGAGGCTCTGCAGGTGCTAAGAGTGCAGCTCAGGGCACTGGGCTGTCAAGGCAGACTCCCGGGTACAGCCACGGCGAGCCACAGGGAGCCACGCTGCCTCGCTTCGGGGAACCAGAGGCCGCGTCGTTCCTTGGCAGTTGCCCTGCTGGGGTTGGCCGGGGTCAGGCCGGGACCCAGCCTCCCCAGGGAAAGCAGGGAGCGCCTGAGGAGGGAGGCTGGGGAGGGCAGGACCCAGCGGAGCCGCGCTGGCCCTCGGGGCGGAAACCCTCGAAAGTGTTTTGCGTCCTCACTGACCCGAGCCCTTCCCTCTGTCATCTGTTTTTGTAAATTCTCAGGGTTATACAGTCATCACTTCCACACAATTTTAGAACGTTTCATTGCCCCCCAAAACCCGGCGTCCGTCAGCGCTCACTCCCCATCCTTCCCTCCCTCCGCTGGCCCTGGCGAGCCACGGATCTGGACACGGCCCTTCGTTCAGCGTGACCTCGCCCGGGGCCGTCCCCGTCGTTCCCACTCAGGGCTGAGTCGCATCGGTGCGCGTCTGACGTTCTGTGAACGCTGCTGTCGGCGTTTGCTCTCGCGTTCTGGCCTGGCCCCGTCCTTGCCTCCCGCGGGCACAGCCCCCGGTGGAGCTGCTGGGCACACGGTTGCCCTGTGTGGGCCTTCGGAGGAAGGGCCAGATCGCCTCCCTCAGTGGCCACAGCGCGTGGGGCTCCGGTTTCCCCACACCTCGCCAGCTAGCTCACCCGACTCCAGCTGTGCTGTGGGCGTGGGGGGGGGGTCCCCTCGTCCCTACCGGCATTTCCCGGTGACTGGAGACGGCGCATGTGTGCCCGAGGGCCTGTGGGCCATTTGCAGGTCGGAGGAGGAGTGTCCGTTGCGGCCCTCTGCTCGTCTGGTTCCTGCTGGCTTGTAGGAGCTCGTGGTGTGTTAGGGGTGCAAGTTCTTTAGCCGGAGCGTCGCCCACAAACCCTTCTCATTCTCTGAGCGGCTTTTCCAGCCACTTCTTCACTTTCTGGGTGGCACAATTTATGGCACAGTTTTAAATGGTCATGGAATTCTAGTTGTCTATTTCTTGTGTTGTTGCTAGTGTTGGTATTGTAGCTGTGTCTGCCTGGGTTGATGGCGGCATGTGTCGGCGTTTCCATGCGGTGATGGCGTCATGTGTGTGTTTACATGTGATGGCGTCATGTGTGCGTTTGTGTGCGGTGACGGCGTCGTGTGTGCGTTTACATGCGGTGATGGCGTCGTGTGTGCGTTTGCGTGCGGTGATGGCAGCATGTGTGCATTTGCGTGCGGTGACGGCGTCGTGTGTGCGTTTACGTGCGGTGATGGCGTCGTGTATGTGTTTACATGCGGTGATGGCAGCGTGTGTGCGTTTACATGTGGTGATGGCATCATGTGTGCATTTGCATGTGGTTACAGTGTCGTGTATGCATTTACATGCGGTGATGGCGTCATGTGTGCATTTGCGTGCGGTGACGGCGTCATGTGTGCGTTTACGTGCAGTGATGGTGTCGTGTGTGTGTTTACATGCAGTGATGGCAGCGTGTGTGCGTTTACATGCGGTGATGGCGTCATGTGTGCATTTGCGTGCGGTGACGGCGTCGTGTGTGCATTTACATGTGGTGATGGCGTCGTGTGTGCGTTTACATGCGGTGATGGCGTCGTGTGTGCGTTTGCATGCGGTGACGGCGTCGTGTGTGCGTTTATGGCGTCGTGTGTGCGTTTACATGCGGTGATGGCAGCGTGTGTGCATTTACATGCGGTGATGGCGTCATGTGTGCGTTTGCATGTGGTTACAGTGTCGTGTGTGCGTTTACATGCGGTGATGGCAGCGTGTGTGCGTTTACATGCGGTGATGGTGTCATGTGTGCGTTTGCGTGTGGTTACAGTGTCGTGTGTGCGTTTACATGTGGTGATGGCAGCGTGTGTGCGTTTGCGTGCGGTGATGGCGGCATGTGTGCAAAACCCAAGGTGATGGTTTGCTCCGTTTTCTTCTGAGTTTTGTAGTGTAGCTCTTACGTTTATGAGTTATACAGTGTGAGGCAGGGTCCCCGGCACTCCTCAGCCTGTGGACGCCAGGTGACCCTGCACTTCTGTTGAGAAGATGACCCACTTTCTCTTGAACTTCCCTATCAGGGCCAAGGCCCTCCTCAGTGTGCACAGCGTGTGTGGGAGCCGTCACCAGCCTCCACAGCTGCTGCCCTCCCTCCCCGTCTGCGGCCTTCCTCACAGGGCTTTCAGGCCCCACTGGTCCCTCATCCTTCTCCCCTTCCCACTTCTTCATGACCCAGGAAGCCCTGGGTTAAGGGCAGGACCTTGCGATCTGATGAGCACCCCACGTCCTGAACTAAGTGCCGAGTATGCACGGGCCAGGTCTTGGGCTGGGCTCTGCGTCTGGGCGTGGGACAGAGCAAGCACCTTTCCTGCCCTGCGGGGGCCTCTCCTCCAGCAGGGACACAGGGCTGCCCACAGAACCACCCAGAGAGGGCCACCCTCAGACCAGGGCACAGCGGGACCCCTGCCTGTGTCCCCCTGCAGCGCAGGGGACGCGTGGGCCCTGGGGGGCTGCCTGTGAAAACAGACAGCAGTGCCACTTTGTCTGTACCTGGAACATCTCAATGACCCTAATGGCAACTTGGTCTCATTAGAGGCGGCCTCCAAACGTAACTGTGGGGTAAGAAAGAACCTTTTCTTTAGAAAATGAGCAGTGAAAGTGTTTCACGGTGCAAGTGACGCCTCCAGGGCCATCCTGAGGATGTCACCCTTTCTGTTCGATCCCAAAGAAGCCTGAGACGGAGTGGCAGAAGGTGGATTACCTCCTGGAGTTCAGCCAGTGGCTCTACCACAGACACTTTCCTCTCGATGACGTGGTCTTCCACCTCCGCTGGGCCATCGAGATCCTGCTGGCCATGAAGCCGCCCAGCGACACCCCCGAACCAGAGCCCGTGCCGGACGGTGAGTCCACGCCGCGGCCGGGGTGCCGACCTCGCCCTGCTCCCCCAGCGCTCTCCTCCTCGTCCGTAGCCTGGACGGCCTTCAGGCGTCCACGTGTCCATGCCGGCTTTGGAGGTCAGGAGCCCCGGGTGTGCCTCAGCGATACCCTCTGCAGGGGCCGCGCGGTCCTCAGTCGGACAGCCACCGAGTCACCTTCACAGATGGGCTCCCTGCAGGTCGGGGGAAGGCAAGTTCTCAGGCACGTGGCCGGGCCGGCCCAGAGGCTGGGGGAGGGGGAGTCCCGAGCCCCCCAGACCCTGTGGGCACCTGGGCCGTCCTCAAAGTCCCTTCCAACCTGAGGTGGGGGCTCCCTTCTCCAGCTGCAGGCCCTGCTCACAGCAGTGCTGGGACGTGGGGGTTGCCGGTAAGCGGGGAGCTACGCAGATGATGGCGGCCTCACTGGCGTCATCCAGGACTTAACCATGGCCGGTGCCTGGGCACAAGCCCAGGGTGACCTGGGGCAGAAGCTCTGTGGGGCGCACAGGTCTCCCCCCCCCAACACGCACACACACAGGCACACGGTGCAGCCGGCCTGGCGTTCTCAACAATGCTGGCTCTCTCAGGGTCACCCTCCCCCTGGTCCTAGCCCCCTGTCAGGATGAGGGGGGCCCCCTGCTCAGAACCCCCAGGCCCTTGGGGCCATCTGGGACAGGAGCAGGGTGCCCAGGCCAGGTGCAGATCATGAGGCTCCGGGACACACAGGGCATCAGGAGAGCCCTCGGGGGTCGGGGGGGCCGGGACTGGAGCTGCGAGCCGAGCTGCTCCTGGGGGTGAGGGGTGGCCGGGCTCAGCCTTCTCGGAATGAGTCCAGCAGCAGTCCCTCCCCTGGCTCCCGGCCCTCAGCAGAGAGCAGCGCACAGGGACCAGCGCGGCGGGGGTCGGAGAGGCGCCAGGCAGTCCACCGCGCCTCGGGCAGGGGAGGGAGTGGCCGGGCCCACAGACCCATAGCCGGGCCTTCTCTCAGCCTTGGGCACCCCGTGTTTCAGGGGAATGCTTGCCCGTGCAGACACCCCCACGGAGCCCCGGGTCAGAGGCCGGGGAGACAGTGTCCCTGGAGCAGCTGTGCAGCGTGCGGCAGCTGGAGGCCCTGGCCCGCGGGCACATCCTGCAGGCCCTGGTGCTGTCTCCGGGTGCCCAGGGCTACGAGGATTGCTGCCTGGCAGCCTACACCTTCCTCAGGCGCATCTGGCAGGTGAGGCCCGGCGCAGGCCCCGCTGTGTGGGACAGGCCACGGGCCCGGGGAAACGGCAGCGCGTGTTTTAAAGACGTCAGAGCCTCTCCCCGTGTTCCCTAAAGACCTTTGAGGTGTGACAGCCAGGCTCTTCCTCTCCACCGAATGGTGCCCATCGCATAAAATCGAGCAACTCCCGTCTTGACCCCTGCGCCCTCCACGTTCCCAGCACTTCCCAAGGGAGAGCCGCGTGTCCCCTCCAGATCAGCTGGTCCTCCCAGACACTGCCCTGGTGCCCTTGCCAACCACCCCAAACTGCTCCTGCCCGGCTTGCCACGCCAAGGCCACAGCAGGCACCTCTTTTGGCATCTGGGGCCCAATGGCCCTGAACTGCCACTGACGGGGCTTCCGGACCCTTCTTCTGTGTCCCACTCCCACCCCCATTCCTCCCGCTCCTCCTCCCACCCCTCCCTGTAGGGCCACCAGGAGCAGCTGTTGGGCGCCGAGGGCCCTTAGGGACCGGCCCGTGCGCCTGCCCAGCCTCCCGCAGGCCTCAGCCTAGCAGGCCTCCGTTCTGGGTGTGACTTTGCCCAGAGGCCCCACAGGGCATCCCCCGATCAAGCGGCCCACTGCCCAGCCATGTGCAGAGCAGGAAAGGTGGGGAGGCCCCCACCCCGTCTTTGACCCGCACCAGCCTCCACCACGGCCAGACCTGGGCTGTGGGCGTCCATGCCTTCATTCTTTGTGACTCTTCTAGGAGAATTGTTCAGCGTTATTCTCATGTGTTCTTAATCAGAGATCTTGAACTCATTCACCTGAGGAGCGGCGAGTCCTCCCCCAGGGCCAGCCACGCCTGCCCCAGACCCCTACGTGTGCTAGGGCTGCAAGGGGCCACCTGATTCTGCCAAGGGGCTGCGCCCAGTGTCCTCCCTGCCTGGGAACAGCCCCCATGAGGACCGCTGCAGGGAGGGTGTGAGGTGGCCAGCGGGAAGCCCCAGGGCCCGGGGTGTCCTGCTGCGTCCCCGGCAGTGGAGGGAGGCAGCCCCCAGTGCCCACGCTCTGGGCCAGCCGTGCTCTCCTGACAGCAGCTGATGGGGGGACGCAAGGTTACCAGAGCACTAGAGTCCAGGGACCCCCACGGGTTAGGGCGTCCCTCACCCAAGAGTGGGGGAGCGAGGCAGCGGGGCAGCGGGGGAGCGGGGCAGCGGGGCAGTGGGGTGGGAGGGGGAGTGGGGGAGCCAGGGAGCGGAGGAGTAGGACAGTGGGGCAGTGGGTGAGCGGGGCAGCGGGGCAGCAGGGGGGGGAGTGGGGCGGGGCAGCGGGGCAGCGGGGCAGCAGGGCAGCAGGGCAGCGGGGCAGCGGGGGGGGGAGTGGGGCGGGGCAGCGGGGCAGCGGGGCAGCGGGGCAGCGGGGGGGAGTGGGGCAGGGCAGCGGGGCAGCAGGGCAGCGGGGCAGCGGGGCAGCGGGGGGGGGAGTGGGGCGGGGCAGCAGGGCAGCGGGGCAGCAGGGCAGCGGGGCAGCGGCGGGGGAGTGGGGCGGGGCAGCGGGGCAGCGGGGCAGCGGGGCAGCGGGGGGGAGTGGGGTGGGGCAGCGGGGGCAGCGGGGCAGCAGGGCAGCGGGGCAGCGGGGGGGGAGTGGGGCGGGGCAGCGGGGCAGCAGGGCAGCAGGGCAGCAGGGCAGCAGGGCAGCAGGGCAGTGGGCCGTGGGTCAGTTCTCAGTGCTGCAGATGTGGATTTCATGCCCCCCGGCAGGTTTCTTTGACGACAGCAGGAAAATCAGTCACAGACAGCAGACCCCTGGCAGCAACCAGCTCACATCTGTTATTGCCCAAAAAAGAGAAGGAGAAGATGAAAGAGAAGGAGAAGGGAAAGGAGGAGAAAGCCAAGGAGGCCAAGCAGGTGACACCCAGGCGGACACGGTGCAAGGCTGGGCCGGGGGTGGCCTGGGCCTCAGTTTCCCTGCCTGTCAGCTTCTCAGAGGAGCCCAGGTTGTCTCAATCCAGGGGCTGGGCCCAGGCTGGCATCTGTGCCTCAGTTTCTCTCCCCGGTCAGGGCTCTTGGAGGACAATGCAAGGGCATGTCTGCTAAGCGCCCTGGCTTGATCCTGGTGGGAATCCTGGTTCTGGAGCTAGCCACATAACACATGCAGTTTGCACCAAGGAGGTTGCCCAGGCCCACCAGGCTCAGAGGCCGTGGCAGCAGGCACAGCCGGGGGCCTCGGTGTGTGGGGGGCTGGGTTCCCTACAGTGAGAAGAGTGGTTTTTCCTCGTGTGAAACCTTTCTCTTTGTGAGTATCTGCTTCTCCGAGTGCGGGGCAGGTCTGAGAAACTGCTTGGCTGCCCAGCTTCCCAGGGCGGGACTCATACCTGCCCTCCGGCATGAGCGCTGCTGAGCTCAGCAGCCAGCTGCCATTGAGGCGAGACGCAGGGGGCAGAGGCTGCAGAGCCTTAGCTCTCGGGGGTCCTGAGCCCGGGCACCCCCAGGCCAACTCTGGCTGTGCACGGGGCAGAAAGCTTTGCGTGCGCGGCCTGCAGATAGTGTCAGAGGCTGGATCTGGGCACTCGCTGGGGTCTGCCGGCGGGAGGACGCCGGCTCCCCAGGCTGCGACCTGCCTGCTGTGCAGCCGTGCCGTGGAGGCCGGCTGTTTAAACCACCATATCAGGTAAATCCTGCATTCCTGCCTTTCCAGCCTCAAAGCCCAGCTCCTAACAAACCGCTGGAAGATTTGCCCACCAGCATAGAAGAGTGGGCTAGCTTCTCCTGCCCTGAGGAGGTGCTGTCTGTGCTGAAACAGGACAAGAGCGACTCCACTGTTAACGCCGAAAGTATCCAGAAGCCGGTACTTTGACAGAAAGACAAGGCTCACCTTGGTCACAGCACGGTGTCCCCTTGACCTGTCCCCAAGTCCAGTTTCCACGGTGGGCTGTAGCCAGAAAGAGGAGGATACGACAGAGTCACCTGGACTATCCCAGAGACCCTCACCACCTCGGGGTCCTCACCTTCTCACAGCCACATGTCCTTTCTGCCTTTCTGTGGCCATGCCCACAGCTCCAGGGCCTGGGACTGGGTGTCCGCCAGGTCTCCCTGCCTTGCTGGGGTGGATTCTTTCTGGCGAGCGTCCTTCACCAGGGACTCTGTGGCTGTGTCCCCATGGTTTGTTTTGTGCATTGCTGTGGGTCCACTGCGTGGACAGGCCATAGTCTATGTTTCATACATTGCTGTGGGTGACCCATTGTGTGGACATGCCACGGTTTGTGTGTTTCATACATTGCTGTGGGTGACCCATTGCGTGGAAGGCCACGGTCTGTGTGTTTCATGCATTGCTGTGGGTGACCCATTGCGTGGAAGGCCACGGTCTGTGTGCTTCATGAATTGTTTTCTTATTACTGTTGTTAAGCTCTTTATAACTTTAGCAATTTGTCTGTAGATTAATTTGGGTTTTGTGTGTACATAGTCATTTTACCTGCAAACAGATTTTTCTTTTCAACTTTCCATTCTTTACTGTTTCTTTCTTTACCGTATCTTACATTCTGGCAAGGGCCTCCCGGATGAGGCTGAATAAAAACGGTGATGTCATCCCCTTTCCTCTTGCTCCCTGTTGCAAAGGAAAGTCGTCAGCATTTTACCCTCAAGTGTAATTGATGTTTCTTGTTGGTTTTCATACATCTTTATTGATTAAGGAAGTTTCTATTTGCTAAGAATTTCAGTCACGAATGTCTGTATGTTTTTATCAGATATTTTTTTCCATCTGTGCAGATGATGTTTTCGTCTTTCATTCTCTGAATTAATTACCTTTGGTTCTTTCTAATGACTGTCACAACAGGCGGCCTGGCTGTGCCGCCACTCACTTCCTGTCACCGCTCTGCTGGGCAGCCCTTGTGTCTGGGGTGTGTGCGTCTGGGCTTGTGAGGAAGACGGGGTGTAATTTTCCTTTCGTGTGTGTCCTCAGGATGTGGTAAAGTTTTGCTGGCCTTTTACTCAGAAAGTATTCCTTTCTGACCATTCTTAGGGGAAATTTATATAAGATTGGTGGTTATTTCATCCTTGAAAGTTTGGAAGAATTCCCTGGTGAAGCCATCTGAGCCCAGAGCCTCTGTTTGGGAAGGTTTTAGATTATGGCTCCAGTGTATTTCATAGTTGTGGAATTCTTCAGAGCTTCTATGTCTTCTTGTAACAGTTTTCATGGGTTGTGTTTTTCTGGGATGTTTTTGTATTTTGGATGTATTGTCATGAAGTTGTTCTCAATGTCCTTGTATTACCTTTTAATGCCTGTGGGATCTGTAGAGAGCCCTGGCACTCCTCGCTCGCTCTCCCGATCAGCCTCACTGAGACGGATCAATTCCATTGACCTCTCAAATTCCATCAGCCTCTCCAAGCACCCCTGTGCTTTCCAGGCTGCCTGCGGCCCCTCTGCCTGGCTGGCCCCTCTGCCTGGCTGTCGTCCCTGAGGGGACGGCCTCCCCCTAGAATGCCTTGAATTCTGAGGTGCAGCCCTTCGGGAACCCAGCCTGAACGAGAGAGAGCGGAGCTCTTGGTGGGCCCTGAACCCAGTTTCCTGAGCCCAGCCTTCAGCACCATCTGGAGCACCACATGGCCCTCAACTGCCTGGGTGCCCGACGGCCCGGCTCGCGTCCTGGATTCATGCTGTCTTCCAGATCTCGGCCCGGCCATTCTTTGGACATTGGTTAACCCCTAGTTCTTAGATTTTTGCATCAGGGTTGTCCGGCTTTCCTAATGTCCCACTCAAGAGTAATTGTTTTAACAAACCGAGTCCAACATCATGGGAAGCATTAGCTCTTCTGCATATTATTAAGTTTTTAAGTGGTTGTGTGTACACAAATCCTGTTTCTAATGAGTCAGTAGTTTTTAGTGGAAAAGGGAAGCAAACAGGTAAGTTTGAATAAACACACGAGTGAGCATGTTCCTTATGAGGATCTTCATAGTTGGGTGCTAATGTTCAGAGAAATGATCACGTGATAAAATGAACCCCGTGAGTGGGGGAGGGAGGGTAGGTAGCACAGACCCGCCCTGAGCACCCGCTGTGCGCACGCCGGCACAGGGCGGGAGGGAGTTTTCCGAGGAAAGTCCCTTATGCTCGTGGTCTTCACCTGCTCCCGCGACCTCATGCGTGTGTCCTGTGTCCATGTAGACGTACAGTCTGTATTTCCTGGACCACCTGGTCAAGGCCCTGCAGAAGATGTGCCTGCATGAGCTCGCCGTCCCCGTCCTGCAGCTGGGGGTGCTGATTTCGGAGTCCGTGGTGGGAAGCAAGGGCCTGGCGGATCTCTACCGCCTCCGGTGGGTACGGCTCCTTTCTCTTCCAGAGTGTGCTTCTCCAAAGCAATACGAAAATGAACATGTTAAAATATCAATTATGGGGTTGTCAGTGCAAATAATAAGGTCCCTGGAACTTGGACACCAAGTAAATAAAAATATTTGTCTATAAAAATGGTGGTTTTGGTTGGGATGGGAGGACTGTTTGATCCCAGGAGTTTGAGACCAGCCTGGGCAACAAAGCACCGTCAGTGCTCCGAGGAGCTAGAGCTGCTGACTCGCCTCAGCCTCTCCGTCAGCACCTGCTGCTCCACCTGGCACGTGTGCTATGGAGACAGCTGTCCTGAAACCTCACAAATCCACCCCTGCCAGCTTCAGACTCTTCTGCAACTTCCTCACACCTCTCAGCCTTCATCGGATTGAAGAGAACGAAGCTCTCGCTCTGGATCAGGCTTCCACTTAAAGGAATTTTGTGACTGGTTTGATCTTCTGCGCGACCGTCGAAACTGCTTCCCGTCAGCAGCGAGGCTCCTTCGCCTCCTTATCATTTGTATCTGTGTGTTCTCTGAAGGAGCACTTCTGATTTCTTTTCAGAACCTCCCCTTTGCACTCACAACTTGGTTCACTGTTGGGGGCCTCGCTTTCAGTCCGTCTCCACTTTTCACACCCTTCCCTCACTAACCTTAATCATTTTGGCTTTTTATCTGAAGCCAGAGGCGTGCGACTGTCCCTTTCTCTCGAGCACTTAGAGGCCATTGTAAGGTTATTAACTGGCCTCATTTCAAAATGTCTGTGTCTTGGGGAATAGGGAGGCCCGGGGAAAGGGAGAGAGATGGGGGACGGCTGAGCAGTGGGCCAGTCGGGACGCATGGGACGTTGATCAGCTAGGTTCACCATCTTACATGGGCATGGTTTATGGTGCCGCCAAGCAGTTACAGCGGTGACCTCAAAGATGACTGAGCACAGATCACCGTAACAGAATAATCAGAATGACAAAGTTTGAAATATTTCAAGAACTGCCAAAATGTGACATAAAGATTCCAGGTGGGCATGGGCTGTTGGAAAATGGTGCTGATGCACTTGGTCGACTGGGCTGGCCCCGGACTTTCAATCCGGGAAATAAGCAATGTCTGAAGTGTGATAAGTAGAGGCGTGCCCGGGCCAGAGAAGGACCTGGGGACAGGTGCTCAGATACCCCAGGGGAGGGCGAGGGAGAGGGAGCCGGAGCAGGTGGGGCCACGAGGCCTCCTGGTGTCTGTGCAACCTTCCCGCCCACCTGAAAGCATTTTACAAGAACAGGGTTTTCAGCAGGAGTGGAGGCTCCTCTGCTTGTGGCAGGTGCTGAGCCTACCTGAGGCCGGCATCCAGGTGCCGGTGGATAACGCCTCACACGAGAGCAGTGGAGGAGCGGGGAAAATCCTGCCTGAAATGGGAGGGAGCTACCTGGCACTTCTCCCTAGTAATTTTGCTTACCTTCAAACATTATTGAAAATATCTTCGAAGTAGCTTTGATGTTTCAGTGGACTGCTGAGCACACTAGGCCCGGCAGCTTCCGTCTTGGCTCTATCTGCCCTCGCAGAGCTGACTCTGGCCTCACTCCCCACAGCCTCGCCCACGTGTGCTCCGAGCTGAAGCTGACGGAGGCAGCGGCACAGCACGAAGAGGCGGTCGGGCAGGTGCACATCAGTGAGCTGGAGCAGGCCAGGTGCGTGTGGGTTCACCCGCGCCGCCTGGGGTTCCGGGCTCACGCTTGGTGCGGTGCCCGGCCTGGTGAAAGCCAGCCACAAGGACGACCAGCGGCCACCCTCTGCCCTGGACTCCGGCCCACCAGGGAGGGCGTGTCTGGGGGCGGTACCCGGAGAGAGGGAGTGCCTGGGGACTCAGTGTGGCCGGTTCTCCTGGGTCGAGCTGCAGGTGAGCTGTGAGGAGGTGCCCCTCCTGGAGGGACGGAGGGGCGGTGAGGGGAGCTCCCCACGCTGGCCCAGCCTCTCCCCGGAGGACAGAAAGGTGGGCACGGGCCCTGGACCCTTGGGCGCTGGGTGCTGGGCAGTGCTAGGCCAGGCCACCGGTGGCTCTGACAGCCTTCAGGCACGAGCTCACTTCAGAGTTGCTGCAGTTGACCAACATCAGGCTGTTTAACAAGCAACTCTCGTGACTGTAGCGAATCACTTTTAGATTTAGAGACCACCTCCGAAATACATCTGTGCTGTGATTATATATGGTTCCATTGTGTTCGCTTTTATGAGATACTTTTAAATTACATGTGATACATGTTATAGAGAAGATCTTAGAACAGGTAGGTAGATAGAAGAAAGAGGAAAACGGGTCATGCCGGCCACATCACCCAGCGGCTGTTCCTATTTCCACACACACTCTTCCGGCCGCTCCCCACTGCATAGAAACGACGCTGTCACGGTGAACGTGGAATTGAGCTCTCTCTGCTCTGGGGACGGACGCTGGCCTGCGGTGGGAACTTCACACTTGTCAGTGCCATGGACGTTGGACCCGTGCCCACACTCTCCTGGTCGGAGTGACGTGGGGCACCGTCCCAGGAACCCGGCCTTTGGCCCGGTTGTCCACACGGCCCTAAAATCAGCTTGGAGAAGCTCCCCGTTCCCTCTTGTGCATTTGTTTACAAGCTGCGGAGGGCGGCAGAGGCAGAGGCTAGAGCAGCGTGGGGAGGCCCGTGTGGTGGGCTGTGCTGGGAGCAGTGACGTCTTGGTGGCACGGGGGCCTCAACCTGGAACCCATGTGGCTGCGGAGGCCTGGTCAGCTGGTCGGGGGAGTACAGGCCTCGGGAGGTGGCTGGAGGCCTCAAAGGCCCAGGGGCTGGAGCCTGGCAGGGTCTTGACCCCTCCTGGCCTATCTTCTAAAGGACCTCTCTGGACGTGGTGTGGCAAATGGCCCGGGCCTGGGGTTCACGGCACAGGAGAAGGCGCCGGGGCCGGTGGAGGGGAAGGCAGCAGGCACCTTGAAGACCCCGCAAGGAGGCCCAGCAGAGCAGCAGGGGCCCCCCAGGGACTGCAGTTCCTGCCGAGCTTTCAGACGGGGGCGCCCGCGGGAGGCACAGGGTGTGGGGGTGGGGGCGGCAGGGCACGCTGCTCTGGAGAGACAGAGCCCCAGATGCTCATGAAACGCCTGCCAGGCTGTCAGACAGCGGCTGGGCCTGAGTTCGGAGTTTGGAAGAGAGAACCAGTGACGGACTTAAATTTGGGAGTCAGATGTGCCGTTAGATCCTGAGGATTTAAAAAAATCTCTGTGAACATTCGAGTGAAGAATGTAATTGTCGCTGTTTTCATTTGCGTGCCTTTGATTACTGGTGAAGTGACATTTTCGTGGCCATGTGGCTTTTCTTTTGCATATCGTCTGTTTTACTCACATTAGCTGCAGAAAAGAGATCGCACTGAAAAAAGAGAAAAACAAGGAGCCCTCATTAGAAGAAAGCCTGCCGGTGCTCAGCCAGCAGACCCTCACCGCCCGCTCTGTCGAGATCAAACCACTGGAAGCCAAGGACAAGGTGACCCCGCCGTCCAGAGCCCTGGCCGGCTGGGCGCCGGTGCCTCGTGGCTGTGCAGACCGCAGCTGAGCAGGAGGCAGCCCGTGTGTCCGTGTGCGAGGGGCTTCCTGCAAGCGGGTTCTCTCCCGTGGGCCCTGGAATTCCCCCGGGAAAGGCGAGCTTGATGTGCACCGCAGGCCTCCGCGGAACAGGCCTGCCGGGCACCTGAGCAGAGGCAGAGAGAAGGTGGGGGAGGCGAAGAGGGGTCTCTACCCGGAGGTCCCCTGTCGTCTGGCAGGACTGGTTCTCCCGCCTGTGCCACTTGGGCTTCCCACCCCTCAGTGACAGAGCACAGCACCCTTCTGGGTTTGCCTGTGAAGGAAGGTGACCAGCCCGGCTCCTAGCTCTAAACGCAGTTACCATGGGAGCGCCACTGAGGAGCAAAGGCCATGCTTCCTGTGACCTGGCAGGCAGGACGGGGGCATCCACAGCACAGCAGAGTGGGCTTAGCCACCACCCCGGGCCTCGAGGGGGGCCTCTGACTAGCGAGGAGGGGGCGAGGGGGTGCGGGGCAGGCCCAGATCCCAGGGCAGGGGCTCAGCCACCGGCCCTCACTGTGAAAGGGGCTCTGCCTAGTGAGGCAGGGGTTGGGGGGGTGCCCAGATGCCAGGGCAAGGGCTCAGCCACCAGCCCACACCGTGGGGGGCTCTGTCTAGTGAGGTGGGAGGTGCGGGGGCGGGGGGCCCAGATCCCACACAGAGGCTCAGCCACTGGCCCATTCCCTGGGGCACCCTATCAGGGCCGGGTGCGGGGCCACAGGGCAGGCCTACGTGGCAGGTTGGTTTGCAGTCCGAGGTGGCTCAGGCTCCTACACCCTGACATGGGGTGCGGAGTCCGAAGGCTCTGCGTGGCCACTGGTGGGCTTGGTTGGCTTTGAAGGATTCAGGAGAAGAGAGGGGTGCATGGGGCGTGGGAGGTCTGTGGGAGGAGATGGCAGAGGCCTGAGCCACGGCCTCGGGGTTCACGGGGAGCTTGCGAGGCACCCACAGTGTGGTACAGACCCCCTCAGAGGTCACAGGTGTCGGGACTGGGCCGCTTGGGGCTGCCGTGTCTTCCAGATTTTGAAGATGAATGGGGAGACTGGGAGGGGCCTCGATGGGACGTCCTATCCGCACCTGTGGCTTCTGAAGGCAGAGGTTCTGCTGGAGATGAGCCTGTACCAGCCTGCACGGCTGCTCCTGTCCGAGGCGAACCTGGCTTTCCAGGTGAGGGGCGCCTCCCAGCACACCGCGCACAGCTGAGGGGCTGCGGGCGGGAGCCGTGTTCAGTTCCAGCAAGCCCACCCGCCTCCCTGGCCTGGGTCCCGTGCGTCCTCTGTCTGTCGGTCCGGCTTTTGCTCTGTGACCCACGGTTTGCGGAAGTTTCTGTTTTCGGTACCTGCTGTGGGTCCCTGTGACCGCGTTTCCCTGCGACCGCGTCTCTCTGCGACCGCGTCTCTCTCATGTGTCGTTGGCTCAGCGCTGTCTCCTGCCAGTCAGTTTCTTTCCTTCTGAGGCTGGACGAGAACTTGGAGAACCCCGGCGGGTGTCCGTGCCAAAAGCACTGCTTTGTTCTAGAAGGCGGATCGTGCGCAGGGCCACCTGGGTCCAGGGGTCGGGGCCTGGTCTGGTCTTGGTTCGTTTTGTTCTCACTCTGGATGCGACCCTTACTGTCCCCACCGAAAGCCCCGGACGCCTGCCGAGGCCCGTCTTGTGGGTGCTGCAGCTGTCCCGTCTCGGCAGGTTCCCGCCTGGCTTTGTGAAATCCTGCTCTGCCCAGCCCAGCTCACAGCCCCAAGGGGGAGTGCGGACCTCCGGCCCGTCGCCTGCGCCCCTCCTCCTGGGACAGGCCCTGCCCCAGCTCCGGCCTCCTTCCCTCCCCTGCTGCGCTCCTGCTTTCCCCGGGTTTCAAACCCTGCAGGGATGGCAGGCCCAGGAGAACGCCAGGGTGGATGGAGGCCCGTGGGGACGTCTCTCTGTGCCAGTTGTAGTAGCACAGGCCCCGAACCTGGGGCGAAATGAGGCAAATGGTACAGGTCCACTCTGACCCTGGCGGACTTCTGGTCAGCACTGACCGCCCTCCAAACCCAGCTCAGACACATGGTGACACCTTGTGTCCAGATTTTAGAGTTGCTTTCACTGGGACGGTGAGGCAGGGCTGTGGAACCAGACAGCCCGTCACTTTTTCTGAAGAAGAATTCCAGAAAGAGAGAAGAACCTAGAATGGTATAAAAATTCAGTGATGCCCATTAAAGCCGTGAGAGGTTCAGACTGTCTCTTAGGCACTGAGGGCAGGTGTGTGCCGCTCTCAAGCAGGGGACAGGCATGTGCAGCTCTCAGTCAGGGGACAGGCGTGTGCAGCTCTCAGGGGACAGGCGTGTGCACGTCTCAGGCAGGGGACAGGTATGTGCAGCTCTCAGGCAGGGGACAGGTGTGTGCAGCTCTCAGTCAGGGGACAGGCGTGTGCAGCTCTCAGGCAGGGGACAGGCGTGTGCAGCTCTCAGGCAGGGGACAGGCGTGTGCAGCTCTCAGGCAGGGGACAGGCGTGTGCAGGTCTCAGGCAGGGGACAGGCGTGTGCAGCTCTCAGGCAGGGGACAGGCGTGTGCAGGTCTCAGGCAGGGGTCCGGTGTGCGCAGGTCTTGATAGCAGAGATGGGTGTGTACACACCAGAGTCAAGATTGAGCTTGTCCGAGGAAGGGCCTGAGAATGCCCTGGACAGCTGGGGAAGGGATTCTGGTGGGTGCAGCGTTTTTTGGCCACATCCACGGTAGAGGGCCAGCCTCTGCTGGGACCAGAGGGAGCTGAGGTGTTTAAGAGCTCCTGGGAGCTCACCTGGCTTCTCAGCCAAGTCCACACCGCAGAAAGTCTGCCTTCGTGCACTGTCCTCCCCTCCAGGCCCACCTCACCCTCGGCCAGTGCAGCCTGGCCAACCCCCGAGCACCTGAACCTGCTCCCGCAGCCCGCGATGGGAGCGCGTAGACCGCACCTGCCCTTGCCGCCCTGGTCTGTCCTCCGTGGGGCTCTCTCCCTGCTGGTGGCACCCCTCCCTCATGCTCTCTGGCTCTCCACTCCCTCTCAGGCCCACCCACCTGGCATCCTCGTCTCTTGGGGGTCCAACCCCCGCCCCGGTCTCTCCCTCTGTGGCCTCAGCACTCAGACCCCCGCTGGCCTCAGAGGCCTCTGGGATGGGAACATCTGCCCCAGGGGCTGTGACTGTCCTGTGCTGTCTGCTCCTCGGGACAGGGCTCTGCCCCTCCCACTCAGGTGTCGGCGCCAAAGCCTCGGCATCATCCTCACCCTCAGGCCCCGCGTGCCGCCCACCCTGTGCTCTCCCCGCCTTGGGCGCTCCCCAGCCCCACCCCAGCCCTGTCGCACTTCCGCACTCTCCTCTCCATGTGGAAGCTTCCGCCAGCCCTGTCTCCAGCCACGGGCCCACGGCAGCTGCCCCAACCAGGCCCTGCAGGTGACGGGACCTGGGGCCCTTGCTGGGCCTGCTCTCTGGGCCCAGCCACACAGGGCTCTTCCGGCCTCAGAGCACTACATGCCCCTTCCAGGCTTGGCCAGGCCAGGAATGCCCTACCACAGAGCCCAGCCGCCCACCTGCCTACCCTCAGGCCACCTGCCTGCCCACGAGGCTGCTACGAACCCAGGTCCTGCCCATGCCATCTCTGGCAGTCACAGCCGTGCCCTGGCGCATGCAGGCTCCCTGGTGGCCACGCCCCTCTCTCTTCCTGAATGCATGGGCATCTTAAATGCATGGCGCTCTCAGCAGCTGGCATACCTGCTTGCTGGTGGGCAGCCCCAGCTCGTCAGCCACCCTCCCCTCTGTCCCTGCATCTGCACCTGGGAGGGGCCTGCCCAGGTCCAAATGAGCACACAGGGCATCTTGGTTGGCTGGAAAGTGATGCCTGGGACAGGACGCTGCCCCTGTCCTCACCTCGCCCTCTGACCAGCGCCCTCTGTTCTTACACACACTGCCCTGTTTCTGCCCCGGATCGTGTGGCTACCCAGCCCCCTGGCAGCAGGCCTCAGATGGGCTGGCTGGGTTCCAGGAGCCTCTGAGTGCCCTGGGCATCAGTGTCCAGGTGCAATTGCCCCAGAGCCTTTTGCCCCAAGCAGGAGCTCCTTGAAGATGGGGCCAGGACAGGGGCAGCAGGAGCCCAGGAGGCTCCAGGGACGAAGCTTCCTGCCGCCCAGGGGCAGGGGGAGGCACATCCCCCTGAAGAGGAGCCAGGTGGGGTGGCGCCTCAGTAATGCTGACGCTGCTGTCCGCTCGTTATTGAAACAGAATTAAAAGGAACTCGATGCACTCATGACCTGCCGCAGGTGCTGACTGTGGCCTCCGGAGAAGGGGAACGCGGGAGGGCAGGGAGGGCGGGCATCCCACCAGAGGAGCCGCCGCTGGAGAGCGCAGGGGCTGACGTGGGCCCCACCCTTCTGCTGCCAGAGTGGCCCTGCCTCCCCCTCGCCTGATGCCTCTGTCTCCCTCTTCCTTCCCTCTGCCTGCCCGTCTCCCTGCCTGCACACGCCTGTCGAGGGACCCACGCACCTCTGAGTCTCTCTCCTTCAGGAGCTGGATGAGCCTTGCGCAGAGGCCCGGTGCCTGTTCCTCCTGGCACAGCTGGCCAACAGGGAGAAGAACTATGGACAAGCCAAGAGAATGATCGCACAGGCCCAGCACCTGGGCGGGAACGAGGAGTTCTGGTACGATTCCACGCTGACCCTGGCAGAGGCGCTCTTGTCGACGGAACACCCAGGACGAGAAGCTACGGTGAGAGGCCCGGGGACCCGGGACCGCGAGTCAGGCACCGGGCAAGGTACTCGGTGGAGGGGAGGGGCGTCCACGGAGCCTGCCGGGCAGACTGCCGGCAACACACCCATGTCCACCCACCCGTCCTCAGGTGTGCCACATATTCCAGAAGCTCATCAGTGCCCTCAAGATTCTCAAGAAAGAAAGACCAAACCGAATGCCGTTGTTAGAATTCATGATCACAGACCTAGAAGCCAGGTGACGTTTTGTGAGAAACACTTCCTTCACGTGAACACTGTTTTCCTCTTCTCCAACTGCGGTGTTTGTACCATATGCCAAGCCTGTGCGAGTTCAGAGACCCATGTAATGGGCCCACATACTCACGGAGACCCACGTAACGGAGCCACATACTCACAGAGACCTACGTTAACGGGCCCACATACTCACAGAGACCCACATTAACAAGGTCACATACTCACAGAGACCCACATTAACAAGGTCACATACTCACAGAGACCCACATAACAAGGCCACATACTCACAGAGACCCACGTAATGGGCCCACATACAGAGACCCACATAATGGGGCCACATACTCATAGAGACCCACGTAATGGGGCCACATACAGAGACCCATGTGATGGGGCCACATACTCATAGCTTTCTGTGCAGCTCCAGAAAGCTCCAGAAGTTTCCTGAGCTGCTTCAGGCTTTCTCTGAGAAACGGACCTTCCATCCCATCTGTTTGGCTTAGAAAGGCGGATTCAGGGCCTTGGGAAGGGCCTAAGAAACCTTTTCCTCCACGTCTATGCGTGTCTATAAATTTGTAGAGCATGTGTTCTCTTTCACAAAGCTCTTGTCACGGGCACACTTCCCTCGGTGCTGTTTATCAAAGCCATCTCTTCTTTGCTTTTTGATTTTTTGAGACAGAATCTCCCTCTGTCACCAGGCTGCAGTGCAGTGGCACAATCTGAGCTCACTGTGACCTCCAACTCCCTTGCTCAAGTGATTCTCCTGCCTCAGCCTTCCGAGGAGCTGAGATTACAGGCACCTGCCACCACACTTGGCTAATTTTTGTGTTTTTATTAGAGACGGGGTTTCGCCATGTTGGCCGGGATGGCAGCACCGTCTCTTCTAAATCAGAACTGGAAGCTCCAGCCCAGTGGACATTTTCACGGAGCTGGCTTTGGTTTACAGACCCAGCAACAGGGATTTTTGTGTGACTCAGGCATCCTTGTTTCTGCTTAATCTTTGTGGAGCTCTTTCTGCAGCGGCGAGAGCGCCGCCCAGGGCTCTGCCGTGGCTGCGCGGGGCGGGGTAGGGGGCCGAGGCCTCGTGGCTGTGCCCTCCGCCACCTTCCCGACCTTGCCCTTTGCCCTGCAGCTGCCGCGTGTGAACAGCCCACTGCGTCAGCATGGGTTTTTGTCCCTCTAGTGAGTCGTGTGTGAGAGGGCCTTCAGATTCCCACGTGGATACTGCGCCTGGGGTGAGGCTTGTTAGTGCCTGACTTTATTGCCCATGATCACAGACTGAGGCCCGTACAGTGTCTGATTTTTGAGTGACGCCCTGCAAGCATTTCTTCTAGCGTCCCTGGATGAACACCGGGGGGGCAGCGGCAGCACAGCCGCGAGCCCCGCCACGGCCCTGGGGCTTCTGACTCAGCCTCAAACCGACCCCCCCTCAGGTGCCTGAGCCTGCGGGTCAGAGTTGCACAGGAGTCTGCTGTCACGGAACCCACAGAGTGCTCGCTGCTGCTGAAGGAGCTGGACGACAGCTTGTTGGATATTGAGAGAAGGTTTATTGACTGTGGCTACAAAGAGAATTGTGTTGACGTCAAACTAGAGCGTGCGAAGATCAAGAGGTCAGGCCGCCTCTGCGCCCCGGCATGGGAGCCACTGCTTCTCCCACGCACAACCTGCCCTGTGCCATTCTGCCTTCGGGGCCTGGCTCACCCCAGCTGCACCCCCTCAGGGTCCACAGGCCCCTCCCCTGGCAAGCTACTGGCTGCCACCTCACCCCCACGTTCTGATCATATGCCCAGCCCCCCCTCTGAGGAACCCCATTACTGCTGACAAGGCCTCTTCCTGGCCCCAGCCCTGCAGCTGCCCACACCTCTCTTGGGGACACCCCCATTGTGCCCATACCTCTCTTGGGGACACCCCCATTGTGCCCTGCCCCTCTAGCCCTCGACAGACACACACAGACATACAGCACCACGCACCCCCCACCCAGCCACAGGCACAAGCTCATTGCACACACATGCCCAGGCCCAGGTCACACGTGCACGTCCCAGGCACAACCCTGAGCTACTTGCAGCCCCTGGCCTCAGGCCTCAGCCCCGCCCTGCATGGCTCTGTAGCCCTGTCACAGGCCCATCTCAGGGGCCGCACCCACCGAGGGCAGGGCTCGCACAGCCCTGATGCCAGCCACCGCTGCCCTGGCAAAGCCTCCCTCACCCCGTCCACTGCCCTGCCCCCAACCTGGGGCTGCCCCCATGCCTGTCCACACATAAGCATCTTGACACAGTGGGCACGGTGTGGGCATCCAAAGCCTGTGCCAGGAAAGCGCCACCCCACCCACAAGGTCTGACCTGAGCCACGTCTGTTATTGTGGATGTGGGACACGCCCTTCCAGAACTTCAGTCAGCCCATCCAACCCAGCCAGCTGCTTCCAGCCGATTCTGTGGAATTGCTTCAGCACTTCTTCAAGTGCAGATCTAACTTTCATAACCATAATACCCCGTACCAACTGCATTATTTCAGCTTCTTAAACCTTTAAGACATATTGAGAATGTCTTTACATGCAAGCTATTTTAAGACATCATTTTAAGTACTATTAAAGTATACAGTGTAATTATAGAAAACGACATGTTAAACATTTAGTAATAATAACGTAACGTTTTAACACCTTTGTTCCAAATTCCATTCCTATGTCCTGTAAAGGTTACGTGCCCAGAACGAGAAAGATGAAGAACAGAAAACTGCGTATTACTTGGAGGCGTATGGCCTGGCGCAGAGCGCTGTGGCTGAGGAAGAAGAGAGGTTCCAGAGCATCCGGGCCTTGTTGTTGCTTCACAATGTAAGCAGGTGCCCCTGTCCTTGTGCACATTTGTTCACTCCCACTGGCACATGCTCCCCACTGTAACTTACCTTATAAGCCAGCTGACTTCTGCTTCTAGCTGAAATAGAGTAACAGGGACCAGGTACTCCGCCCCCCACCCACACCGTCTGAAACAGCAAAAAAACAAACAGGATATGAAACAAAGACTTTCGGAATGCTAGATGCCGCGATGACAGGCGGTGGTCCCCGAGCTGAGGTCTGAGCTCATCACGGCTGCTCAGGTGGAGTCCGCTGGTGACCTGAGCCACAGGATGGAGCCGAGGACCCAGGGAGAGCCAGGCACTGGCTCGTGGGACAGAGCCCTGGGGAGGGGGTGGCAACACGGGAGATGAAGAAGGCACCAGGTGGGGTGAATGGGAGCAGTGGCAGAAGAAAAGTTTGGAGAACTTAGAGACACAGCAACAGAAAATTTTACAAAGGAAGAGATAATGAAACTTAAAAGAGCAAAAATTAAAGTTCACAGACAATGTGCCGAGGAACAGCTGTAAGTGCACAAATCCCGATGTGACTGGAATCCTGGGAGAAGAGGGGTAGAATACACAGAAGAGTCTAAATAACGACTGAAAACTTTCCAGATTTGGTAAAAATAAACACAAACTCACAGATCCAAGAAGCTGAATGAATCCCAAGCACGAGAACTATAAAGAGGAATAAAACGATATCAAGACCCACCGTAAGCAGACGGTTGAACCCCTGTGATGAGGAGAGCGTCAGCCAGGAGCGTGTTTATGTGCAGAGCGACAGAGGTGGGTGGCGCAGCTCCCCGCGGAAGCGCCGTAGCTGAGAGCCCAGCACAGGGACCCCTGTGAGGCCGAGCGGAAGCACTCTCAACCGGGAACTCGATACCCAGAAAATATGACTGTCAGTGCAGGTGAGATGAAGATGTTTCTGCAAACACTCAAAAGCTGAAGGGCTGTGTCCTCAGTGGCTTTGCGTGCAGGAGCTCTTGGAGCCCGTCCTGCCGGCAGAAGGAAGCCACGCCCGCTGGAAGTGGCTCCACACAGGTGCCTGGAGAGCCTCAAACCCTTGAGCTGCAGGGGAAAGTGTACCCCATGTTTCTTATTCTAAAAGTCACTCTAAAAGATAATTGGCTGCTTAAACAATACTGACAATGTACCACAGAGTCGATAACATGTGAAAATGCAATGTTTCCACGCTCTGCGTGAAAGGATGTCATGCACTCTAAACACCAAAGCAGCCACAGAAATCCCAGAGTACAGATGTATGCTGCGTAAGCCAAGAAAGGAGGTGAATGGGAATCCTAACAAGTCTATCCCACACAAAAGCAGAAAAAAGAAAGAGAATAAAGAATAGGTGAGACAAACAAAGTAAACGGCAAGATGATAACCTTAAACCTAACCGTGTGACTAATCACATGGAATTTAAATAACAAAACACCCTCAGTTAAAAGAATTTGTCAGATTATATAAAAAAGCAAAACTGGACCATGAGCTACCTACAATAAAGCCACTTTAAATATGAAGACATAACTAGGTTGAAAGTGGAAGAATGGAAAAACATACATACCATGCCAACGTGGATCAGAAGAAAGCTGGGGGGCCTTTACTAACATCACACGCAGCCGATTTTAGAAAACAGAACGTTACCAAGGATAAAGAAGCTTCTTTTATAGTGCAAAGGGCTCAACCAGTCAAGAGGATGTAAGTCCAGACATTTCTGTACTAAATAACAGAGTCTCACAATCAGTGAAACTAAAACTGATAAAGCTGCAATGGAGAAACAGACAACTTTATACAGTCAGATTTCAGTTCCTCTCTCATGGTATTAATAGAACAAGTAGCCAGAAAATCAGCAAACCACTAGAAGATTGGAACACCACTACCAACAAATATGACTGAAAGATGTTTATAAAATGTTCCCCGACAACAGCAGAATGAGATGCTCTTCACGGTACGTGAACCACGTTTCAAGATAGACCACATTTTGGACAATAAAACAATTCTCGATAAATTTAAAAGATTTAAGTCATGCAAAATCTGTACTGGTGACACAATGCAATTAAATTAGAAACAGAAAGATACATCCGTGGAACCAGGGCAAGGAGGTTGAGGGAGGATTTGTTAGTTGTAGTGACAAAAAGGTTTTGGAATCAGAGATGATGGTGGCACAGTGTTGTGAATGTAAATACCACTGAATTGTATGTTGTTAAATGGTTAATTTTATGTGCATTTTACCTCAATTTTAAAAAAGTAAAACGGAAAACTACGTATGTGGGAAACACCAAAGGTTTGAGAAGTAAAGCGCAAACTTCACAGTAACTGTGGGCCACAGAAGAAATCAAAAGGGAAAGTATTTTGAACTGAAGGGAATGAAAAAAAAAAAAAACCACCTATCAAAAGGCTTAAGATGTTGCCAGTGCAGTACTGAGATGGAATTCACAGCACTGAACACCTGCAGGAGAAACGGGAGAAGATCCAAACCGGTTCCCGCAGCCTGCACCTCACACGGGCACAGCAAGAGCAGAATAAATTCCCAAACAAGCAGAGGAATCAGAACTAAAGATCAGAGTGGAATCGGCGAATGGAAAACAGGGAAACCAAAAAGTGGTGACACTGAAGTCAGTTCTTTGAAAAGAGCAATAAATTAAAAAACTTCTAGTCAGACGGATCAGAAAAAAAAAGATGACGTGAATTACCGACCTCAGAAATGAGAGATGCAGCTTCTCCGTGGATTCTACAGATACTGAAAGGATGGTAAAGGAATGGTATCACAGACAACTCTATGCTAATATGTTTGCCAGCTTAGACGAAACGGAAACGTTCCGTGAAAGCATGAAGTACCAGAGCCCACTCAAAAAGAGAGAGAGCCGGAGTAGCACGATATGTATTTTAAAATTTAATTTGTAATTAAAATATTCTCGCAAAGAAAATGCCAAGCCCAGATGGCTTTACTAGTGAATTCTGCCAAATATCAAAGAAAAAATACGAGTTCTACACAAATTGTTCTAGAAAATTGAAAAAGAGAGATTACATCCCAACTTTTCTGTGAGACAAATAATTACCTCGATACCAAAACAAGGTAAAGACATTGACAGACACAAACAACAACAGCAAAAGCCCCTGAGCAGCATTCACTGTGAGCAAAATTCTAGCAGATTAAATCCAACGGCGTATAAAAAGGACGAGACATCATGAGCAAGCCGAGGTTACCCCGGGAATAGCTTAACATTCAAAAATTAATTTGTTTCACCATATTTTTTCACAACTAACAAATGAAAACCATATGATCATCCTTGTGGATGCAGGAAAAGGATTGGACAAACTTCAGCACCGTTCCTGATAGACACTCCTAGCAACGATGAATAGAAGAAATCTTCCTCAACCTGATAAAAGACTCTGGCGTTTTTGTAGATGTGTTTTATCAGGTTGAGGAAGTCACAATTATGGGAGGGAGACCGGAGCCCCTTTGGATAAGGATGAAGACAAGGACGAGCCCTTTTCTCACCTGTGTTCTGTGTTGACACGGGAGTTCCGGCCTCTGCGAACATGCAGGTAAAAAAGAAATGAAAAGCATCCAGGTTGGAAAGGAAGGAATGAAACTGTTTTTGTTCGCAGGTGACATAATTGTCGGTATGCAATCTACCAGAAAATAAAGCTACTGAGTTTGGCAGGGTTGCGCGATAGAAGAACAATATACAGATGTCGGCTCTATATTTCTGCATGCTAGAAACAATCAGATATTAACATTTGTAAAATAGGCTGGGCGCAGTGGCTCACGCCTGTAATCCCAGCACTTTGGGAGGCCGAGGCAGGAGGATCATGAGGTCAGGAGTTCAAGACCAGCCTGGCCAACATGGTGAAACCCTATCTCTGAAGATAGAAAAAATTAGCCAGGTGTGGTGGTGCATGCCTGTAATCCCAGCTATTAGGGGGCTGAGGCAGGAGAATCGCTTGAAACTGGGAGCTAAAGGTTGCAGTGAACCAAGCTCACGCCACTGCACTCCAGCCTGGGCAATGGGGAGAGACTCCATCTTAAAAAAAAAAAATTTATGAAAGCATTTAAAAATGAAATTCGTCCCAAAACATGTGAAATCTTATACTCTGAGAACTTAAAAACATGACAGAAAAATCTGAGAAGCCCTAAGTAAACGGAGAAACACGTTTGTGGATCAGAGGGCTTGGTACCGTTCAGGCACTGATTCTCCCTAAATTATCTGTGCTCCTCGTCAAGGTCACTGCAGGCTTTTTTAGAGAAAATGACAAAATGATTTTAAAACTCATATGAGAACACGAAAGACCTAATGTGGCCAACACAACTTTGAAAAAGATGGAAATTGGAGGTTTGCTGCCACCTGGTTTAAGAGCTAGTATAGCGCGGAGGATGGCCTGGCTTTCGTGTAAAAGTGGACACGTGGTCAGTGGAACAAAGTGGAATCCAGGTGTGGACCCCACACGTCCAGGGAAGGGATCGTCAGCAAAGGCACAGAGGCAGCTCGCCAAAGAAAGGATCATGCGGCTCCAACACAATCCCCTTCGCTTCTTAGCTCACACCGCACGTGAAAGTCGCCTCCAAAGAGATTGTACAGCTAAACATAAGGGCTGAAATGTGAAGCTTCTAGAAGAACACACAGGAAAACACCTTTGTGACCTCAGGGTTGGCGAGGGTTTCTTATTTATGACAAACTGATAACGTGGCCCTCCCTTCAAAAGACACTCTGAAGAGAATGGCAAGACCAGCCACAGGCAGGAAGAAAACGCACATCCTCTGGCTGATGAAGAGACTTTATCTAGAACGGATGGAGAACTCTCCAAAGTCAGTAACAACCCAGCAAAACACAAGCAACATATTTAACAGGCGCGTCCTCCACGGAAAATACGTGGATGCTAAACAAGAACGTGAACGGACGACTATCGCGAGTCAGCTAGGGACACAGAAAGTGTGACCATCTAAGAAACCACCACACACCTATTAAAACGGCTACAGCGTAAAAGGCCCACCACACCAGATGTGGGCAAGGGTGTGGAGAGGCGGGCCCTGAGCGCCGTGGCCACCGTGGGAGGTGGCCCGACGCAGCTGCTGGGAAGAAAGCTCGGCCGTTTCATCAAATCCCACGTAGGCCTGCCCGGGACCAGCCTCTGCGCTGGGCGTGTTCACGTGCACGTGAATGTTGGCAGCAGTTTTATCTGTAGTAGCCCCCAAACTGGAAATGGAGTAGATAAGCAGACGGCGGCACATCCCTGGTGCGGTGACACCGGCTGTGGGGGAGGGGAGCGTGCGTGCCACCTCGCGGGGGAGCCTGACCGTGACCCTGCAGAGGGAAATGCACCAGACGGGAAGACGGCCCGCTGTGCGCGTCCACATCGGTGCGTTCTGGAAAGTGCAAGCTGATGTCGCGTGCCAGCAGGCAGCTGGGTGACGGGGAGGGAGCACGCGGGGCCCGAGGACACTTGGGGGTCAGGGCGACGGCACTGTCCCGCGGGGGTGACGCTCTCACAGGTGTGTTCGTGATCCGATGTGCAGTTTATTCTGAGTTTATTATGTCAGCTGAGCCTCGTCCAGACCGTGGATGTGGACTCAGTCTCAGCAGAAGCGCCCGTGCCTCAGACCCGTGCCCGACCGCCCCAGGTGCAGAACGTCAACACGCCTCTGATGAGGAAGCTGGCGCGCCTCAAGCTCGGCCTGGTGGAGATGGCTCTGGGCATGCTCCAGTTCATCTGGGAGGGGGCCCGCGGGCCGCGGAGCGAGCAGGGGTCCCTGGAGAAGCTGCTGGCAGAGTATCTGCAGAACACCAGCGACGACACTTCCGTTGGCCTGGTAATTGCGGGGTGCTCTTACTCACGGGTCCTCTGTGGAGGGGGTGCCGGGCTGCAGAATCTGAGTGTCCTCCCTGCGCAGACCACCAGCACTGGGGGCCTTGCAGAAGAAGGGCGTCGTCTCGCCATTGGAGGCGACGGAATTGGCTAATAAAATCGAGGTTCCATTGTGAGCCGTTTCCCGTATGACCACAGCTGCCCTTCCCAGCTCATGCATTTGCTTTGACTAATTAATTTGTATTAATGATTAATGCGTATGTGTATCACAGAGCACGATAGAAGTGACTCCATTTTGGTGTTATAAAAAGAAAAGCTGAATATGTAGAATGTTTTGAAGGAAATGTACGTTCTTCCATTCTGCATGGTCTTAGATTTCAGGAAATATGACTCCAATTAATTTACATAAGTATAAATGGACCAAAGATGGTCCCAAAACTGATTTGTCAGAGAGCTCTGAATGACGGTGACGTGATGATATGATCAGAACCGTAACTAAGGTCATTAATAAGTTATATGAGCAGCTGTCTGTGGCCCCCAAACCAGAGCCCCCAACACCCTCCCTGAGCAAGCAGCACCTGGTGGGGTGGGGGTACTTTTCAGAGCTCCCAATGTCTCCACCCACGGGGACACCAGAGGGAGGGCTCGCTGGGTCCCCTGGGCAGGGTGGGCGGTTGCCCTCCCAGTGGTGGCTGTAACGTGTCTGTCTTTTCAAAGCAATGGTTCACGCTGAAGCGCACCCTGGCACACGGGGCACTGGCGCAGCTGGGGAGCCTGCAGCCGCTGAGTGTGGGCTGCGTGGAGATCCGTGCCCGGCTCCTGGGACTGGCCGGGAGGGCCATCCACCTGCTGGCCGTGCAAGCCGACCCTGTGCGCCCCGCCTGCTACTGGGAGGAGGAACCCTCGGTAGGTGCCCTGTGCGCCCCGCCTGCCACTGGGAGGAGGAACCCTCGGTAGGTGCCCTGTGCGCCCCGCCTGCCACTGGGAGGAGGACCCCTCGGTAGGTGCTCCCGCTTCTACCCCCAGTCCGGTTCACACCTGTCACCGGTGCCTGAAATATACAAGCGAAGTGTTTACACTCCGCTGAGTGCAGCAGACGAATCGTGTCATCCCGTTAACAAGGGCATGGCCCCAGGAAGAGAGGAAGGTGTAGGAAGCAGGCCTGAGAGAAGGAATGGGGCCGGGAAAACACAGGACTCCCGGGACAGACCTGGGAGGGATCCACAGCGTGTCCGTGGGCAGGCACGGAGGGCAGGCTGGCACGTGGACCGGCCCTCTGCAGCATGGGGCCCAGTCCGGCCCCGAACTGGCGAGAGTGCAGCAGGCCCCGGCCCCCGGTGTCACCCGCAGCAGTGGCTCTGACCGGCCCACACGGGGACCTGGAGAGCTCAGAAGCTCTTCGTAACTGGGGATGCCACGCTTCGTCTGCTACACTTGGGTTGTTAAACACTTCCCTGTGCAGCCCTGGGTCAGCCCAGAGATGTCGCCTGTCCTGCGCCTTCAGGACCCAGCACAGGACTTGACGTGCCTTGCGTGAATCGATCGAGTGGTGGCTCTCGGTGCGACCAGCCTGCATCCACCTGCACAGGTGGCTGGTGGCTGTGGAGCAGAAGCCAGGCTCGCAGGGCCTCCTCTGAGCTGGCCTCTCCTCTGTGAACAGGGGCCAGGGCAGAGCAGGGGTCAAGCGAGCGGGGAGCGCAGAGGCCTCCGGGGCTCCCACCCCATGCAGCCTGGCCCGGCCGTACCTGCTCCTGTCCCCCCGGGTGCCGCCCTCCGCTGTCCTTAGATGGGATTTATGTTGTTGTGCAGCTTCTTGAAATCAAAGCTTAAATCGAGGTTTTTCTGGCTTTTTCTTGCATTCAAGGCTGTGCTTTTCCTCGAACCCCCATTTCAGTCTCCGAAGTTTTGATAACGGAGGATTGAACGTCTAGGGTCCCTCGCCGCGCTGTCTAAGGCGCTGTCCTATCTCCTTGTCTGTTGTCCCACGGCCCAGCAGATTGAGGAGCGTGGACACAGGCCGAGGCTGGAGCAGAAGTTTAATCAGTGAAAGAAGGAAGCTCTCTGCGGTGGAGAGTGGGCCGCCATTTTTACAGCTGACTCCGATAGCTCTGATAGGAAACTCCCCTCATCCCTTTGGCTGTTCTTGTGACCTCCCTGGTCTGTGCAGCTGCGGGCATGTCTTTAGGGAGCTGGATACAGCTTCTCGTTCAGGCAGCTGTGGGTGTGTTTTGGATGAGCCCCCCTCCGCCCCTCCCACAACCCACGCAGATTCCCCTGGACCCCACCACGTACATGCCTGGAGCGGAGGATCCTTCCCAGGGAGCGGGCCAGGTGACCCGGGGAACGGAGGCCTCTGCCGGGCCCGCCTGCCCACGCGTGCAGCTGCAGCGTGGTCTTCCCTGGGCTGCTCCCTCTGTGCCCGTGGCTGTGACGTTTCCGGCTGTCTCTCTGAGGACCAGCCTTGGCTGGAGGCCTGACTGACTTTTCCTTTTCTTCTCCCTCGGTATTTTCATTCTCGAAGCCCGTTGCCAGTGTTTTCTAAGTTCTACTGCGATTTCTTCCTTGACCGACTTGATGATTGAATCTTGTTTAATTTCAAGGGGCCTGTGTTTCTCACGAGTGTATTTTCATTGCTGACTTCCAGTTTAATGTTATGGCTGAAAACACACCCCGAGTGGTCTCGGTCCTGGGGACTCTGTGGTGGCCGCACGTGGCCCAGCCCTGGTCGGGTTTGGTAGATGCTCCTCACACACCTGGACCACGTGTGCCCGTCGTTAGAGGGACAAGGCTCTGCGTGCGCCAGACGGCCGGCGCCGCGTGCTGGTTTCCGCTGCGCTCAGGTGGCCCCCCTACAATCCGGGCTCGTCAGTCACTCCTCCTCCATTTCTGTCAGTGTCTTTTTTATTTTGATGCCTGATCATTGAGTGCGTACAGATTTCACATTGCGATACCTGTGACCTGAACAACCAGCCTCCCTCTCAACCCACTTGTGTCAGGGGCTGCCTGGGCTTCCTACCCCCAGTGGGGGGCTTGTTTCCCAGCCAGACCAGGGGCCCCTGGGCCTGTGCAAGCCTCAGCTCCAAGAAAGGCGTTTCTGAGGATGGGAACAAGAGCCCCTCGGAATGCTTGGTACTGTAGGCCCATGTGACTCAGGCCAGCTTCCCCGGGGGGCTGCGTCCTCACCCTGGCTACAGCGTCTCCTCACCCAGACTCGAGGGCCAGGGCCACCCTGCGTCAGCTCAGGGCTGGAGGGTTTGGGACAGGGAGGGGTCACGCTGCACCTGAGGTGCCCCCCACCCGGGGACCCTGGCGAGGAGCCCGACTGCCCCGGCCTCCCTGGGTGGACTCTGCCCACGGCAACAAGCAGGAAGCCAGACGCCCGGCAGCCTGCGGTGTGTGTTACAGGTGGGCGCCAAGCTGAGCAACCTCAGGTCTCTGGAGCTGGAAGCAGAGGAAGAGGATGCCACAAAGTCCAGCAGGGACCTGCCAGCCTCCAGGGCGGCCCTGGAGGAGCACAGCAGGAGACGCGGGGACCTGAAGGTGCGGCTGCCCCTCCTACCCCTCTCGTGGCCTCTCCTGGAGCCCAGCCTGAGCCTGAGCCTTGTGCCCTGCAGAGGAGGATGGTTCTGGCCCAGCGGTACCTGGCACAGGCGTCAGAGGTGTTGCTGCAGTGCCTACACGTGGCCCTTGGCAGTGGCCTCCTGGACGTGGCGGCAGCCGCCAGCCTGGAGATGGTGGAGTGCATCGGCGCCCTGGACCCTGCTACTACCTGCCAGTTCCTGGCGCTGTCTCAGGTGTGGCTCTGGCCCGTGCACCTCCAGGCAGGCCCTTCGAGGAGGAGGAAGGACCCTGGCACAAGGGAGCTCTCTCTGCGGATGGCCCCACCCCTGGGATTTAGCTGGGGCCCTCACCTTGGGGACTCCATTAGAGAAGAGGGCCACAGGCCGGGGTCCTCAAGCAACGGGAGCCCGCCAGCCATGTAAACTTGTGGCTGAGAGAGAACATCACTGGTGAGCCCAACCCCGAACCCCGCGTCGGGCAGACGCAGAGACCCAGTGGTCCCAGGCCGGCAGGGCCCTGTCTGTGCGGTCCTATGGGGGAGGAGGCATGGCCCCACAGGACTGCAGGGGCCAGGAAGAGCCGGCGTCCCGGGGGAGCCGCGCAGGAGAACCAGCCCACTCCTGCCCCAGGCTCAGTGACGGCGCCCCCTCCGCAGGCTGCAGCCCTCCCCGGCCCGGCCTTGGGCCCCCGCACACCTCCCTGCTCTGTTTCAGAGCTGCTCGGCCTCAGAGACGATGAGGGATGTCCTGCTCGCAGCCACGGCCGACACCAGCAGCTCCCAGCTGGCGGCCCTTCTGCAGCTGCAGCAGCAGCTCCGGCGCCAGGACAGGACCACCACCGGCCTGGGCGCCAGCGTGGAGCAGAGGCTGGCTGCTGTGTCCAAGGTAACCGGGCAGGGATGCGGCTGAACCTGCCCCCGACCCTGGGGACGCCCACTGAGAGCGGAGCCCCGCGGCACCCTGGGGACGCCCACCAGATCCTGGGCCTTCGGGACGCTCCCCTTGAAGCTTCTGGAAGGCAGTGAAGTCTGCTGTGGTCCCGTGGTGCCTGGAGAGGAAGCAGCCCCCAGGATGTAGCGTCCCCCGCAGCATCCCGTTCGTGTTCTCCTAAATGAAGGGCTCATGCAGGGGTTTCAGGGAAAGCGAACGTGGCCGAAGGTTGACTCTGTGACAGGGAAGCAGGCTGAAAGGACGGAGCAGGGGTGCTGTGATTTGAAAGCTTGCCCCCCTCGAAACCTGTGTTGAAACATGAGCTCCGTGTGGCAGTGTTGAGAGCCGGGGCCTTTGAGAGGTGACTGAGTCATGAGGGCTCACAAATGGGTCAACCCGTCTGTCGACTGGTGAGTTAATGGATTAATGGTTATCCTGGGAGTGGGGCTGGCGGCTCTATGAGAAGAGGAGGAGGCCTGGGCTGACAGCCGCTCGCCGTGTGGGGTCCTGGGCCACGGGGGACCCTGCAGAGGCCCCACCAGCAGCAAGTTCCTCACCAGATACGGCCCTTTGACCCTGGACTTCTCAGCCTCCAGAACTGTAAGAAATAATTTCCTTTTCTTTAGAAATTACTCAGTTTCAGATATTCTGTTATGAACAACTGGAAATGGACTAAAAATTGGTACAAGGAGTGGGATCGTTGATAATAATGAATACTTGAAAATATGGAAGCAGCTTCAGAACGCAAGAGCAGAGGCTGAAAGCGTTTGGAGCAGAAGCTTTACAAACCCGTGTGTCTGTGGACTGGTCATTAAGGGTGGCTCTGGCGAGGGCCTGCCTGGAAGACAGGGTAATAAGGGAACGTTTGGAACTCTTTTTTTTTGAGATGGAGTCTCGCTCTGTCGTCAGGCTGGAATAGAATGGTGTGTGATCTCACCTCACTGCAGCCTCCGCCTCCTGGGTTCAAGCGATTCCCCTGCCTCAGCCTCCTGAGTCACTGAAACCACAGGCGCGCGCCACCACGCCCGGCTAATTTTTTGTATTTTTAGTAGAGACCAGGTTTTACCCTGTTGGCCAGGATGGTCTCGATCTCCTGACCTCATGATCCTCCTGCCTCAGCCTCCCAGAGTGCTGAGATTACAGGTATGAGCCACCGCGTCCGGCCAAGTTTGGAGCTCTTTAGAGATCTGGTAGGTGGTCGTGACCAGAGAGCTGATGGAATTATGGACGGGAAAGGCCATGCCGATGAGATTTCAGACGGAACTGAGGAGCAGGGTGTTCAGACCCAGAATAAAGGTCAGCCTCACAGCCTCGTCATACATCAGCAAAGACCCAGGCTGCTGTGTGGATACTTAGAACCACTACATAAGCTGCAAGAGGAAAAAAATAACTCAGAGGTGGAAATTAGCATCAAAAGAAGAGCAGAAGGCTGTGGGCTCTCGGCCTGGCCACGTGAGTCAAATGTGCGTCCAGGACAGTAGCAAAGCCCTAGACCGTGCGCGGAAAGTCAGCCCGGAGCGGGGGCGGGTGCTGCTCCTCGGAGACTTTCAGTTCTGCTCTCCCGTTGCAGGCCTGGAGGCCACAGAAGGCAGAACTGTTCCAGTGGATGAGCCAGAGGAGCCCTCCACAGGGCCCCCGCCCAGGGCCTGCTGGGGACCGTGCTCCCTAAATTCCAGTGCAGCTCTCCATGGCAGCCCCAGCACTAGCCTAGGCAGCTCTGGTGCAGACAGACCCACAGCTCAAGAAGAGTGGCCACAGCCTTGGCCACGGCCACGTGGCACAGATTCCACAGGCTTGCAGAGAGGCTTTGCAGATTCCACAGGCTTTGCCGCCTCCACCCAGATTTCAAAGGATGCCATTGAAAGCCCGGTTGCCCAGGCAGACTCGTCCCACGGATGGAGCCACCTCAGTCAGCCCCACCAGAGCAAAGCCTACCACACCCATGGGAGCAAGACCCCCTCCAGGACCTCAGTGGAGCCACTGGCAGCTTGCAACACCCACCATGGGAAGCCTCAGGCAGACACCAGCCCGTGAGAGCAGCCATGTGGGCTGCACCCAGCAAAGCCATTGGGGCGGCCCAACCCCCAGCCCGTGTTCAGAAGCAGCAGGTGCCATTGGAAAAGGCCATTCCCTGGCTTTAGGGTCACATCCGCCCTGTGGGGTCCGGGCTTGCTTGGAGCCCGGCCCTCCTCTCTTTTTGCCTGTTCCTGTTTTCAGGTGGGAATGTCTCAGGCGGCCCCACCGCTGTATGTCGGAAGAATAGAGCTTGTTTGGATTCCACAGGCTCATAGTTACGACTCTGAACTTTGGACTTTTGAGTTGCTGCTGGAAGAAGTTAAGACTTTGGGGCTTGTATGAATGTATTTGTAGAAGAGAAAGACATGAATTTTGGGGGCAGAATGCTATGGGTTGAATGTTCCCTCCAAAACTCATGAATGGATTGATCCAATTCATGGTTTTAGATTCAGGGGTTATCCTGGGAGAGGGGCTGGTGGCTTCATAGAAGAGGAAGAGAGACCTGAGCTGGCACACCCTGCCCCTCACCACAGGATGCCCTGCGCTGCCCTGGACTCTGTGGAGTCCCCACCTGCGAAAAGGCCCCCAGCTGACGTGGCCAAATCTGACCAGTGCTGGTCCACATGCAGCCACAGCAGAGTCCCCCAGGGCCGAGGCCACTTGGAGCGTGTTTTCCAGCCACGGTGATGTTAAACGGGAAATCAGTAACAAAAATGGACCTATGAGAAACACGGTTGCCTTGAAATTAAACAGCATCTTAACAATGATCAAATTAGTCAAAGAAGAAGTCACCGTGGAATTCAGAAAACACTTTAAACTGACTTAGAGAATGAAAATACTACAAATAAAAACTTACGTGACTTAGCTGAAATGGGTTACTAGAAAAATAGAGCCTTGAATACAAGAAGAAAGCCAGAAAAAAAAAAAACCTTGATTTTAAGCTCTGATTTCAAGAAGCTGAACAACAACAATAAATTACCTCTAAGGAAAATGAGGACAAATCAATACATCAGAAACAGCGAAGCCAAGACGAGCAGAGGAAATCCGAGGCACAGGTTGGTTCCAAAGAGAAGACGATGAAATGGAGAAACCCCTGCTCAGGAAAAAAAAAGAAAAAAGGCGAGTTCTCGGTATCCGTAAGAAAAAGACCCTCACTGAGACGCTGCACATGTCGAAAGTTCATAGAGAATGTTCTCCATAGCCTCAGTCCACACCGTTGACACCTGGAATCAAACAGGCCAACTCCTCAGAAAAACACGGCTCACCAAAGCTGACAGAAGCGTGGAAAATCTTTTCTTTAAAACGTTGCTATGAGGGAGACCCAGACCCCACTGGCTTCACCAGTAAATTCTTCCAAAAACGGAAAGAAGAAAAGCCACTTTCAAAACTCATAGCAAGTGGCAAGAAAGCACAAACTCCCTCTTTTACTGAGAGGCTCAATGAACCCTGAAGCTGCAAACTCAGCAGGGGGGTTGCAAGAAAGGGAAAGCCCTCCGTCAATATTACACAAAAATCCTAACAAAACATAGCAGATAAAGTCCAGCAGTTATAAAGGGATGCCACATCAGGGTCAAGTGGTTGTGTTCCATGTGGTTTAATATTCAGAGCACTCAACATCAGTGACCTGTTAACAGAGGGAAAAGAGACAAATCCTAAGATCATACTGGCAGGTGCAAAAATGGTGTCTTTCAGAATCCAGCATGATTTTTAAAATTAAGATACAAGCAAATGTTCTTAATCCAAGAAGGAATTTCTATGCCGCCCTAGCACGCGTCGCATTTGATGCACGGCATTGAAAGTTTTCCCCAAGAGTGGAAATGCACACCCTATCGGCACTGGTATTGAATACAGCACAGTAAGAGTCGGAAAAGAAATACAACGTAGAAAGACCCAAGAGGAAATACAGAACCAAGAGACGGAAGAGCCTGAGGGCTGTCCCTCGTCTGCGGCGGAGAGGCTCTGCCTGCGTCCTGTGAAGCCGGCCGTTCTCTCTGTGCTCAAGGATTTCGCACATGCTCTTCCTCCGCCCGGAGAGATCTCAGCTCGGTTCCCCTGAGCCATTAGCAATGTTGTTTTCTGCAGAGGTGGCCTGGCACGTGACCCAGAGCTGTGTCCCTTGTGGGGAGCCTGGGGCTGTGCCAGTCCCCTGTGGCCACGGGAGACCCAGGGTGGGAGCCGTGCGAGGGGAAAATGGCACACCAGACTCCACTGAAATGCAGAAGTTCTGTTTGTCAAGAGTGCCCTGCCTTGCGAGGGTTGAGGGGCAGCCACAGAGAAGGTACTGACACTAGTTGCCTGGCACACACAGGGATGGAAGGTAGGGGTCCCTTTTCGGTAAGAAAAGGAGACACTGATGGAAGATGGCACCAGGGTGGACTTTCACAAACTCAGAGATTCGAGTGCCCAGGAAACAATTTGAGTGGCGCTCAGGTTCCCTGGTCAGCAGGGAAATGCAAAACGGAAGCCTGACGCAGCTACCAGTCACCAACTGCAATGGCCCAGGTGGAAAAGGAGAACACCCGCCGTGGCGCTGAGACGGGTGGGGCGGCTGGGGCTCCCTGGGCCTCGTGCCCACCCCTTGGCACAGCAGCTGCTTGGCAGAGTTCAGCAGAATCGCTGTCGCTGACACCCCACCTGGCTCCATGCCCGGGGGAAAAGCGTCTGTGCACACGCGCATGTCTGTGTGTCCACGCTTGTCTGCGTGTGTGTGTGTCTGTGCACATGTGTGTCTGTGTCTGTGCTTGCCTGCATGTATGTGCATCTGGGCACATGTGTGTGCTTGTCTGTGTGTGTGTGCATCTGTGCACGTGTCTCTGTGTGTGCTTGTCTGTGCATCTGTGCATGTGTGTCTATGTGTCCGTGCTTGTCTGCATGTGTGCATCTGTGCAAGTGTGTGTCTCCGTGCTTGTCTGTGTGTGCGTCTGTGCGTCTGTGTGTGCTTGTCTGCATGTGTGCGTGCATCTGTGCACACGTGTGTCTGTGCTTGTCTCCATGTGTGTGCGTCTGTGCACGTGCGCGTCTGTGTCCGTGCTTGTGTGTGTGCATGCGTCTCTGTGTCTGTGCTTGTCTGTCTGTGTGTGTGCGTGTCTGTTCGTGCTTGTCTGAGTGTGCGTGTACATGCATCCGTGCATCTGTACACATGTCTCCGTGTGTGGTGTGGAGGACACAGGAAAGAGGACGGAGGGAAAGGTGCCACTCATGGAGGATGCGCGGGAACATTTTCCATTTGTTGTTTTGGGTTTGGCAAAGATACGCTTCACGTCATGCAAATCAGGTTTCTAAACATTAGCCGGAGAGAAATGACATTTTGGGGCCGCCGGTGACTCTCATGTACCTCTGCTGCCCCCTGGTGGCAGCCCCAAATCACTTCCAGCAGGGCCCCCCCCCCACCCCAAGGGCCCCAGCCCCAGGCAGGCAGGGCACGGGTCCCCCGCCACGCTCTGCAGAAGTGATGAGAACAGCACCGCGACGTCCCTGCGTCCTAAAGGCCTCCGCTGATGGCTGTTTTTCACAACACAGGCTTGGCAAAACCTCTGCGTCACTGAGCAGCATTTTAACCTCTTGAATGAGATACCTCCCACCTTTCGGCTGCTCTTTCTGCAGCTGTCACCGGACAGGTAAAGCCACTCACTCCCGCTGAGGCTGCCCCCACCCCGCTGAGGGCCTTAGAGGGGCAGAGACCCAGCCGCGGGCTGCCCACACCTCAGCCCCACCCCAGGGAGGCCTGGGACTCGGGAACTGGCCGGCCGGTCCTGAGAAGCTGCCGGACAGACACCAGGTACCCCAACTGACGCGGGGTGGGGACGGCCCAGGGGTGCGGCACCAGTCCTGTTCCTCCTGGACGGAGGTGAAGGGGCACCCCCTGTGACCTGTCGCCTTGACGGGGCCTTTGCGTCTGGTTGGGTGTCCGGACCTGGAACACGGTTACAGTGGAGCCTGGAGCCAGCCGGCTGTGCCTCGGGCAGTGACCACAGAACCCACTGGCTGTGGCCAAGTGCTCAGTGCATGACCCAGCTGTCCACGCACACCCAGCCGGGCTGTGTCCCTTGAGGTGTACACGGGGAGGGCCCTGCTGGGGTGCGTGGTCTGCAGAAGTGGCCTCACTGGGCCCCTCTGAGGTCCCTGGGGCTGGTGGGCTTGTCTGTGACCCTGGCCCGCATCCTGCCAGCAGGTCCCATCTGTACAGCGCTGCCTACGAGAAACCCAAGTTCATTCCTGTGGCCAAAGGAAAGGTGCAGCACGTCGGAGGTGAGTGGGCTGCACCGGGCAGGGCGGGCGCGCGGCTGATGCCTGCCGAGCCTCAGGGTCCCTGCACCCCGGCCCTTTCCTCCCGGAAGCTGAAGGCCCACCAGGGAACCCCAGTGGGTTGTCCGGGGGGTGTGGCCTCCCCCGCCCCCCGCCCACGGGGTGGAGAGGTCTGAGGAGCCTGTGACACTGGGAAACAGGCAAAATGGGCGTGGGCTTCCCGGGCCCAGGAGGCCCGTCCGCTGGCCTGCAGTGATGTGGCGGCCCCTCCACGGCACGGGCCAGGCTCTGGGGGACCCTACGTGGAGGAAGGGGCTTCCGTGCATGCAGCCTTTCCTGCGGGGACGCAGCCTTTGCCCAGTGCTCACCACGCACGGTCCAGCGGCCATCCTCAGCCTGGGCAGCGACAGAGGCTGTGGCCATGTCTCCCCAGGCCCCTGCAAGGTGATGCGGCTGGCTGTGAGTCCCACCGCCTTCTCCCACCTGCTGGCCTGTGCCCAGGAGTTCCGGCAGGAGATGCAGGCCCAGGTGTACACAGAGGACCTGCTGCAGAGCACAGGCTCGGTGAGGCGCTCCAGGCTCCAGGCTGCTCTGCTGGGACCCTGTGTCCCCCGCCCCTGAGAGCCAGAACCCCAGGAAGGGGTGGGCAGGGGCAGGACGCTAGACCAGGCTGCTGAAGGGCTTGGACCACCCTGACACCAAGGCACTGCCCAACTCCCAGGCCAAGCTTCACACTGGGGAGAGCACTTGAGCTCCTTGGCCATGTCTGATCCCTAAAACACAGAGGTGCCTGGCCAACTCTGCTCCTCAGAGCTTAGGGTTGCCAGGGCCCAGCTGTCCCTGCAGGCAGGACCCTCCGTGATGCAGGCAGAGGAGACGGGTGGGGGCTGGGGTGTCAGGGTGACCCCCCAGGAGATGGGTGAGGTGACTCCCCCAGGGGATGGGCGAGGTGAACCCCCAGGGGATGGGCAAGGTGACCCCCAGGGGATGGGTGAGGTGACCCCCCAGGGGATGGGCAGGTGACCCCCAGGGGATGGGTGAGGTGACGACACCCCAGGGGATGGGCAGGTGACCCCCAGGGGGTGGGCAGGTGCTGTGGGGCCTTCGCTGCTGAGCTGGGCGCCCTGGTCCACCACGTTGTTCGCACAAGGGGCAGGAGCTTGGCCTTTCCGCAGGGGCCTGGCTTCCCTCAGGGTCTGGGCCACGCGCGCTCTCTGCTATGGGGGCCCCTTGTTTGGGTCGAGGTAGGAGCCAGAAGGCCTGCAGGCGGAAGAGAAGCAGCCCGCGGTGCACAGTCCCCGCAGCGTCCTGGAGGCCCTGGAGGAGCTTCTGCGGCCGCTCTTCCCCGTGCTCAGTGTCCCCGAGGCCAGGTACTGGGGATGACGCTGCGGCCCAGTCCCCAGCACACTCACGAATGGAACGTGGCCCAGTGCTGTGGCTTTGCTGGGCCTTCCCAGCCGCCTCGTTCCGGGCTCCGCACCACGCGCCTGCTCCTGGGAAGGCGTCCTGGTTCTGCCTCCATTCCAGCCTGGGGGGGCACCTCCCCCTGCCCACCCCCGAGGCCCCTCCCGCCCCCGGCCTGAGCGTGGGGTGGGAGGGCAAGCAGCTCCAAGGGGCCGTGGGGCTCCTTTGATTTTGGGTAGGAAGGAAGGCAGAGGGGCAGGCACCTGGCACCGTTGAGCTTGGCGGGTGGATCAGAGCTGGTCCTGACACCCTTGTGCTCATCCCAGCCCCGCCTCGGCAGGACCATCCCCAGGAGCGAGCGTGGGGATGTCTCGTGGTGCTGCCGCCTTAGACTGAAGCAGGCTGAGCAGGAGTCACTTCTGCATGGATGTATTCTTAGCAGATGTCGTCTCTATCTGTTTCTTAAACCCGAGTACGTGACCTGACTTTCAGAGTGCAGATGCCCGTGATGGTTGCAGATTCAGGGAAGCCCAAGGGTAAAGACAAGGAGAGGAAACCGTCCACAGGGCCACAGAGTGAGTGCAGTACCGTCCACAGGGCCACAGAGTGAGTGCAGCGGGCACCACGCTCAGCCAGGGGAGCTCGTTCTGCCCGAAGTGGGGTTGGGATCCACCCACCCAGCCGGGAAAGCCAAGGGGGGTCAGGAACCCAGGAGTCTCACCCACCACGGCCCTGCAGCCCCTCCCTCCGGGTAGGAGGCTCTGTGCCAAGCCCCCCGAGAGCACCCGGAACCCAGCACAGCTGCCCTCTCGTGGGTGGATCGTCAGCCCCTCCACACCACGCGTGCTTGCTAACAAAAGGAGGGAACGGCACGATGGGGGGCTGTTCCTGGCCCCGTTCCCGGGCGTCTGGAGGAGTTGACGTGGAGTTGAGGCGGGCCTCCAGCCTTTCCCAGCAGCAAAGTCAGAAGCCGCAGCCCTGCGGCCCGTGGGAGGGGCCTCGTCTTCGGGAGCTGATCTCTCTGCACCGGCCCTGCCGTCTCCAGACACAGCCCAGCCCGAGGTGGCTGATAAGATCGTCCTGGTCGCAGACAGAGATCTCCTGGAGCTGCCACTGGAAGGTCTCTCCGTGTTCGATGAGGGGACAATTTCCTCTGTGTCACGAGAATTTTCTCTCCAAATGTTATGGAATCGCCTCCGTAAAGAAGAGACAGGTAGGAACGGCCCTTAGCCACCTTCATGTGTAATTTGAAAATAGAAAGTTTAAATTATTTTTCCTATAAAACAATGTTAGCTCCTATCAAAAAATAATCCTCTAATGTAGCAACATTTTTCTAGGCATGTATTCATTCAAAGATATGTACAGGATATAAATACTCACCAGCCTGGGCAACATGGTGAGATCTCCACAGGAAATGCTGAAATCAGCCGGGCATGCACCTGTGGTCCCAGCTACTCAGGAGGCTGAGAGGTGGGACGATGGCTGGAGCCTGGGAGAGGGAGGCTCCGGGAGCCGAGATGGCGCCACTGCACTGCAGCTGGGGCAACAGCGTGGGACCCTGTCAGAAAAAAGAAAAGAAAACGTAAACACTCAAAGGTGTTTATAAGATACCTGCGATGTGCTGGTGTCCTGGTGCCCAGCACACAGGGAGGAAGAATTTAACCCTGTTCTCGCCCCCACAAATCTCTGTTTCAAAGGAGGGAAGCAGATGGGTAGTGAGCTGCCAGCCTCCCCGTGAACCGCTCGGTTAGACGGGAAAGCAGGGAGGGAGCGTGCAGAGGCCCTAGCTGTGGCCGGGACTGGGGTGGTGGCTCTGGTGACAGTGCTGGCTGTGCACACGGGCCCTGCACTTGTGGTGTGGGCGGTTTTCTGCATCTATGTTGCACTTCGGTATCAAATGAAATTAAAATTAAATAGACTGGACTTTTGCTTCCATCTCCGATGAGGTAACAAGGACCAGATTTGCCCTTCCAGCTGAGACAACTAAAAACCAGAAAAAAAACAAACACACGATTGTTTCCAAACGTTGCCGAGCAGGACAAGAGTTCTTGAAAGAGGGGTTGGCGGGCGAGCACCGTGGCCCACCCAGCTCTTACTGCATGGGGAGTTTCGGGGTCACAGTGCTGGCAAGGGTGGGGGAGGGAAGAGCCCAGGGGTCTCCCCGAGTTGAGGACAGGGAGTTTGGAGTCCAGGGACACGGACGGCCAGAAGGTGCAGGGCGGGACCCCGGGAGGAGGGACCTGCAGGGAACGGCTGCTCTGAGAGGCGCAGGGTCCTCGGCAGAGAAACAGCCAAGGCCTGTGGGCGGCCGGGCCGGGGGTGGCTCTGCGGACGGGAAGGACGCGGACAGACGCTGACGGTGTCTTTGACTTCAAAATCTCTTTAAAATATTCTTGATCAAAAAGTTTAGAGCAAAAGAAAATTATAATAGTGTGGGGTTCATGACGTAAACGTGAAATGAATAACAGCACAGAAGAGGACGGGGAGGGGTGGTGCTCGACAGTGCCGGAGGCGCCCTCCTCCAGGGCACGCGCTGCCACGCTACTGCCACGCGCTGCCACGCTACTGCCACGCGCTGCCACGCTACTGCCACGCTACTGCCAGGTAGGCCACGGCAGAGGCGGGAGCTACACACCCCCCAGTAGCCACCGAAAGCAACAAGAAGAACAGACAGAAAACCCCACAGAGTTTATAACAAATACATAATGCAGAAGATGAAATGGAATCATAAACACAGTCAATCCTAAAAACACAAGGGAACAGAGAACAGATAGGAAAAATAAAACTGCAAGATAGTGTATTTCAGCCCAACCATATCCATAATCACACGGCCTAAACACCTCGACTGAAAGAAGAATATCATCTGATTAAATGGAAATTCAGCATTCAAAATACGCTTCCTCCAAGAAACCCGCTCTAAATAAAAAGAAAATGGTGAGTTTTAAAAAAGGATGAAAAAGCCGTATCTCTTAACTATTCAAAGAAGTTTGGCGTGGCGAGATGGAATCAGAAATAGGTGGAGTCAGGGACCATTCCGTACGAGGAGGAGGCTAATTCCTGAAGAGGGTGTGAGACCCAGTTATCAATCCATCAATTAACGTCGCTGCGGAAGACACGAGATGGACCCACGGAACCACAGAGCGATCGTGGCGCACACAGGGATGGCGGGGGGTCAGCACCCCCTTCTCAGTAGCAATGGAACAAGCCTGCATCGAATCAGGAGGGTGTGGAGGATTTAAACGCACCAAGCAGCTTCATCTAACCGGCGCGATGTAACAGTGCCCTTCCACAGAAGAATGTATTCCTTTTCCACACACGGAACATCTGACGAGATACACCCCAAGTGGCGCCTCAAAACAAGCCTCAAAAATCTTAAAGCGTCCAAATTGCTTACAGTAGGTTCTCTGACCACAGTGGAGTTAAATTAGAAATTAATAACAGAAATCGTGTCTGGAAAACCCCTAACACGTAGAAGCTAACTATCCTTCTTAAATACCCATGGATAAAAGGAAATTAAAAGGGACATTTAGAAAATATTGTGATCTGAAGGGAAACAAGAACACAGTTTATCATGACTGTGGACGCTGCTGAAGTATGAGAATTTACGGACTAGGCTGAGGGAAAGAGGCCAGATGAAGGGAGCGCAGGGGGCAGGTTTCATTTTTACAAACGCCTGGGAGACACAGACTCATGTACAAGTCAGAAGGCAGGTCAGTCGCTTCCTGGGGTGGGGGCTGGGGCTGCAGGAGAAGCGGGGGAAAGGGCCACGGGTGCGGGAGGGGGTGTCCCGGGTGTTTGGGGGAAGCCCGGGGGCCGGGCGTGCCAGGATCTTCGCCGTGGCAATAACTCACAGGAGTGCAATCCGGTCCCATCGCGTGGCTCACTTCAAACGCAGGCAGTTACTGTGGTCCCGTGGACTCTGTACTCTGGTGCTCTGACCCTTCCTGTGACCCCAAGTCCTCAAGGAGTCTCCTGCTTGTGAGTGGAAATTTTTTACGTAAAATACAGAAACAGCAAATTTGTATCAGGGTCATGGAAGCTCGTACCACAGCACATGGGCGACGTGGGTCCTGGGTGGAGGAAGTCAGGCAGAGGGCAGACCCCCCGCAGGCGCCGTGTCCAGGGAGGTGCCTCCAGACCCAGGAGCTCCGAAGCAGCCGGCCTGGTAGCCTATGGCTGGTCTCCGTGTGACTCTGGCCCACTGGGTGCCCCGTCCATCCACAGGCCACGGTCAGCCCCTTCTCAGAACCTGGTTTGTCCCTCTGGCCGCCCTCCTGCCTTCCCCTAGTGAGCTCCGTGTGGAGGGTGTGTCTGCCTTGCGTGGCAAGAGGGCACTCAGTGGCCCGGGACTGGCTGGGGCTCAGGCTGGAGGGGATGGGAGTGCACGGTGGAGAGGCAGGGAGGCTGGAGCGGGAGTTGGTTGGCACAGACACGAGGCTTGCGGAGGCTTCGGAGCCCGTGTTTGACAGTGAAGGGCGCCACCTCCCTAGAAAAATGCCTGAGTGGGAGGGAGGAGAGAGATCCAAGATGGCTGATCACTAGCAGCTCGGGACCGTAGCTCCCAGTGAAAGCGCAGAGAACGGGAGGATGCCACACTTTCAGACCAAGTTTTGTGGCTCACACACCAGGAGATTCCCAGCGGAGGAGCCCCACGGGTCACCAGTGCGACTCTCATGGCTGGCGAGGCGGTTTTGCCACTGCCTTGGTGTGGCGGTTCTTGGTGCAGAGTCAGGAAAGCACCATCAATCTTAACGCTGCTGTTTTGGCCGGCGCAGTGGGCTGCTCAGATTTTAGTGCTGGAATCAACAAGTTGGACGTCCACTCAGAAACCCAACTATAAAGACAGTAATAATAAAGACCACAGATGGATAAATCTACAACAAAAGGAAGAAACCAGCCAAAAAAGGCTGAGAATAACCAGAATCAGAACGCCTCTCCCTCAGCAGGGGATCCCAGTTCCTCATCAGCAACGGAACAAGGCCTGATGGAGAATACATGTGTTCCATTAACAGAAGTAGGCTTCAGAAGGTGGATGATAAGAAACTTCTGTGAGTTAAAAGAACTTGTTCTAACCCAATGCAAAGAAACTAAGAACTTTGAAAAAAGGTTTGACGAAATGCTAAAGAGAATAGACAATTTAGAGAGGAATATAAGTGAATTAATGGAGCTGAAAAACACAACGTGAGAACTTCACAAAGTATGCACAAGTTTTAACAGCTGAATTGATCAAGCAGATGAAAGGATATCAGAGGTTTTATTTCATTAAGACCAACTTAATGAAATAAAATGAGAAGACAAGATTAGAGAAAAAAGGATAAAAAGGAACGAGCAAAGTCTCCAAGAAATATGGGACTATGTGAAAAGACCTAATCTACGCTTGATCGGTGTACCTGAATGTGACGAAGAGAATGAATCCAAGCTGGAAAATACGCTTCAGGATATTATTCAGGAAAATTTTCCCAACTTAGTAAGGCAGGACAATATTCAACTCCAGGTAATACAGAGAACACCACAAAGATATTCCTCAAGAAGAGCAACTCCAAGGCACATAATCATCAGATTCACCAGGGTTGAAATGAAGGAGAAAATACTGAGGGCAGCCAGAGAGAAAGGTCAGGTTACCCACAAAGGGAAGCCTATCAGACTCACAGCAGATCTCTCAGCAGAAACCCTACAAGCCAGAAGAGAGTGGGGGCCAATATTCAACATCCTTAAAGAAAAGAACTTTCAACCCAGAATTTCACATCCAGCCAAACTAAGCTTCACAAGCGAAGGAAAAATAAAATCTTTTGTGAACAAGCAAGCACTCAGAGATTTCATCACCACCAGGCCTGCTTTACAAGAGCTTCTGAAAGAAGCACTACACATAGAAAGGAACAACCAGTATCAGCCTTTCCAAAAATATACAAAAAAGTAAAGAGCATCCACATAATGAAGAATTGACATCAACTAATGAGCAAAACAGTCAGCTAGCATCAAATGGCAGTATTAAACTCACATATATTATTAAATTCTAAATTTAAGTCGACTAAATTCCCCAATCCAAAGACACAAACAGGCAAAAAAAAAAAGCCAAGACCCATCGATATGCTGCATCCAGACCCATCTCACATGCAAGGATACACAAAGACTCAAAACAAAGGGATGGAGAAAGATTTACCAACCAAATGGAGAGCAAAAATAAATAAATAGAAAGCAGGAGTTGCAATTTTT